TGGTGCCGTGTCCTCTGATCCCCTAGCTGCTGGAAATGCTCCGTAGCCGTCTCGTGAGACTGTGCCGGCGGCTGTGCCCACATGAAGCCGTCGTGATGTGCCTGTGACGAGGAGGCGGTTCTTGCCACTGTGACGGCGCCGGCGCCTGTACGTATACAGGCACAATTGGTGTAGGCGGTGGCATCACATAGTATCCCTGTGACGGCGGCGCCGGCTGTGGAAGTGAGGGCATCGTCGTTTGGTATCCCTGTGACACCAGCGGCACCTGTGGAAGTGAGGGCACCTGTGATAACAGCACCGGCGTTGCTGCTGCTTGTGACTTGATGAAATCACCGATCTGCTGGGCAAGATCGTCAACCCGGCTGCTCACGGAAGCAAGTGTATTCGACCTCTTGTTCATGATAGTGGTGCCTGTGCCCTTCCTCTTCTTCTTTTGCGTCTCTGGTGGCCGTGATACGAGCTCTGGGTTGGCTCTATGCTCCTCTTGCTCCCAAGCACTAAGGATCCGGCCCGTAGATGCCTCTAGTGGAGGGGATACCTCGCGTCTACTGTTTCCACGCCGGCGAGGCTGGACAACGTCAGGATCGGCTTCGTGGTCTGCATCGATATATTGCTGTTGTTCAGGCTGCTAGTAAATTAGTATAGTACTTATGGCTGGAGCAAGATACTTACAGTCACGCCGTAAACCCGCCAGTGGTTATCAATAAGATGCAATGGTATAAGGGCGGCCGCGTCAGCCTGGATCAAATCGCGGATTGTATGCCGGCAGGGCAGCCCCCATTGCATCGTGAAAGCACCCGTACAAATCGTAGGCATGCCTCGATTATCGGCAAGCTCAGCCCGGGCTAGCCTAACTTGCCTGAAGATCTGTTTCATCGGCTGCCAGCCAATTTTTCGGTGCAGTGACTTCATAATCGTCTGCTTGGCCCATTCAACTCTAGCTCTTGCAAACTCGGATTGAAGCTTCTCGCGATGCTTCTTTTGCCGATGGGTAACGAGCCCTCTGATGTGCTCTTGTAGCTGATGGAGGTCAATGAAGCGGTTGCGTAATCGTGACTTCAACTCGTGATGTGTGCTCTCACACGGGAAGTTACCGTAATGTTATAATTTCGGTACTGTTGGATAGCGTAGGTGGAAAACTGGGCACGCCATGGCCAGTAGGTTGTACGGAGGTAATTAACGAGAGCTATAAGAGGAGCTATTTAGTAAAAGGTTAGAGTAGGAGGGTAGTTAGGGCTAGGTTACCTGGCTGATCCGAAAACTCTATACAGAGTAGATCCCACTGATCTCTGCACTCCTCAGCCGTGCGAGCCCTAAAGACTGAAACCCAGGCATCACGGATACCGTCAGCTGTGTGCTCAAAAGTCCGCCTTGGAGCCGGGGTAGTATTGGGTTTCCATCGTCATCTTCACGATCATCTTGTTGCTCAACGCACTGATCTGCCAGTTGTGAGGCATGTTGAATCTGGTAATCAGTGGCACGGTCGATAGGTCGGTCCTCGTCAATGGCATTATCTGCCTGTATAGGGTCGTCGAGAGCGGCTGCTGCAGCGAGGCGAGTCTCCTGTTCTGGCCTATCTCCGCCAATCTCGGTGCCATCGAGGGATCCTTCCCACTTCTTCTTGATGTGAAGGATCACGTTCTTCATCATATGCCAAACGCACACTTGTTGTTGCGTTGATGGGAAGATAGAGTCAAGGGCGTTCTTCAGGGCGGTATCAAAGTCGGTAATCACAACGCCCGGGTCCGGAATATCAGCCTGCCGACCAGCCTCACGCAACTGTGAGAGGATCCATTGGAACGCGCCTTCGTCTTCCTTGGCAGTGAGGCCAAAGCCTACACTGAAGCTCTTGTGTAGCCCTGTTGTGCCAATGATCTGTAGAAGCGGCATGTTAAAGCGGTTGACCTTATACGTATTATCCATGATAAGGAGCTCGGGGTTACGCTTCCAGTCAGCAATACAGTCATCGTATGTCCAGAAAACCTCCAAACCTTCCCATTAGGGCCACGGTCAACTGCATAGTAGCTGATTTCCCTTTGCTTTAGCATCTTTGAGTACATCGAGGAAGGCTTGTGTAGATGTAGAGGCGCCGTAACGGAAGGCACGAAGTTGCAGCTGGATGAAGTGTATATCAGAATCGGTAATAAGGAGCTCAGGATATTCCTGTCGGATAGCATCCACGATATCCCTGCTCTTGTTATTGACGTTCTTGCTAAGCCCCTCGACGAGGCTATGAAGACGCTCGATGCCGAATTTGCGTTGGCTTCGTTGACGGACGATGGGGTTAGCAATTGGCTCAAATAGAGGTTCGTGGTTATGAGAGCCGTGCTTGATGGTGACTTTGAATGCATTGCAACGTCGGTAGAAGCGGATGTAACAGCGAAAGTCACATCCCGACTTCTTGATGACGTCTTGTATATACCCTCTGCCTCGTCCCAGGGCCTATACTGACCACTGTATTCACAGCGGATATTGGCTTCCTTGCGCCTAGGCTTGCCGGTATTCTTGCTATTTGCAACGACTACGACGTAGCCAAGGAGCTCTTGCGTAGCTTTGAGTGTTTCAAGCGCCTCATCATACGTATCGAAAGACATCTCCGTGATAGCCTCGGTGCTACTGTTGGTATTGCTTTCGGTCGAATTCATCGGGACGATTGACTAGACGTGACTATTGCGGTAGGCGGCGGCGGCGTTGCTGTTGTGTTGAGTCAAGTGGTGATAGCTTCAATTGTTGATGATTGCGAAAATGCAGATGGCGGCCAAAAGGCAGGTGGCTGGGCGGGTGGGCGGCGGCGATGGTCACGGCAAGCCAGGGCGTTGGGAAAGCGCGCGCCAAATTTTGGTGGCGGGGTCTTCTTCCAAATGGGGCTTAGGTCGGGAGTGTATGTTTGAAAATCAGGAGTGTATGTTTGATTACTCGCACGAACGAGTCCCTGGGCTCCTTGTGGAGGCGAATATAGGGCCTGATGCACCCACCAACAAGACAGGCTTTGACTTTGTCCGTGCAGCGAGTCCTGGAAACAACTAAAAGAAAGCGCCGTTGCGGAGCACGGAGAGGGTGCATTATCCCCGAGTCGGAGCCGCCCTGCAATGCTCATTGGCACCGCTCTGTCGGATTGTGGTCTCGGGCCAACGGCTCTGCTTCGACAACGTCGTCGGCCACACCACCACGCTCCCAGTGCCCTGGGTCCGGTCTTTGGCCACCCTTTTGCGGCATTGCGGCGGATTACGGTGGCTTGTGCAAAGCAGCAGTGCCGACTACGGAGTAGTACGGGCTATCTCTCTCGGCGTGACATGTCGAGGGCAAAAGTGGCTTCTTCCATGGACTGTCTTGCATGCATGGCCGCAGCGAGTACTGGAGGTATTATTACCACGGTACATGGCGTGGGTTGGCCGAGAGCCAAACCACTCACCCACCTGCATCTGTTGGAACAGGTCTCTGTCGTCTGCTTCCTCTGCCAAATTCGAGGGGAAAGAAGAATAAACCAAGAGGGAAAACACTGCAAACCGGGGGACTCCCTCCTCCCCCCCCCTCCGCACTGGCAGCCCGTGGCCCCACCTGTACTAAACGGCGGGCCGCTCGCCGCCTACCCCACACCCCCTGGGCCCTTTTCCGGCGCTGTGGACAGTGGACCTCTCAGCGGTGGGGATGCGGTCAAAACAGAGCAGCGAGAGTTGTGGCTGTAGGTACTCCACACTACTAGTGCCTAGGTACCTACCGTACAGTGCTTTACGGGAAGCATTTACATGCGTGAATGCCTCTTCTTTGCTCTGCCCTTGTTCTGCCGGCCGCAGCCAGTCACTGCGTCCCAGCACCTGGATGACGATGGTAGACATGCATCGCTTGCCGTACTGTACAGTACATTGGCTCTCTCGTCATCCATGCCACACACCTCACACCACACACCACCTCCACCACCTTGGGTGTATCTGTAGCAGTTCAGCGCCTCGGGGACTGACGGGATCCTGCTCCCCACCCACCCTCGACTTGCCGGTACCTGCGACTGCTCAAACTGGTGCGACGCTAATAACTGACTGTCTAATGCAAGTACTTTGTATGCACATGTAGGTGCATTTTCCCAAAGGCAAAACCCGCTCTCCATATGTTATCTGCCCTTGCCTCTATTCCGTGTGGGGAGAAAAACAAGAAATAGGTACTATGTACCTGGTATCTGGTACCGGAGACACAGCCTCCAGGTACCCGCCTCCCGCCGTACCCGGTGCTTTTGCCTTTCCGTCTCCTTGCGCTTGACGGGCGGCCGTCGGTACCTCTGGCTGCCCGCGCTGTACCCGGTACCGAGTGCTGCTCCAGGGTCTCGTCGTCGTTTTTGTCTCGTCGCCAAGCTCTCACCGGTCGCCTCGTTTTCAATCCACTCTGCCCCCTACCACCCCAAGTTACTCCTCCACCACTTCCTTCTCCTCCTCCTCCTCCTCCTCCTCCTCCGCCGCCGCTCGTCGCGCCGTTCCCATTGCTGCAGCTTAATCTTTATCCGCGCGTACTTTATACATTTTATGCGAGCAAACCATCTAATATCCTCCTCCCATCCCCCCCCCCCTTCTCTCTCCTTTCTTCCCCTCCAAACCTCACCGTCAACTCGCAGTCTCATTCGCCACGGCGTGTGAATCTGCTGCTGCTCAGTCAGCCGGGCTGCAGAGGCCTCTCCTCTCATCACCGACCACCCCGCCCTGGTCAACCCCCCCCCCTGTTCTCCCGCCACGCCGCTACCTTGACCGTCTACAACACATTTCCAGAGGCCTTTCGGTCGTCTTCCGCCTGCCTCCTCTTCTTTCTCTTCCTCCTCCATCTGTCCAAAGTGCCATTTCAGCACGACATCACTTCACCGAAACCCCAGAGTCGGCGACTGGTTCTCTCCCTTGCCTTCAGCGGTGTACAACTCCTGCTCTTGACCTGCCTTGAGCGTCGTGTCACGACCCTGTGCGTCCCTTCAAGCTTTGGTTGGCACTTTGCGACCAATTCTCCCTCATTCGGCAATCGACACCATGAGCTCGTCGGCACAGCAGTCCCCCTCGGCGCCCAAGGATGTCCCGGCCAAGAAGGGCAGAGGCTTCGGCAACGTCTTCTCCAGGGTCAAGATTGCGCTGCGAAGGGGCGACTCGCCTTCGTCCAAGGTGAAGCCGCCCGCCGCCAGCGCACCTCTCCAACCTCCTCCCACCAAAGCGGAGCCAGATGCCTTGAGGTAGGATGCCCTTTGGTTTTTTCTGGCCATCGTCAATGCACCGCTCTTGGCCAGGACTGACCCCTGGGCAGCAAGCCACCACCCCCCGTGTCAAAGGCTGCCGAAGCTCGAGCACGCTACGAGGATATGGAGGGCGTCACCAAAGTCGCCAGAACTCAGTTGTTCGAGGAGCGAGCCAAGAAGCTCGCCGAGCGATATGGCCTGGAAATCAATGCCGACGATTGGATCAAGACCACGCCCAATGACATGGTCCTTCGCATAGACAAACCGATTCGCATCCGCGTCCGCCGCACATGCCACAGGTGCAATACCGCTCTCTCCCAGGCCAAGGAGTGCCCCAGCTGCCAGCATCCCCGCTGCACAAAGTGCCCCCGCTACCCGCCCAAGCGCACCGAGGCCGAAAAGGTGGCCAGCCGGGAGAAGCGAGCAGCCTTGATCCAAGCCAACAAAGAGAACCCGCCCCTCATCGCCGACTACACCTACAGCAACAGGGGAATGGTGCTCAAGAGACCGAGCAAGACAGGCGGCCAGGACTTGTACCAGAAGAAGCCCCGTCAGCGCGTCCGAAGAACCTGCCATGAATGCCAGGCGCTCTTCACGGCAGGCGTCAAGAAATGCCAAGCCTGCGCCCACATTCGCTGTACCGACTGTCCCAGAGACCCGTAAGTTTGCCACCGCCCACCGGGAAACGCTAGCTAACCCGTTGCCTCCAGACCAAAGAAGGACAAGTATCCCTTTGGCTATCCAGGCGATGCCTTTGGCCCCAGCAGCGTGCCTCGCTATGAGTGCCAACGCTGCGAAGCCCTCTACCCGGTTGGCGCAGACCACGGAACCACCTGCAAGAAGTGTGGCCGCGAGAAGTCGGAGGCCTCGCCTCGAGCTCTGCCGCGCAAGGTGGAACGAGAGCCAGACCCCGAGATTTTGAGAATTATCCAGGCCAAACTAGACAGACTCAAAATCGCCTAGGACGCGTCGAGTTGCGGCAGTGAGCGAAAGTCTTGGACACCCAGCGAGAGCCTGAATTGATGAGATGGCCAGTGTCCCGACGGGACAGTGTCGCGGTTGCTCGCCCCACGAGATGAGGGTGCGAGAGAGCGTGAGAGCCAGCCTGGCGTCTGCTCGTTCCTCGACCGACATGACATGACGACAGCGATGAAACAGTACCTACGCCTAAATAGGCATTGACGGACTCGATCAAATCTACCGCCAAGTTTACGAGCACAGCACGCGCGGGACCAATCCATGACTTGAAACGCTCCTGATCTCTCTCGTCATCAACGACGGCGAATGCATTTACAGTCAGCTTTCTTCCCCTTTCAACCTTGTCTCTCATTTTCTTCCAACTCTGTTACTTTTTTTCTATTCCTTCGTCCTTGGCATTGAGCTGCATTTCTTCCGCTTGCAACATGATTGGAATATTAGCGACAACGACGACCACGAAGCATGACAAAACTATGATATTCCGAATACCCTTTTTGAAGAGGGATTGGAGTACTGCTGTGCCGGACGTCAAGTGTTCGGTCGCATTGTCGCCAGCCCAGGCGAGACTCAAGCTCGCGCGCCCGTGTCGCGGCCGGCACTCTCTCAAGCGTGCCGAGGGTTGCTCGAGGGACGGTTGAAGGACTGTCGAAGGAGACCCGGGGGCTGGACACGCCGAGGGCGAGGCAAGTCTACAAGCAGGCGGCGGCCGGACGGGGCAGGCGGCGGCCGGACGGGGCAGGCGGCGGCCGGACGGGAGTCGTTCTCAGGGAAAAAGGCATCTACTTGTAAAAGGGCTTGGTAGCTGGAAAACGCATATACTCGTTCGTGACTGTCGGGAGCTAGAGTGCCTCTGTTCTCGTGGCACTCCCCTCTCTCCCGTCGCCACTATGCGCATAGATTGGTCAACTTTGCCATTGCTCGGTGGAAGGAAGTGGGTGGATTGCCCTCGTATCCCTGGAAGGTGTGCTGTCGGGCTGAGATGGTTGACAGCGGCGGTCCGTTGGACGACGTGCGTAGGCCGGTTACACGTAGTTCCCCACGACTTGTCTCTCAAATGCTGTCTCCGCTTCGGCGTGCCCACGAGCCGCAAGGAACTCGAGGACGAGGCAGTCAAAGTCGCCACCAAGTTACAATACAACGCGGCCAGCGTGGCAGACGCTTGGAAATGATGTCCACATCCCATGCGCTCTGCCGTCGCTACGCCGTTTCCGTGTCCCATCCCTTGCTCTGAACAGCACACAGCCCCGGCGCGCAGCCGTTTCGCTGCACCGTCGCTCCTCCTCGGGCCGATGGTGCTCGCGCTGCAGCTCCAGCACAGCCGGCGAGAGCCCCCCTTTGTCTCTTGAGATCACGGACCGTTGAAGGGGCGGTTGGGGGGCCTACTCAGACCCGCTCGCGGGGCGCCCCATCTCTCGTATGAGGGGCTCCATCGCGAACCTGGCGTCGCCCGGCACCGAGGCGCCCAGCGTCTCTCGCCTGTTGGCCTTGTGCCCGATGTAGCCCCCTGAGCCGTCCATTCTGTTGTTTAGGAACGGGTACTGGCTCTCGACGTTGCCTTCGGCCACGGCGGCGTTGAAGCCAGCTTCGTTGAGGATGGGCATCAGCCGATGCGTCGGGTAGAAGCGGCCCCTGACGGCCTGCTCCTCCAGCACCACGTTCTCCTTGGCGAGCACCCAGCGCCACTGCTGTTCGGGACTCACCTGGCACCGCCACCGCGTCTCGTCCTGCAGGGCCAGGGGCAGGTTCTCCAGCGGCACGACGCCCGGTGAGTCCTCGCCCTCCTTTGCCGTTTGGTACATGTTGCCGCGGAAGACGACGGCTCCGGGGCTCCCCTTGCGCACGACGATGCCGGTCAAGCCAAGGACAGACGAGTCGTTGGGGGAGCCCCCATCCCCAGCAAGCGGCCTGACCCGCACGCAGTCGCCGATTTCTATTCGTTCGGCTCCGAAGAAGCAGCCGTAAAAGGGCATCGTGTCGGCGCTCACGTCCTCGGACAGGGGGCACCAGAGAGAGTAGGACGCGTCGATCTTGGACGCGGCCATCTTGGATGCATCTAGGATGAGGTTATTCCGTTTCGCCCTGTCTTGTCCAGCCAGGAGAAAGAGGTTCTCCCAGGGGACTTGATCAAACACCTTGTTCTGAAGATCCGGGAGCATCACGCCGGGGACGCTAAAGGCGTGAAACGGCCGCATCTCCTTGCAGACCTTGGTCACGTTTTGCTGCTTTGCCGCAGAGTGGCCGATGGGGATCAGCTGAAAGCTTTCGTTACCGGGAGCCGCAATCACCCCGAGGCGCCATGAGTTTACGTTTTGGTACCAAACCAGCTCGCCCGCGCGGAAGAGGAAGGGGGCTTGCAAAGACCACTTGATGGCTGGCGGACGAGACTGGTTCTGCGGTTGAGCCTGCGCTTGCGCCGATGGTTGAACTGGTGGTTGAGCTTGCGGCTGAGCCTCTGGTGCCGGTGGGAGGGCCTGGGTCTGGGCCTGAGCTTGACTCTGGGTCGGCACTTGTGCTTGGTCTGGGATAAAGGACGGAGCCTGGGTCTGGGGTTGGGGCTGTGGAGGTGCCTGTGCCGCCGGGCCTGTAGGCTCCGCCGTGGCCGGCTCCGTAGCATTCTGCAAAACCGGCGCTGGTTGCGAGGGTTGTGAGCTTTGCCCGCCGGGCGTTTGCTTCGTTGGTAGCTGTCCAGCCGGAGTCGGCAAGGGAACAGGGGACACCTTGGGTGGTGCTACTGGAACCTTGGAGGGCGCAGCGCTGGCAGGCAGCATAGGGGCGGCGGCGTCGGTTGCAGAGGGGTTCTTGGCCAGAGTGGGCAAATTGCAGTGAATACAGCAGCAGTCGGTGTAGTCCATGGAGGAAGACAGAAGCCAGATCAGGTGGAGGCCGAACTCTTGCGGCGTCTTGAAAAGCTTTGCCTTGATGGGGTACCCCGAGACCCAGAGATGTTTGGACTTTTCGTACAACCAATATCCCCGAGGGAATTGGACATACCAGGGGTTGCCTTCTGGATCTCCTGGGTCAGCAGATCGAGGCGCGTAGACGGAGCCGGAGATGTCACCTTCGGGGTTGGGCGAAAGCTCTTGTTTCAGCAAGATGCCCAGCTTGATCCTCCACTCCACAAACCTCGGGTCGTCCTCGTCGAGGCGAACCATCTGCGCCTTGGCTCTAGGGGGCGCGACATCCTTGCCCGTTTTCTTAGCTGCATTGACTGCTGGTGCCGCCGCCACGGGCCAGTATCCCGGGCCGGAATCAGCGCCGTCGCTTCGGCCGACTCGGACGACATCAAAGTCCTTTGTTTCGGCGGCCATTGCTGCTCACCGGTCCTGTCTCGTCCTCTGCCACGAGCTGGTGAGCGGGGTCGTATTCGTCAGCGCGGGGGTCCTGGTCCAGCGCCGCGATACGAGTATGTCTCCAGGCCACCGTCCTTGACCACGAGAGTCGTCAGCTGGGGGTTAGGGGAGGGAGGGGGAGAGGCTCGAGCAGGTTCGCCAGTCGGCCACAAAAAAGCGCACCGCGACGCCGAATCACCAGCTCCCGCTCGCGTTCATATCTAAAAGGGCCGGGAAGCAGTGTCCCAGCGGTGCCCCTCGGCTTCAGGGCTTGCGAGTGCGGCTGTTGGCGTGAGCCTGTTGTTGGTTCCGTCGACGGCAGTCAGACGCACGTGCGGAGGGAAGACGGGCTCGGGGAGGGACCGTGGGGCTCGGCAAGCCAAATAACAAGGAGGGCGTTGGCAGTGGCTGTCATGTGCTGGTGGATGTTGGGGTATGATTGGATTGGTTCCTTCTGATTTATCTGGGCGGAATGAACCGACGATAGATGAGCCACGTTGCGCCGACGGAGGTGAGTCTTGTTGAATGAGTTTGGTGCTTTCAACTGTAAGCAGCGACAGATGAGTAATCAGTCTAGTTCGGTCCAACAGAGCGCCTGCCTACCCTGGAGGCAAAGGCAGCCGTCCAGGTCGGAGACTGGGCGAGACGATCAAATGACATGTCTGCGGTCTCGTTATTTGCATCTTCTTTTCCGCCTTTGTGTTGCGATATTAAACTGCAAAATTCCTCCCGAGACAGGTCGTCAAAAGAATAGTATATCAAGTGGCTACAACTTTCAAAACATGCTTCCCTTTTACGAAGCACCATTGAGTGGGTAGGTGCACAGATCAGCATACATCATCTCCGCGGAGTCAATCTGCCAGAGCACATAATCAGCGTCAACTCACGCTTTATACCCAAGACTTGACTCCCAAAAGCGAGCGACTTGATCGGTCGTGCTTCTGTGCAGTTGTACCCAGGTACCACTAGATAGGTAGGTACCTAGGTGCAGACGGTTGCGCGCTGCTGGAGGTAAGTCACCACTTGGCAAAGGGTGTAAAGGACAAGCGCACCGCCACAACATGCTCTTCAACCCGCGTGGCTGGTTAACGCGCGACGCAACGCGTGACCCCAGTTCCTTCAACCCGTCCAGAGTCGTCAACACTGATCGCATTTCCAAAGTAGAACTCACCGCGATCCCAGCCGCCGGATTCTCCAACCCCCCCCACCATACATCCCGCCTTCCTTCTCCTAGGCCCGGGCTCCCAATGGAGGATCTGCTGAGCAACGACTACGACAACCGCCACCGGGCATTTTTGCAAGCTCTCCTGGCACGGGGCACGGTGACGTTTGAAGAGTCGCAGACCATCCTCGCCGCCATCTTCAACGCCGCGACCGGCGGGGACGGCAATGTACGCCCCGACCAGGTAAGCGAGGAGGACTTTCTGGCGTACATCGAGGCGGCCTCGGATGCGGCCTCTCTATTCGACTATGAGATCCGCAGCACGGTGCATCAACTCACCAAGCAACGCATCTACGCGCTCGTAAACACGACGTCGGACCCCCAGACCCAGCTGGCTACGACCTTTAGCCCCGAGGAGCTGGCCTTCATCAAGCGAGCCCTGGACGGCATGTTTGACAAGTTCAACAGGCCCCGCATGGAGGTGCTCGCCATGACCGAGATGCAGGCAATCAAGTTTGCCAGGCCGAACCGGAGGCAGAGTCAGGGAGACGCAGCCGAAGCGTCGCAAGTGTCGAGCGACAAGGGCCTGAAGCACAGCGAGGTGGAAACCATCCTCGCCAACCTCGTCGACGGAGGATGGTTCGAGAAGAGCAAGAGCGGCTTTTATTCCGTCACCCCGCGAGCCCTGCTGGAGCTGCGGCCGTGGCTGATGAACATGTACAACGACCCGGACGCCGGGCCCGACGAGTGGCAGCGCATCAAGTTCTGCGAGGCCTGCAAGGATATTGTTACGACGGGACTTCGCTGCTCGGAGCCCAGCTGCACCCTGCGGCTTCACGACATCTGCCAGGAAGCCTTCTGGCGAGCACGCAGGACAAAAGAATGCCCCCACTGCTCCCGGGAATGGACGGGCTTGAACTATGTCGGCGAACGAGCCGTCACCATGACAGAGGCGTACCAAAGGGGCCGCAGACGGAGCGGCGGCAAGAGGAGCACGCTGGCAGACGATGTCATACGACAAGAGGGCATGGAGGAGGACCGGAGTGACGGCGAGCGAGACGAGGGTGGCGAGTGACGAAGCCGGCATGTCCAGTCGCCCAATATACCCAGCAAGCTGCAAGCCCGGCCGACTCTTGGGGAGACGGCCACCTATGAGCGCGTCGGGCTATTGGTCACCACATGTGGGCAAGTCGACCACTGACCGGACAGTGAAGTGCATCATGCACGCCATGAAACACGCACAACCTGCACACGCATGCGAAATCGAGTTTGCGGGCGCTTGAGCGGGGCGCATGCTGTGGCTCATGACATCACTCGGTGGCGGTGCACGGGCGGCCGCCAGCCCACACACAAAGGAGGCGCTTGCAAGGCGCTTGCATCATGCAAGTACTTTATGTAGAACTACTATAGATGTCAAAGGACAAGGCAGAGAGAGTGCTCAACAAAAGCCGTCTCTTGCCACTGATATCAACAAGAATCTAAAAGGACCCTACAGCGGCCTCGCCCGAGCCTTTTCGCCCCGACCTGTACCTAGTTTCCCTGCTACCTCACCTCGCCTGCTCAAGCGCCCTTCCCCGCAGTTTGTTTCGCAGGCAGCGCTCGCCGACGATAAGATGCTCGAATACTTTACCTACAAGAAGATCAAGAAGCACAAGACTCAGAAGGAGGTCAAGGAAGAGGCCAAGCGCCTGACAGACTCCAACAGGGACTCTGACGACTTGCTGGAGGAGCGCGCCCATGGCAGGCTGGACGACCGCCACGGGAAGCGTCGCGATGACGGTCGCGACAACGACGACGACCGGGCGCTCCAGGCGCCGCCTGTCCTCCGCCCCGAGGACGAGACCTTTCTCGAACAGCTACTCGCAGGCGAAGATGGACCGGCGCCTCCCTTGCCCCCGCGCAACTATTTGAACGAGTTCGGCTTGCCGTCCGATAACGAAGGCGCGGCTTCGGCGAGCGAGCCCGAAAAGAGTGAAGAGGTGGCGGGGGAAAAGGATACAAACAAGGCGGGTGCCTTGAAAACGGCCGAAAAGAAGCCTGGCCGGTTTGCCCTCTTCTTCTCCAAGAACAAGAAGAGCAACGAGGAGGGCCTGGAACCCCACGGCGTCCCGCCGGCCGAGGGCGAGGGCGAGACCAAGGACCTCAGCCGCGTCCTGGACCGCCTCAACCTGAGCGCCAAGAACAACAAGGTCGTCTCGACAGACTCATCCGAGCTTCTCCAAAAGTTCACCCAGGTGTTCAAGGACCTTGTCAACGGCGTGCCCACGGCCTACGACGACCTCGCCAAGCTCGTCGAGGATCGCGACGGCACCCTGTCCAAGGGCTTCGACAAGCTGCCGTCGTCGCTCCAGAAGCTCGTCACCCAGCTGCCCGACAAGATCACGGGGAGCCTGGCGCCCGAGATTCTCGCCGCGGCCGCGAGCAAGCAGGGCATCAAGTCGGATGCCCAGGGCGGCGTCAAGGGCGTCGCCAAGAGCATCCTCATGCCGCACAACCTCGCCGAGCTGGTGACCAAGCCCGGCGCCATTGTCGGCATGCTGAGGGCCATTGTCGAGGTGCTCAAGACGCGTTGGCCGGCCTTCATTGGCATGAACGTCATCTGGAGCGTTGCCCTGACACGTAAGTCGTTTCCCTTGACTCATTCCCATGTACGCCGAGACTGACCGTCTTCCATCAAGTGCTCCTCTTCATGCTCTGGTACTGCCACAAGCGCGGCCGCGAAGTGCGCCTGGAGCGCGAGCAGTCCGCGGTCGCCATCGACGGCAGCGACCGCATCGAGGAGCTACCCGACGACCCGACCCTCCCCGCCCCCGAGCCGAGGGTGGCAGATGTCTCAGGGCGGTCGTCGTCGACCACTCCGCAACTGTCACATCGCCCTACTGCCCAGCGTCGCGATACGTCCGGGTCGAATCGTCGTTGATACGTGTAATGAATTGATGAAATGGGGTTCAGTGGGCGCTGTTTTCTTTTTTCCTACCCTTACGAGAATGCGCTGTTTTAGTCAAGGCACGATGAGCTTGTACGTGTTTCTCTGATAGCGGCGCGTCACGCCGTGCGGTCTCAAGGCCATGCCTGTATGCGCATTGAGATCGGTTTTTCGCCTGTCAAAGTCATGGGTATCTTGAATCGAACACACCAAAATGCAAAATGGCCAGTGTTTGCCTTCCAACAGCTTTAGTAGTCCTGCACCAGCTCCTTGATCTCCTCCCGGCCCGGACCCATGGCTACGCTGCCGCTGCTTCCCTGGGCGCCTTGTCGGTCAGTCGCGGCGCCGCCGTCCTTCATCCAGAAGTCCACCTCGTCGATGACGTCGTACACAATGTCCTCGGCAATCTGCTGCCTGTAGCGATCAAAGACGTCCCGGACCCTGGCCTGCTGTGGCTCCTCCGTCGGCACCATGTCGACCTCGCCGTTTGTGGAGTCGTACTCTGGTGGAGGGTACCAAAAGTCCGGCCCGAAGTTGACCTCGGCGGCACCGCCCCGGAACACGCTCACGGCCGGGTAGTAGCCGAGCATGCCGTCGTCGAGGCCCTCGCGAGCGCCGACCTGGGGCATGGGCCTCGACGCGGGGGGGAGAAAACCAAGGAGGTTCTCAAAGGGCGTTCCCATCAAGACTCCGTTCCTGTAGATCCTGATGCACGAGTTGGGCAGTGTGCGCAGCGCGGGGGAGGGATGGTTGGGATTGGGTGCCTGGGAAGATGAGCCGAAGCCCATGGGGGACGGGTTCATCAAATCCTCCAACTCCTTGGTGGTGTGATACTCGATCTTTTCGAAATACGTATGCGCCTTGAACCTGATGGGCACTCGGTCGCGCACGATGTTGGGCGCTTCCGTGGCTAGAGAAGGCTCGTCGTCCGCTGCATCCAGGGCAGGGCTGTAGTCTCCCGACATGACCTTGCGATGCAGGTGTTCCGAGGGCAGTTGTATTTCCAGACCAATCACGTCGCCCTCGCGAATGCTCTCGCCGGGAGGGAAGAACTCCTTTGGGCGCGACATGTGCACCTTTTCGCCAGAGACGTCTCGAATGCCATAGCTATACGCGTCGAAGCCCACGGGAGCGTCGAGCGAGGCCTCGCGTCTTGCCCAGCCCATGCGCACGTGTGTTCCGCCCTCGAGCTTGCCAGAACCGTCCTTTGCCGCCCTGACGCCTCGGGTAATCTTGCACTCCCAGTAGCACCGACCTTGTCGGACCGCCACGTTGGCCCGCGCCATGCGGAAGCCCTTGTCTGTTGTGATGTGCCGGGCGGACTTGTCGAAGAAGACGTGGGGTGCGGCATCCTCGAAGCTCATGCGTGGGCCAAAGGGCTCCGGCTCCGTCTGGCGGTAGTAGATTATGGACGGGAAGAGAGGGTCGGCTATGCAGTGCGTGTAACGAAAGTTTTTCTTGTTAAAGACGCTTCGCCGGGTCAGCCACGAGCTCCACGCAAACGCAGGTTTTTACGACGGGGGGGGGGATCTGAGGCAGGAGAGGGCCGTCGGGAGCATACTGTTCTGAGGTCTCGAAGAATTCGATGTTGCGACCGTCGGACGCTGTGACGTCGTGGTGCAGTGTGAGAATCGGCCCGCGAGGCAGATCAAAGTCGGAAGGCTTCGGGGGTGCTAGCTTGTATCGCAGGGGGCCGGAATCGCTCTGCTTTGGTTCGCGGGGCGCCTTGGGATCTGGCGTTGCAGGATTGCTGTCGCCGGCCTTGGCCTCGCGCTTCTTGAGCGTGTCTTTTTTGGTCCGAGAGGGCTTGGGCCGGTTCGGCTGCGACGCGTCCTCTGGCGGCTGAGGCTCAAATGGTTTTACCTCTGCGTTGAGGGGCGACGAGACGGCGGGACTGTGGCCTTCGTCCAGAGGGCGTTTATGCGGGATCGAGGAGAGCGAGGCGGTCGGGGTCGACTCCCGTTTGGGCGCCTCGGCGTCTGAGGACATGCTGCTTCGCCGGTGCCGCGTTGAGAGGTGGTGATGGGCGTGGGGGCGATGTTGGGGGAGTCGAGGGCGAGGGTACGTGCATGTACTGCTGACGATGCCGGGCCAATCGGCGGGTACAAAGTACCCGAGCGGTAGTTGGTAGATAAGATCAAGATTGAGGTCAGATGGAGAAGATAAGATAAGATAGCGGCAATCAGCATCCGTACCTTGCACTTATTGTACTAGGCACAAGGCTTGTATCATTTTGAGCCTGGATAAAGCCATGGTGTCGGGTGCAAAGTCGTCTATTTTGCTGGAGCCACGCACCATGGCACCTCCACTCTGTAACAGATAGAAAGTCAGGCACTGAAATATTCGAAAGTCGCCGACCCCTAGTCATCAGCAGCCCAGTCCTAAACAGGACTAGCTCTGCTGTCGTTTGCGATGGGCCCCAATCTCCTGGGCTGCTCTCCGAACTCGGCCAATCGCAGGGCAGGGGATGTAATCACCGCCTTCCAACGGGCCTTTCATTGGGCGAGCAGCGTGTCAAAAGGTTGGCGGTGACGCTTCGTGGCAGGTGCTGCAGGGTACATGCATTTTACATGCTCCCTTCTCACTTCTTCTTTGCCCGCCAGCGAGCGTGCCGACCGTCGTGAACCCAAGCAGACTCAGCCATCGGGGAATCCGGACCAAGGTTTCATGCATTGCGGAGGCGCCCTTCAGCCGCTGCCTGAGGCCACTTCATTTCACCTCACATTGCCTTACCTCAGTGAAACCTTGCTGACCCCGGACCGCGCACTCGTCCAGTCAGCCCCGGCCCTGATCATTTGCAATCCTCGCTCGCTCGCCGGCTCTGTATCGGCGGCCCCGCGATACCACCGAGTCGGACAAGGGTATCTGGTGCAGGCGCTACACGCACGCACTTGGCGCCAACACTGCCAAGTGCAAGGGTCTCTTTTCCTCTCCTCCTCTCGCCCTGTCTTGCCCGAGACTTCGCCCCTCGCCTCAACTTCATTTCCTCCCTTGCGAGCCAGCGCGCTCGTCTCCGCCCCGTGTTCCCTGACAGCCTCTTTCGCGTGGTAGCGATACAACCTCACCCCGATCCGGACTCGGATCCCCCGGCTTGACCCCCAGGCACCAGTCGCCCGCGCAAGCGTCGCTGGTCCTGGTGCTGCGCGTCGACGCGCCTTCAGCTACTGTCGACTTCCTCCTACACACGTCCATCGTCATTGGGCCTCCACTCCTCTCTACTACTCCTCGAATAGAGGTGTCACTACGCCTCGGAGCCACCACCCGCGGGTGCCCTCAACACGAAAGCATCTATCCGCTCCTTGGGCCTTCCCATCATTGCATGCTGATGAGCCAAATGACGCCTTCGGCGGGCCCGCTGGCCCTGTCTCGGGAGCCCGGTTCTATACGCACAGCCCTCCCGTCTAGGCCAATGTCTTCCAGGGCTCGCGACACCGCCGAGGCCGATATGCAGGACCAGGCCCGCTCTCCGCTTGACAGGGACAGCCGGGCGCCCCGACGCTCTCCCGGCAGCGCCTCTCCGGACTCAAAGACCAATCTGATCAACGCAGAACTCGGTTCAACGAGTGTCCCGAGTTCAAGCTCTACCATTGGAGGGGGGAATGCAAAGACTGGTAATGCTCACGGCGGGCAAGTCTGCAGGTCAGTCGGCTCAACCTCCGTCTTGAAACGCCGATCCGAGTGCTGACTGCAGGACAGTAATTGCGGCACCACTCGAACGCCGTTGTGGAGGCGATCCCCCCAAGGAGCGACGATATGCAATGCCTGTGGATTGTACTTGAAGGCAAGAAATACGTCGAGGCCAACAAGCCTCAAGAAACCGCCGAGTATCGTCTCTACGGGCTCGCCTCGCTCAACTCTTAGCAAGACCAACCCGGCATCCAAGGCGCCCTCGAACTTGGCGGGCGCAAACTACGTCTCGGCCGAGCAGACACCGACGGGAACATGCCCCGGCGGTGGACGTTGTAACGGAACCGGTGGTGCAGCAGGCTGCAATGGGTGTCCGGCGTTCAACAACCGCGTGTCCAAGAGCGCGCAGCTCAACGTCACGCAGAGACAAAAAGGCTGTTCGGATTCGGCGGAAGGCGCAGCAGACGAACCTACCCCGATTGACGTGAACGCTCTTCAGGCACTGAAGAATCAAGATGCAACCGTTGTCATAGCATGCCAAAACTGTGGGACCACGATTACGCCGCTATGGCGGAGGGACGAGAGCGGACACACAATTTGCAATGCTTGTGGTTAGTGTTTCCGAAGTGCCTCGTCTCGGGCGCAGAACTGACTGGACGTGTTCACAGGTCTCTATTACAAGCTCCACGGGGTACACAGGCCAGTCACGATGAAAAAGGCCACAATCAAGAGACGCAAACGGGTTATTCCTGCCTCGCAGGAAGAGGAGCAGGACGAATCAGCCGAGTCGGTGGGCGCGCGCAGCCAGGGCCAGACGCCCGAGAGGGGAACGGAAAATGAGGATGGGTCCATCAACCTGGGACTACGGCGACGACCGGACCATCCCTTGACCATTGAGCCCGAGCCGGTGGCAGGGTCAAGCAGGCAAAGCCCTCCCCTGCCATCTGCGTCTGACCTCGCCGCATATCACCAGCCGAGAGGAGGGCCGCGAAACGTACCAAGCCCCCCCAACGACGACAATCGGCTGCCGCCAATGTCTTCGATGGCGGCAGTCGTAAGTGACAGGCAGTCGTCCTTGTCACCGGCATCATTCCTCTCGTCGAGACGAAAACGATCCTTTTCTGCGACGGAGACAGACGCGGGGAGCGCGACGGACAGCGGCCACGACAACGCGAAACGAATATCTTCCATCAAATCCATTCTGAACCCTCCCATGTCACACGACGGCCCGATTTCGAGACCGAGCAGCGTCGATAGAGATTATACGCTCCCACCGCTTCGAGGATCAAGCTCGGGTCTTGCACCCAATGGCAGCCCCGTGTCAGCACCAACCGCCAACCCAGCTGGGTTTGGGCGACTGAATGGGGTACAAGGCGCCCGCGATTCGGGAGCAAACGAACGGCTCAAGGCTGAGCGCAGGCTGGCTCTGCAGAGGGAGGCGGATCAGATGCGGGAGCTGCTTGCTGCTAAGGAGCGAGAGCTAATGGAGCTCTGAAACAGCCAAGTTGAAAAGCCGCGAGACTTGAGCATCTAGAATGCTGGTGACTGGACGAGAGGGTTTCTCCCGTCAGAGCGAGGAGTCAAGCGGATTTTGGATGTGAGGTCGAGGAATATAGCCACGGAAGATACGGAGTCTTGGTGGGCGACTTGGTGGCACGTTGAGGTCTTTTTGACCCGGGCCGTTGTCTTTTTCACAAAAGAGAGTGAACAGCAGCCTCCAGCAGGGCTTGTGTTGACTGGCACGACTGCATGGGCTGGTCTCATCATAGATGGCTTAGCCGCGTGAGCGCGGTGACAGTGTCCTGGTGTCTGATCCTCATGGCCTTTACGACGTTGAACAGGAAACATTTTGATTCTTTGGCTGCCCTATGGCTTCGCGACGTCTTTTGCGCGGCATCGTTAGATGCTGAATGGCACCTACACGTCCTCGGCTGACGGCATGGGCGGATAAGCGACGAGCTGCCCTGGTTTGAAAGTCTAATCACCCGCGTTCGAGCAGATGCACCGACGGTTTGCTCGATGGAGGTGACAGATATGGTGACAAGTATGCCGTGTAGTTGGACAAACATAGGCGAAAAGTCATGAGCTGACTGTATTGCATGGTTGTCCATGGCGAGACGCGACTTACTAATACGAGGTGCGCCGGAGCGCGAAGGAAGACAAGGCTATTGGGCGCGACCTTGACTCATTCATTGAAACCGAGGCGCAGAGGACCTCGTTTCAGCGGTGGAAACCTGGGGTCAGCGGCGGAAATCTCGAGACGAGGGCTGAAAGTATGTATCTGTCGAGAATTGGGGGGGGGATGCGCTTTGAGACGCATACCGTAGGCACATGAGGAGCTGTTCCAGGAAGGCGCGGGCGTAGGCGGCGGCGGCGGCGGCGGCGGGGTGGGTGCCGGAAGCGGGATCGGGGAGGAGCGTCGCAGGAAGGGCCGACAAGTAATAACACGTAATTACAGTATGACTGGCGCGCCGACGCCCTACCAAGTGACGGCGCCGATCGGTGGGTGGGGCGGTGGAGAGAATGAGCGGACGTTGGTTCTGGTAGCCTCTGCCGAGTCATTGACGACGAGAGAAGGTTCTAGAGTCATCTACCGGCACATCTGACACTCGGAGACAAGCGTTATCACATCTTATCTGCATCCTTGGCCGCAAAGAGCATCTACAGTACAGTACAGTGTGGATCAGGCAAGGCAAGTACGTAATGAAGGCATCTACTGGCTCTTTGCACGACCTGGCTTGACGACGAAGCGGCGGTCTGGTCAGCCCCTTGACTCTGGGAAGGTGGCGGATGCACAGGCATGACGGCGTGCCAGATAGTCGGGTCAATGCATGATTGGTCGTTACAGCATTGTCTTCTGTCTATGGATAACTATTTGGTAAAAGAGGAGAGGCAAGGATGACGAGAACTGGAGAGTCTGCCACACTCTCTCATTGGATTTGTGCGTACATGCTGTTAGAACCTGCAAGTGTGTACGAATATAAAGCAAAGAACGCCAGTCTCCTTCAGCCCTTCGACATGGAACAAGACGCATCGTGTCAGCCCAAGGGCGCAGAATTGACATGAAGACTGGGCCGTTGGGCGCGTTGGAACCCCTGACCACCCCGCCGAAAACCGGGACCGCTAAGGAGACGCCGGCCCGGCTGTAACTTACAGTACATCTATTTTGCGCGCGCATCATCGGCTCGTGACTCCTCGCCCCCCTTCAAAGAAGCCGCGCTGTGCTGGTGACGACGCGCAACGGTAAACATATACGAGTTACGGCGTCTGATCGCACATCAAACAGCCGGTCTCTCCACACCGGAACTCGGCTGTACGTACTTGAATCTCAGCGGATACCTAAGGTACCTAAGGTATCGAGCAGGAGGTATTAGTTACGTACCCCGAGGTGCTAAAGGTAGTTTCCCCTCCTGGTGGTCGCTCCTCACTCCGACGGTCGGACATCAAGAGCCGCTGCAGATGTAGTTCGGGGAAGGTGCCGCCTCAACACCACCACCTCCCTGCCTTCCTTGCCTATACGTGCACGCATTTCTCCAATCTCGTCCCGACTGGATACCCCCGGTCGAGGTACCTTCAATTAGTAAGATAACCTCTGCCCATCAGACAAAAGCATCCTCGCCCGCCCCATCTTGATGCCCTCCCCTCCCATTTCTCCTTGCTACTACCTGTACACAAGAACTTGGACATCCTCCGGACGAATATAATTCACGCCCCTGTGTCTTGTGCTCACGGCTCACGGTCCCGACGGAGCGGCTTCTATTTCTGATCCATCCAATTGTCATCGCCGCCCTTCACCCTTGTTGGGTGACATCGGACCTGCGCCCTTCCGCTGGCGCCCTGGCTCAATACGCCCTGGCTCAACACGCCTTTGTCTTGATCGAGTGCCATGCTTAACGAGATGGACAAGTTTATCGATTGGAACCAGGCCGGCGTCCCCGAACATGACCCTCTCCTCTACGCCATCGCTCCGGGCGCTGACAATGAGGACGTGGACCTCTTCTTGGCCAACTTCAACGACGATGGCTTCGATCTTGGTGCTCTCGACCACGTCGACGACAATGAGGACGCTCTCATTGCTGCCATTGACCTGCCCATGGATGGCACCCCTGCCCTCGACTTGCTGGAGCACACCGACGTGCCCTGCCTTCACTGTGACCTCGGCGCCTACTCTTGCAAGAAGATACGCGAAGGTCGCTACAGGGGCTACTGCACTAGCTGCGTGGCCCTCGGTGTCGAATGCAGTTTTGCTGGCCTAACCCTCGACGCTGAAGCTACTACTCTTCCCGCCAACCCTTGGCCCGTCATCGGCCATCATCCGTTGACTACGTACACCGCGGAACCGCTCCGCGAGACGCCTCAGATGACACCCACATTGTCGTTATCTGACCTGCTCAATCCGTCGTCGAGCGTCCCGGCCGAAGACGTTGGCATTGTGGCCCCCAGGCCCGGGCCCCCTCCCAAGATTGGCGCTCGCTTCTCCAGGGAGTCGCTGCGCATCCTCAAGAACTGGCTGTCCTCGCACAATCGGCACCCGTATCCCAGTGACGAGGAGAAGGAGGCTCTCCAGCGCCAGACGGGCTTGAACAAGACCCAGATCACCAATTGGCTCGCAAACGCCCGTCGCCGGGGCAAAGTCCAGCCTCCCCGCTCGACGTCGCCTCATGTTGGCGCATGGGCTGGGCCCATCGAGATCCCTGCGAGGCGCGGCACTCCCGCTGTCGAGGCCATGAACCCGCTGCAGCGTTGGGAACATTCTCCACCAGAACACGAAGCTGCCTCGGTGACAGCCATTGCTAGGGCCGTCACGGCGTCGTCGTCGTCTGCCCTATCCTCCAGACTCAACAGCCCCTTCAGTCTCAACTACACCGACGACGGGTCCAACAGATCCCTCTGCAACCAATCTTCGACCAGCAGTCTGGGCACCTCGCAATCCAGCAACGGCTCCCGCAGCTCTGCCTACTCGCACGGCTCCCGAAACTCCTTCGGTTCCTTTGGATCCGCCCCCTTTAGTGCCAGGGGCCGACGCCGCCGGCGCCGGAGGGCGGCGCCCAAGCACGCTAAGGAGAGCACCACGTCTCTGACCGCTCCGCTCAAAACTTTCCAGTGTACCTTCTGCACCGACACTTTCAGGACCAAGCATGACTGGCAGCGGCATGAAAAGTCCCTCCATCTCTCCCTCGAGAGATGGGTCTGCGCGCCCAACGGCCCTCGAACCATCAATGCAGATAACGCTCAGTTGTCTTGCATCTACTGCGGTCTCGCGAACCCTGACGACGCGCATCTGGAAACCCATAATCACTCCGCGTGCCAGGAGCGGACGCTGGAAGAGAGGACCTTTTACCGGAAAGATCACTTGAACCAGCACCTTAGGCTGGTCCACAACGTCAAGTTTGCGGACTGGTCTATGCGGCAGTGGAAAGTGGCCAGCCCGGAGATACGGTCTCGCTGTGGCTTCTGCGGCATCGTCATGGACACTTGGACCATCCGTGTTGACCACTTGGCGGAGCATTTCAAGACTGGTTACTCTATGGCTGATTGGAAGGGTGACTGGGGTTTTGATGTGCCTGTCCTCGACATGGTTGAGAACTCGATTCCTCCTTGTACGTGGGCTCTGCACCGTTCTCCAAGCCAGTCATACGTGTCTAACCCGCGAAATAGATCTCATCCACCACGAACGCATTTCTCCCTTGCCATACGTGGCCTCCCATTCACCTCCCGAGTCCCCGCGAAATGCCTACGAGCTAATCAAACTGGAGTTGGCTTACTTCGGCGCCAATTACTGGGAGCAGCATCAACGGGCGCCGACCGACGAGGAGATGCAGCTGGAAGGGTGCCGTGTTATCTTTGCCTCGGAATTGCTGTCGCTGCAAGGCGTCGCGACGCAGGACTCGTGGTTTCGTGACCTTATTATGAGCTCCATGACTACCGCGAAGAAGGCCCGTTTCGGTCCGCTTCGTGGTGCCGCCGAGAGCAGACTCGCGTCGCTCAAAATCAACGGCAAGGACAATCTCTTTGAAGCGTGCCCCATGGAGATCCAGCTGCAGGGTTTCGTCAAGGCCAAGCAGCTTCTGGGCCTGACAACAATGGACGACGAGCTACAGGAGGAGGCTTGCAAGATCGTTGGACGGGTCGAGGAGGTTTGCACCCACCCGTCTGAGTCTGTCGCCAACTGGTTGTTGCGTCTCATCACGACTTCAACAGACTGGCTGGCAGACTTCCGGCGCCGAGCACATCTCCCACGTACCGAAGACGTTCAGGACATGACCATCAGGTCCACCGACCCCAAGTCCATCGACTCCACAATCCACAGCTACTCGCGGCTGGAGCGTGAGCTGACCGACTTTCTGCGGCTGCGGAGATCCGCGGGCGTTGAGCCCACAGACGAGGACCTCCAGAAGCAGGCGCGTATTATCATCTACGAGTTTGACGACGGCTGGAACCAGACTGCTGCCGACAACTTCCACTGGCTTGAGGCCTTTAAGCAGCGCCATCCCCCGGAGCAAGGATCCCCGACTACCTCGATGAGCTGTCCCGAGCAAGGCGCGACGCAGCCCTCAACTGCAGCCTCGGACCATACCCGGACTCCGTCGGAGGCCTCGGTCCCGGCTGGACATAACGACTTTTCGGACTTGCTGAAGCCAGGCGTCAACAACAATGCGAAGCCTATGACGTCCTTCCTCAACGACGCCAATTGCTACCTTAGGCTGGCCAAGGAGATGCGGCGGTGGGTCAAGTCGACCATGTCGCCGAACAATCCCAATCGGCATGTTCCGACGGACGAGGAGCTGCAGTATCAAGCTAGATGGATTCTCTACGATGAGTAGGTCCCTCTACCGGAACCGTCTGGACTTGGATAGAGGCTGACTTGTTCGTTTAGCGATGACCCGTGGAACCAGACCGCGGCAGACAATGCGGAGTGGCTGCAACGATTCAAACGAGATGTTGGCATCGTCAGTGGACCGGGTCCCGGGTTGCCCCCGGGTTATGCCTGGGCACTCGAGCAGGGTGGTACCGGCTTCGCGCCGCCGTATGCATTCCCCAAGGGCCACGTGGAGCCCTTCGAGGACAACGTTCGAGTGAATATGCGGCAAGGGGCCAAATCGTTTGGTGCGGGGCAATGTGCGGCAAACAGCTTCCTAGAGACGTTGACGTCGGATAACTGTCGGCTGCCGAGCGTGTTTTGCTCGCGCGAGCTAGAAGGCGGGCTGATCAGGTTCGTGGATGAGAGCATCAAGGACAGTGGCCGACAGCCCACGGACGAGGCGATCCAAGCCAAGGCCCGGGAAATAGCCAAGTCAACCGAGACGGCAGCGGATGACCCGGTTCTCCTCGGGAAGTTCAAGGAGTGGATACGGGACAAGCTACCACACAGCCTGCCAGCCGAAGATGTGGATGCGGATGTCAGCCTGCCCTGTCTGCTGCCTACGGACATGGAAGTCGACATCTCAGACGAGCAGCTCGGTGACATCTTGCAGGGCCTGGAATTCGATGTTGACCCGGCTGGCACCAACACAATATGCTAGAGGTGGCAACCGATTATGATCTGAGGAAGCCCAGGGCGATTGGGCAAGGCGAGGAAAAGGGCAAGAGATTTGGAGTTGATGGAGGAGGTTCAACATGCGATGCGTCATAAAAGACTTGTGTTTTGCCTCAACCCAAGTCTAGATGTGCTGCAGGCGGGTAAGGAGCATGGATTTTTTATTACACCTGGTAAGCTGGGCGGCGTTTACCGAGCTCAGTTCGTATTTAGTTGATTCAACGAGGAGCGGATCTGGGAGGCGAGGCCGCCGACACGGGCGGACTCTTGAGCAATTTCAGAGGCATACACGTGTAAGCTGGCTCGATGACGGCCAGGACTAACAAGTGGCATAGGCTAAAACAATCTCACTCTACTATAGATATCGGTGCTAAAATCCGTACTTTTCTTTGTCCGTGTATAACCTAAAACGAGCCAGGCAATAATTATCTTCTATGTATATAGTACAATCACTAAAGTTGCTGTAGCAAATCCCTCGACTGAATTGAGGCGATTCAACCAACTACAATCTGTCGTTGGATTCACGGGGCCACATGAACCTATGAACTTCCCTCTCAGTCACCAGAAAACAGTGAAGGGCCTTGTAAACATGGCTGCCCATGGAGCATCGATTAAGCAACTGTTCCACGCCAGGACAAGTGGCTCGTGTTTGCGGTTTTTATTCGCTTGATAACTGAAAGTATGCCCGAGATAGGTGAGCGCCTGCGACTTAAGCTCACCGAACTTTCAAAGGTCGGGGCGGGAAGTTGAGTATAACAAGGATGAGCGAGTACGTAGTTCGGGATGGAAACTTTAAATAGAGGAGGACACGCAAGAGTCGAGGCAATCTGGAATTCTTAACTTTAATTCTCGACTCGAAAATTATAGACGTGTTATTAATTTTTTCCCCCTCATTATGACAGAAGAGGCCGATGTTACACTGACCCTTCAAGCTCGGGTGTATTTTTCAATTTCGTTGGTTCTCACACGGGCAAAGCCGTGAGGATTGTACCTATACTGCTGTTGGAGGCACCTACGGGCTTACCGAGCCGGAGTGGAGAGGCCGTTGAAGGGGCCGCGAGTGGCGCTGCTGGCGGGAAAGTGCTTTCAACAGTCTTTGCTGCGTCCACACGCCTAAACCTAGCTGGGTTCAAACGGGCATAAAGTGAGAGAGAAGGATGCTGATGCGGAGACTTATATTATTATTAACGGGGACGACACTGCCGGGCTCTGGACTACGTCTGGCAAGTCCTTTTGTAAGACTTGTGCCATTCCAATCGGATAATAAGGATTTTGAATGAAATGTCCACAGTTCTATACGTGCTTGTAAGGAGGAGCTGCTCCCACCAGTCTAGATAGATCATCGTCTTTAATCCACAACAGCGCCCGCGTGCCTTGTCTTGTAATTCTGGCCAAAAGACCTTCGTATCGCCTCTTCCCCTCTTTATAGTGATGTTTAATGTTTCCCCTATCCTGCGCTGGTTGCCCGTAATTTTTGAAAGGGCTAGCCTCCCTCCAACAAGCTCGGCAAAGGGGGTAGGTATATTAAATCTGCGAGGTAAAAGGTATAACTAATATCACTGGGCTACCTTTTCAGCGGCGAGACGTCTATGCGCCTTAATGCCTTAGTAGAGGCCGCCATATGGCTCGGAGGGCTAAACCAGACGGAGAGGACAGAAGGTTCTAAAGAGTACATGCGTGATTGTTACAGGATGTCTTGGAGGCCCTGTGACAAACGGCTGCGCGAGTCCATCTAGACAGCGATGCCGGATGGAGCGAGTAGTTTGATGTATTGCACTGAGTTCTCGAGAATCAAGTCGTAAATACATTGGGCGCAGCTGCAGAATCACAACGCCTAAAGATTTTGAGCAGAGATGAGCTCACTGCCACGAGTTTCTTGTGAGGCATAGCAAGTGTCCACAGCGTAGCTCCTGCTGTGCTGCATTGTGCTGCTTCAAACTCGCGACTCTGGCTGCTCACCACACGAATGAGTCACCCCAATCGATCCGGCAACATGAACCCCATTTACACACTTGCCCTGGGACTTGCTTGAGCCGGACTGTGTCGATGCCGTAGCAGGTGCGGGAGACTGCGTGCTTCGCGGACCCGTGCCGGGACGCATCCCGCTCTTAGAAGGGTGAGTCTTCTCGGAGCTAGTAGGTGGACTGAGTGATTGCCTGGGACGCTTAGACCGTAGCCGCTCAGTGTCCGATGACATGGAACTGGACCCAAGACTCAGTGACGGATCACCACAGTCCAACACCGCCGACTCTTTCCTCGGCTTCTGTGAATCGTCCTCCGTGTATAAATATCGGGGGGTGGCGACTCCCTCGCTATCGTCGTGGACGTCGTAGTCGGTGCTGTCAGCAATGTTTAGCTGAAGCGCACTCTCATTGTGCTGCCAGGCAGTATATGCTGAGCGATCCACAGATCCAGGCTGTCCGTGAGAGGCTGGGATTTCTCCGTGTGCCTCGGTGATATCTTGAGTCAATTTCGCAGCTTGAGCTGCCCTGGCGTTCGCGGTCTGTATGAATGCGTTTCGGTGCCGTCTAGATAAGTCCCTAGCGTTCCTGAATGCTGTAACGCCCCGTCGAAAGGTGTTGATGTCTCCAGTCAAGGCATACGCTCCTAGCTGGGACATGTGGTATTCGGGCCGCCCTTGTCCGGGTGCCTCGGTGATGTCTTCTTGAACCAATCTAGCAGCTTGAGCTGCTCTGGCGTTCGCGGTCCGTATGAATGCATTTCGGTGCCGGTTCGCCACATATCTGGCGTTCCTAAATGCTGTAGCGCCGCGTCGGAAAGCGTCCACGTTGCCAGTCATCCCCCAGGTGTCAATCTGGGTCATATGGTACTCGGGCCGCCCTTCTACGGTGCTCGGCGCCGTAGCGTGGTGCGCGTAGAGCTGAAGCGTGCCGGTGCCGGCGTAATAAGTCGAGCTGTATGTGTACGCATTGCCGTCGTATATCGGTTCGGCCTCTCCGTATTTTTGCAAATCCTGCATAATGCGGGCCCCGTATGCCCCATCGTAGCACGCCTGCCTCTGGGCCACGGATGGATTCCCATCTGGCCCCTTTACTTCGAGGAAGAAGTTTGGTGCTACCGGGACGCGGGGGTGCTTGGTGGGGAAGATAGTTGATCGAAGATTCTGATCGTCCCTGAGCTCTTGACTAAGGTCTTGTAGGCGAGCTCCGTCGAAGAAGTCCGGTTTCGGCTTTACCGCGCTTTCGCTCGTGATGGGCTCGAGCTCGGTGAAGAGAACGTTTTGCTTCCTAGGAATGTTAGTGTTCCCACAAATCGTAGGAATAACTGTAGCCATGACATCACTCTCAAAGGTAGCTTGGATGTTTCTCTGTCGAAAGTCTCGGAACGCTGACTGTGGGAAACGGGAGGGAGAGAGAGAGGCCCTTTCGGCCAACAGCTCATCATAAGTATCGCCCAAATTGCCAGGTTCAGGATCCGGAAGGCCGTCCGTATAGTCGTATCCTACCGGATATATCTTATGGTCGATAAGATGTTGTTGAAAGTCCTTGTTGTATGCGGAAGACTTGCCGCTTCTGGTGTCAACCTTGATTGCCTTTGTCGATTGCGTCCGTCGACTTCGAGAAGGCGTCGAGGAGGATGGAGTGGCATCCATGACGGGCGTGTCTTGCGTCGGGCCAGAGAACTATTGAGCATTAGACAGCACTCGACAACAAGCAAACGGGGACTTACCCCTCGGAGATGACGAAGATCTGGACCGCCGCGTCTTGCAAATCGAGCAAGGTCTCCGTCAACCGGGGCTATGGGCAGCGTGGGCTGGCGCGGGGCCTTGCTTCGCCGATCGAGTTCTCGCAAGGCACGCGGCGTGAGCCAAACCTTGGACAAGTCGTCCCAAAACGAGGGTGGAAAGTTGGTCTCTCGATGGCCTCTCGCCGCCTTGAGTCGCCTCGCTGGAGTGCTATCTTGGGAGAGACGGTCTGTGTTCGGTCTCTTTCGATTGCACACACTCGCCATGGCTGGTGTTGTACAGAAGTGGCATCAAGTTGAAGCATTGGAGGGTCCAGGCCGGGGTAAACGGCCGCCTCTCAATATGCGACGAGACATGAATGATTGGAGAGGAACGCGTTGCCTGCCAGGGCGCGGGTACGGGGGCTTCGCTTGGAGAGCTGGAAGCCCATGATTAGCCGCCCACACTTGCATAAAGGAGGGTGGTCTCTCTCGGTCACAAGCCGCGCCATATGGGAATACTTGCATGTTGCGTCGACTGTGAATAGTGAAAAGTGTCAGCGGGGATGACCAACGTCCGGCCCCAACGCGTGGAGTGACGTGAATGACGTGGGCATGGGCGGTAATTAGCGGCACCGGATAAATGGTATGCCGCCCGCACACCCATCCATATCTCCCAAGCCAATCAAATCGAATCAACCAACGGTGCCGCGCAGGCGGGGCATGATAGGATGAACGAATGTATTGTCAGTCGACTGCTACATACTCTTTGGATATCCGTTTGCAGCCAGATGAACAGGGAAATCTATTGCTCTCCGCATATTATGTATATATTTATATAGTCATATTACCTGCGGACCCACTCTTTAAACAAGGACGGCGCAATCTATATGCTCTGTCTTAATATAACGACCTAGTAGTTAACCAGTAATGTTAAACGCATAGTTATTAATACACTAAAAAAAGAAGAAGTAGTTATGTACCTAAGTTAAAGTCCGTTTCCTATAGTTAGCTACCAAACCAAATTCCTAACAGACATAGGGGATTGATTAAGCATGAAAAAGCCAGGACGGGCTGTAAGGGTACAATATTACGCCTACGTGTATTAAATCCGACAAAAGCCAGCAGATGGCTATATCTCGCAACTCACCTTGTCCGCTGCCAGTGCCGTCTTCGATCCAGCGCAAGCCGTCCGAGGCAGAGCGACAGGATCCCGTATGCCCCATATCAATCAGCCAGGTCATCAAAGCACTTAATCACCTCCTCGCCGCCCAGTCTGTGCCCTCTAAGCCGGTCCGTGGTCTTGAGCCCCCTCCTCTTCTTCTCCATCTGCACCTCCCAGAACTTGATATACCTCTGGACCGCGCCTCGACCGTCGGCCACTTCAACCCGTCGCATCAGCTCCTTGTCGACCTCGTCACGCACATGGCAGTCCGGCACCGCTCCAGCCTCGAGAAGCACCTCGACGTTGGGCCAGCAGCCCCCGAAGACGGCACCGTTCAGGGCACTGCCGTACTGGCCCCCACTGATGTCCACTCGAGCGCCGTTTTCCAGCAGCAGGCGCACCAGATCAGCGGATCCTCTGTTGGCCGCGGCCTGCAGGGCTGTGCCGAATGGTCCACCTCGGGCGTCGATGTCGATGTTAGGGCAGCTAGAGAGGACAAGTTCGGCTTTGGTAACCCTCAGACGCGTGCCATGCAGATATCTGTCCCCCAAAAACGAACACATGAATTGAAGTGGGAAACCGTAGTCCCCAGCCGCGAGGTTGACGTCGGCGCCGCAGTCGAGCAGGAACGTTATTCTATTCAGGCTACTTTGTTTAGCCCGAAAAGTGTCCGTTGCGAGTGCCCAATGCAGGGCGGTTCCGTATTTCCCCCCTGCATCGTTGACGTCGACGCCCCGATGCAGCAGCTGCAGCATCAACTCTGGGTTGTAATGCTCAACGGCGGCATGCCACGCACTGCCGTAGGCTCCGCCCCGGATGTGCACGTCGGCGCCGTGCTTAAGCAGTAGAGGGACCGAGTAAGGGAAGAGATCACAGCATATTGCTGCTTGAAGTGCTGTTCCATGCACTCCACCCTCGGCATTGACTTCGCTGCCACGCTCGAGCAGCATTTGCGCCACTTTGGTTTTGCTTCTAGTTTTAAAGCAGGCAGCCTGCAAAGCCGAGCCATAGAGGCCGCCCCGTGCATTCACATCGGCGCCCCTCGCCAGCAGGAGCTCCACCAATGTGTCTGAGTCTTGTTCGTCCGTTTTTAGAAATCTGGCGCACGCAGCCTGCAGGGCATTGCCGTAGTGGCCGCCTTGTGCATTCACATCGGCGCCTTTGCTTAGCAGGAGCTCTACCATGGTGTGTCTGTCCATTTCGGCCCCTGATAGAAATATGGCACACGCAGCCTGCAGGGCATTGCCGTAGTAGCCGCCTTGTGCGTTCACATCGGCGCCTCTGTCCAGCAGGAGCTCCACGACTTCGGTTTCGGCCTGGTATGCGGCGCATGCAGCCTGCAGCGCATTGCCGTACTGGCCGCCTTGTGCATTCACGTCGGCGCCTTTGACCAATAGCTGCTCGATGATGCCTCTTCTTTTGCTCTTCTCTATCGGGTGAGGTGCTGCTCCATGGCCCAGAAAGCAGGCCGCCTGCAATGCCGATCCCAGGTGGCCGCCCACGGCGTTGACGTCGGCTCCTCTGGCAAGGAGAAGCTCCACAATCGGGCCACTGCCTTCCCAGCAAGCGGCTTGCAGAGCGTTGCCGTACTTCCCTCCTTGTGCGTTCACATCGGCGCCCTCGTCGAGCAGCAGACGCACAACTTCGACTTGTCCAGTACCAGCTGCCGCGTGCAGTGCCGTGCCGCGCTCATCTCCGCTGTCTTTGTTTATATCGACACCACGGTCAAGGAACAATCTCAGACACTCGAGGGACTGAACGGCCGCCGGCAGGACACCATCCGTTATTTCGGCACCGCGGTCGAGGAGAAGTCGCACAAGGTCGGGATGCCTCTCCGCTGCAATCTCCAGAGCCGATCTTTTCCTTCTGTCGTCTCCTACCTGATAAAAGCGTCTCCTGCCGTGCTGTACTGCCACGCCGTTCACGTTGGCACCATGATCCAGTAGTAGAGATAGCACATCCTCATGCCCTTTATGTAATGCAGCTAGCAGTGCATTTCCGTAGCAACGGCTTTCGGCGTCAACGTTCGCGCCCATTCGAAGCATGAGCTTTGTTAAAGCTTTGCTGCCGTGGCGCGCCGCATCCTGGAGGGTCAAATCCAAGTCCTCTTGCGTCAAATACTCGACATTTGCTAGCAGCATTTCCGTCGTCTTGGTGAAGCCCTGCAGGGCCATGATGCGGTAAGGTCTGGTCAATAACTCGTCACCTTCAGGCATAAGATCTATAAATCCAGGCATAGGATGTAAAGGAATTGAACAACTCAAGAAAGTGCCTCGACCTATCATACCAAGCAGGCTTTGACTGCGCACGGCTGCCGCGCGTAGTGCCGCTCTCACGACCTCTTTCGGCCAGAACTCGCGCGAAACATTTTCCAGATGAGCTGACCAGAATTCGGCCGCATAACGAACCAGCGGGAAATCGTTACTGTAACTCTCTGATATATCGCGTTGCAGGATGTAGGCAAGAGACGACCGTGCAACGTGTATGTTTGCATCCACGTCCGTGAAGGAAAAGTTTGCAGCCGGCCCTTCAGAGATTCGGCTACAAGTCAAGTACTCTTGAACAGAGTAGTGAGACAAACGGACCTGAACATTCCCGAACCGGGCGGCCACCGTAACGACCAGGCCGGATGACAGGTACTTGAGGACGTTTTCTGGTCTGCAAAGTCGCTCGTTTGCATCCAGTATGGCGTCCTTGTCAAGACGTAAGATGAAGATTTCGGCGACTTCCTCGATTGTTAGGGGCGTCATCGAGCAGGCAAGCCACTTCAGGACGCCCAAGACCTGCGTCTTAAGTTTGGGCTCGATGTTTTGAAGCATTCTGTCGTAAGTCTTGTCGAGTCCGTCTGGGAGATTCTCGAGAGCTTGGCGCACTTCTTGATGGCTACTGACGCATTCCTGAAGGGCTTTGAGCTGGCAAGAGACATACTGGAACCTAGGTCGAGCTGGTGAGCCGCCCTATCAAAGTAGCAAGACACACAACGTGCCAATGTCAGTCCCAATCAAAACTTACATCCCTTCTGCCTTTTCCATCAGCTTCTTTCTTGCATATGTCTTGAGCTCGCTATCCCACTGATACTCGTCAGACTCGAGCGCCGCATCGATATATGCGCTAATGTTAGAGTCGATGGCCGCTCGATGAGCTGTCAAGTCAATAGCGGCACTCGGCGGCAGAGAGAGCTTGGTCATGGCTGCGTTGATATCCTCCTCCTTGCGACTGGTGCAGAAGATGTGCATATTGTCGGGCTGGGTTCTGACGATGCGACTCAAGACGCCAAGGAGCACCTTCCGCTCATTGTTAAACCTCGGGCATTCATCCAGCCCGTCAAGAACGATATAGACGGCCGAGAAGCCGTTGGAAGTAGCCATCAATGCCTCCTCGAGCGATTCTAAACCCGGGCGTTGGCCCTTCTCTTTATACTCGTAAAACTTGCTGATTAGCTGCGGTGTGTCACGCCGATGCGCGTAGAGCTGTTTAACAAGTGATGCCAGCATTGCGGCTAAGTTCTGAGTTTTCAAATCGCTGAAGCTAAAGTAGAAGTATGCGAGCGCTGTCGAGGGGGCGGAATCGTTTAGCCTCAACAGGTGTGTGATGACGGACGAGCTTAGAACGGATTTCCCTGAGCCGGCTGCAAAATGTAAGCTCATGGAGAGGCGCCGGCTTCGAATTAGCAGACGCACCGTTCCCATGAAGCCACAAAAAAGACCTTGGATCTGCCTTCCACCATCTGAAGTCATCGTTGTCCTTTACCAACCATCTGCTAGTGTCGGGAATTGACCTCACAGGCCCAATGTCGTGTAAGCCAGTGAGCTCCCTGTACTTAGTGTTGTTTAACTCAGAAGGGTCGATATTGCTCAGCCAGTCTAGGATCTCTCTGCGCTTGGCGTCGCTGACGGGTTTGTCCAGCCAATCTAGGGTTTCTTGGTGGCGTTTCTGTTGTGCCTTTTGAAACACCATATTGCCCCATATCTTTTTCGCGTCTTCGAAAGCCTTTTCCTTGCGACGAACGTTCGCTACCATCGCGTCCCAATCGTTGCAATTAATCACATCAAGGTAGATTCGAGAGGCTGAATCTTTGGCAAGGTAGCGGTAACTCGATGCTAAAAACTTTAGGATCTGCCGATAAAGCTCCCCTAGAGAATCTTTATATTCGGAAGAAGAGGGTGAGAGAAATTGCTGGTCGTTAGGCGGCTCGTACCGGTGGTTGCTTGTATACAGGTCCTCCAACATCCGACTCCGGCCGATGAGAGACGATACGTATTCTATGCCTTCTGCCAGGCAGGCAGCCTGCTCCGGTGGGTTTTGAAGAATCTGAAGACAATTAGCTCAGTGTGACCACCGGAACGTGCTGCTGCGAAAAATGACTGACCGGCAGCAGTATCACACTGACACCCGCCCACGCTATGGATGCGAACCAATTTGCGTCTAAGACGCCTCCGATGTGGGCGTTGGCCCAGTTCACCGCTTTAGACATTGAATGAACCAGGTGTTTGATCTGGATTTCGGAGCCTCTGATATCGAACTTCCATAAGCCTTTATCGACTTGTTCCATCTTGCGCCTAAGCGCTTCCTCCATCAGGTCCTTTTTGTTCGCACCGGGGTAGACGTCCAAGCCCTCGCAGAGCTTTGATTCATACTGATCGACAAGACGTTTGTCGTCCTTTCGTAGTTTCTCGTATGCCCAGCCCCAGAGCTCGTGAATCGGCACTTCGTGGGCTGCGGGGAGCGACGACGATTGAGGTGAAGAAGTCGGAGTGTCGGACTCTGCTCCATGTGTGAGGGGAGGCGCAGGGGCATTGGAGTCGATGCTCTTGGCCGGCAAAGGACTGCCTTCGGCTCGGGCTTGGGCTTGTAGGTGTTGGCCCGACCCCTCTGTCTGGTCCGATCGACAAGGGTCGCGATTGGACTTGGAGCGATTGCGGACCAGACCTTTGACCAGTTTTCGCATTGTGACTGTGATGGGGAGATGAAGGGAAGACTTGTGCTCAGATGTCGCGATCAGTCAGTACTGAGTAGTAGAGGCTTTATGGCAGCCCCTCTTTGCTCACGTGGGGTTTGAGTCAATCGTTGGATGCCTCTTCATCAGCCGCTGCAGTCAAGTTGGCTGTAAGCAGGAGGGTGGCAGAAACGTCACTGTTTCTTGGAAGTCTGCGCCCAGCTCTGCGCCCAGCTCTGCGCCTCTACCTACGCCTGCCTCTCGCCTGCCTCTACGCCTACTACCTACCTTTGCACCTGCTTTACGCCTCGAGAAAAGGCAAAAGGGATCCTAGATAATTTTTTTTATACGGATTATATATATTATCTAGTCTATAGCGCGAAATAGTAGAGAATAGATAGGAAAAAAGATAGAGTAGTATTAAGTAATAACTATAAGGGCTTTTGCCCTATATAGGCCTAGACTAGGGTCTTAGCTAAGTCTATATATAAGCGGCCTCCGCGTCCGTATAGGCTAGGCCCGTACTTCTCTTCCTTTTCCCCCTCATAGATTATTAACCTTCTTCTAATAGACCGCACCTAAGCCTATACCTCTGCCTACTCTATAATAGTATAATCTACCCTTTATTTTACCCTCTCCGTATCCCTATATATAGAATAGCTATTTTTTTTTAGCTGCCTTTAAAGCCCACGTTTAATTACCTAGTCTAGTTAAACCGCCCCACCGGTATATACGCACGCGAAATATCCGCACTCCTATAGTCGTAAAATTAAGGCGAACGTAATACTTAGTTCGCCTAGGCAATTAAGAGCCTCTTATAATAGCAGGGCTCCGCACGACTAAGAGCGGTACTGCCGTACCTTAATAAGTTCGACGGCTCCTCTATAGAGCTCGAGCTATAGCTACTTTATATAGAAGCAAAGCTCTATATTAATAGCGCCGTAATAAGGGATATCCGCGCCTAATTTAACTATCTTTACGCGAGCCTATCCATACGCTTATAAAGGTATCTCTTACTATTTACGCGTACTAGTATAAATAGACTAGCCGACCTCCTCGCGAAGCTATATACTAATTACGGCGAACTTAATATAGCTAAGTCGGTAGGCTAAGAGCTTATAACGCTTTATTAAAAGTAAAGTAAAGCTATTTTAGCTTACCTTATATAGTTTAAAGAAGTGCTTTATTAAGTAGATATATATAGCTAGCTTAATATAGTAAAGTATAATTACCTTATTATAAGCTTAAATATAGATTAGCGTACTTATTTAAGCGAAATATCTATATTACTAGATATATATACCGATCTCGTCTACCTTCTTCGCGAGCTTAGTAGTAATAAGTTTTTTTTTCGTCTTTTTCTATAATATAAAAAGAGGATAAAGCTAATAATACTATAGATATCTCTATCTCTACCTTAAGGACCGAGGATAAAAAAAGGTAGCGATAGGAAGGTCGCTATATAGGCTATAGTAGTAAATCCTATTAGTTTTTAAAGTACCCGCGCCGGGAGGCGCGGGTAAACGCACTTTAAGCAGTAGAGGGGCGCACGCGCTAGGATAGAAAGAAGGTTAGGTTTAACGATAGCGACTCTAGCGACGAGTAATCTTAGTAACGCCTCTATAGGCTTCGTCGGCGTTCCCTCGCGTACGGTAGCAGCTGCTATACGGACGGGATATATGCCTATAGCGACCGAAAGGGCGGCTAAGATATAGGAAGGCCGCTAATATAATATAACTATAGCGAAAGGGAGTGCCTATATAGCCCCGTATAGGAGGGAGCGGAGCCTTATATACTAGAGTACCGTCCCCTACGTTGCGGTACTAGGAGCTACTACCGTGCGCCGATATAGGGGGGGCGGGATACTATAAGCTTACCGAAGCTAGCTACGCGCCGTTCTACGTACCTCTGCTCCCTAGCTATAAGTGCTAAAGCCCGACTCTTAGGGCGCGGCCCCTACTAATAATATAGTCTATCCGAGAAGCTTGCTTAGGAGGGTATTATACGTTATTTGCTAACGTTTTTTCTACGACTAAGCGTGCGTAGTCCGCGCGAGGGTTCCGTCCCCCTAGGCGCGGTATTAGGTATTATTTAGAGGGCGCCTCTTTAAAAGCCGGGTAGGGGTATAATATAAGGGCTTTGCCTTATATAGGCCTAGACTAGGGTCTAGGCTAAGCCTATATATAAGCGGCCTCCGCGCTTATATAGGCTAGGCCTATACTTCTCTTTCTTTTTCCCTTTATAGATTATTAACCTTCTTTTAATAGACTATACCTAAGCCTATACCTTTACTTACTCCGTAATAGTTAGTAGCTTTATCTTATAAAGGTATTTCTTATAGTAACTCTTATAGTTACCTAAGGTAGTAGAAAAAGCTCTCTACTATATAGAAGCTAGCTTAGAAAAGAGGGGGGCTTAAAAGGGTCCTACTTATTAAAGAAGATTAAATTATAAATAGTTCTATCTATATAAGCTTATAGCTCCTTTACCTACTTATCTTAATCTTAAGGTTTTATAAGAATCGTCTTATAGACTATAAGGGTAGTAAAGTTATTTTTCGATATTATTATAAAAGAGGGGGTAGAAAAGTTAGTTAAAAATTAGCTTTTTAAATAAAAGAGGTAAAAGGAAGCTATAAGGGATATAAAGAAGGTGCCTTTTATAGTAGCTAGAAGGTATAAGAACTCTATTCCTCCTAGGCTTATAACTTATATAAAAGAGATATAAGAAGTATATATAAAATATATAAAGGTAAAATTAAAAGTAAGGGGTTAAAGAGGTAAGGTAAAGATATTTAATTCTTATAAGGGTAGTAATTATAATAAGGGAGTAATTATTATATTACCTTAATTATCCTTCTTTCCTCTATCTAACGCCCCTCTTTATACCTATCTAGTATCTTAATTAATAAAGAAGATCCTACTTAAAGAAGCTACTAATATCCTTTTAACTACCGAGTTTTTTACTGGTTTTTCCCCTCCTTTCTAGCCGTTGCCGGCATATCCGTCTTATCTCTCGCTACCTCTATAGGAAGCTATCGCTACTTCTGCTTCCCCTCATGCTCCCACCCTCCTCTCTGCACCTCTTTTTAGCTCCTTCTTTTAAACCGGTTTTTTAGCTTCCTTGGTCCCTCTTGCCAAGGGATATCTCCGAGAACTGCGAAATCAGGCCACGCTTCGCGACAAGGAGAGTATAAGGCAACCAGCAACCGCTACGATAGTATCCTAAATCACGATTAGTAGATATAATTCCGTTTATAAGGCTAGTAGCTATCCTCCTCTAGAAAAACCTATAGAACGGTGGAAAGCACTATAAGGCAATCTTTATAATATAAAAACAGCTAATTAAAGTAGAAAGAGCAGTGCTTATATAAACGATACATCAATATCTGCCAAAATTTGCTCAGGGCTGGACGAGTCAAGCTGCTGAAATAGATTTTCGAGTCGCTTCGGCATCGAAGATACCATCCAGGACTCGTATATCCTTGCATCACAACTGATTCGAAACGAGTGATCATTCTTCCCGAGTTGAATTTCCACCTGCAAAGCATATTCGTTGAACCATTCTTGTTGATTGACGCTTTGCCACTTGCCGAATCCCACCTCGTCGCTATCAGCCTCCGGTTGAACAATAAGCAGTGTCTGGAACATGCATGATGTCCGGCATTCAGGAGATATTTTGGCTATTTGAGCCAGCCCGGCTTGTTCAAAGGGGGTCATGTCGATCGCCTGTTGCTGTATCTCTTTGAGGTAGTCCGAAACTTTCTGATTGCCAGCCAAGTTCACGCGCACTGGGACTCTGGCGAACGTCGGGGCTGCCATTGACTCGATGTTAGCAACCGGGGCATTTCTCCCGGATATTGCCACGCCAAGTACGACATCTTCGGATTTTGTCATCCACCCAACGAAAATGGCCCAAGCAGCTCGGACAAGGCTGGAGATCGTGGTGTCTCTGGAGCGCCGTTGCGGTTGCCTAGCTCGATATTGAACCAACATGAATGGTTTTGGCTGATCGACTAACGGAGGGAGCATCGGATGCGGCTGATAGTTGCAGCCAGCTAGAGCGTTGCGCCAGTAATTGCGGATCCGCTGGTCATCTTGTTGCGATATATACTTGACATATTGCTGGAACTGAGGTCCCTGTATGAGCGCCTCGCCCTGATATGCACGCTTGACCGCATTCATTATCAGAGGAACTGACCATCCATCGTAAAGTGCATGATGAATCGTCCATACAAACCACTTTGGTGTTCCAGTGCTATCGCTGATGAGCGCATATCGAGTTAGTGGCCGGCCTAGCTCCATTGGTTTCTTTCGGTCGTGCGTAATATATTCATCCAGGTCCTTGGACTCAATCCAATGAATGTCTTCATCCATCACTATTTGCATAATACGGAGACCATGTTTAACAAGCCTTGTACGTAAAATAGGCAAAGCATGAGCAGCCTGTTGCCAAGCGGCGCGCAGTTCTTTGCCTGTTACGAGCGGCGCTAGCTCTAGAACATTTTGGGCGACATAATCTCCCGTTCGCTTCGACTTCAAAGTTATGAGGGATTCTTGAAGAGGCGTACACGGATATGCATCGCGTATAGCAACTTGCTCTAGTTGATAGCAGTTTGAGATGTCGCGAAGGAAGGTAGCAGCAGTCAACCCCTCACCTAACAGCGAGAAGGGCGATATTGCTTCGAGAACACCCAAGTCCTCTCGAACGCTTTGTCTGGCAAGGTCTTGTAGTGCTGGTTGGCGGAAAATGTCTGCGACGGCTAGTTGTACGCCAACTCGGCGGGCTTCGCCCACAAGCTTCATCGCGGCAATTGAATCGCCTCCGAGATGGAAAAAGTTGTCGTCTAATCCGATGGAGGGAGGCTCGATACCTAGGACTTGTCCCCATATTCTTTGCATCAGCCGCTCAACTTTGGTCGTTGGCTGTCGAAGACTCCGTGGCTCTGTTGTCGAATCGAGCAACTGCTTGTGAAGGGCCCGGCGATCAATTTTGCCGCTCCGGTTGAGAGGCATCTTGTCCAAAACTTTGATTGCCTGGGGAATCATGAATGAAGGCAGTTTGGCTCGTAGCATCTGATTGAGTTCGTCCAGCACATTTCGGACCCGTTGCTGTCGAATCGGTTGATTGGTTAAAGAGTGGTATTGGCGGCCCTGATGGTCTGTAGGGAATTTAAACAACGCCCTGGCGACACGGTTTGGTACTTTGGGGCAGAATACGGCATCTAGGCCACCACGTTGAGTGTGCTGTCGGGCCCAGCTAATTTCAACTTGGTGGCCAGTCTCTTGAGCCAGGTCAACCAAGTCAACTACCGAAAGAGACGGACAGGCTTCGGCGATTAGACGTAAGGATTGGACCCAATCGCCACTTTGAACCCATTCCCCCCTTTGGGCGAGTTGGTCGACAAGGTGTCGCTCGAAAATGGTTTTGCGGTGTGGAATATTGCTCAGAGCAACGACGGAAGATGCAGGCGACTCTCGTAAGAGTTTTGAGAGAGACAAACTGTCTAAACCTCTGGCGGAGAAGTCAACCCATTCATCACGGGCAATGTCGTGAATTTCCAGCTGCTGCTGCGTACAGCTGCTGGCCTTGAGGTAAATCACGGCGGCATACCGATAGCAGCTAAGCTCGTTTGAGGCACGCATCCTCTTGGGGAGGATCTCGACGTGTGCAATCCGATTCGGAAAACGATCTTGTAGCGCTGTGAAAAAGGCAGGGTCAATGAGCAGCTCTGATTCTGCTGCCTCCATGTCATCCACCATCCGCTGAAGCATGTCTTTCTGCGCCCCAGAGCCCATGGTGTACAGAGCTCTGGCAGCGAGAAACTCTCTGTGCAAACAGTACGATCGGACGTCACCAAAGAAGATTGTGGTAACGCTCTCCAGCTGGAGTAAGCTCTGGACGGTTTTCAGAAGGTAGCCTTGAGTTGGGAAGTACTGCACCACGGAGTTGAGTATAACCAGGTTCGGCGCAACAGGCGTATCCAGAAGATGCAAGTCCATGGCAGTGGCTTGGAATATCTTGACTTTATCCGCAAGCCAGGGCATGAGCTGGGCGGTCTTGCGAACAAAATCAACAGCGTTGGCTGATGGTTCAAGGCCGACATAACTCTGAAGGCCGTCGGTTAAGTTGAAGAGAATCATGCCAGAGCCTGTTCCTATCTCGAGGATGTGGGCCGGCCGGCTTCTGTCGAGTATTGTTTCGATGGTGTCGTCAAGCCACTCGTTCATGTGCTCAGTAGAGATTTGGGTTCCATCAAGCATAGATGTCCATCCAATGAAGTCTCTGCCGACGTTGTGAGGGAGCAGTTTGTCGAAAGAAGAGTATACTTCTGTATCGAACTGAGTCTCCCACATCTTGATGCGCTGCGCCTCTCTATCAGGTTCCGGTTCGATGTGGCATCCAGAAAGACGTTGCTTGATCGTGATGAAGCTGACGAGTCGTGGAGGCTCACTCTGATGGCTCTGCAGGACGGTGGCGGCGCCATCAACGTGCTCGTGGCTGCGGAGGACGTGCTCGATCTCTTGAAGCTCAACTCGCTGCCCCCGGATTTTGACTTGGGAATCCTTGCGTCCAATGAAGACAATTGTTCCCTCTTCGGTGTAACGAGCCAGGTCGCCAGTTTTGTACACTCGGCCATGCCGTCCGGCCTGGCCGCGCGACCCTCTCAGCAGCCAAACCGGATCGTCAACAAAGGCCTTGGCAGTCGTCTCCGGGTCGTCCAGATACCCAAGGCCGACAATAGGTCCCTCGATCAGCAATTCACCAATGCACCCCAGCGGAGTTAGCTCGTTGTGGTCTTCCGGATTCACGATCCAAGTGACAGCGCCCGCGCCGCTGCCGATGTGGAGGACTCCTTGCTGAGTGACTGCGTCGCAGTTCATGGTGCTTGATGGGGTGCATTCACTCGGGCCGTACAAGTGATGGAGTCGTTTTTGGCCCCACCATCTCTCCACGTCTACGTTAGACAAAGGCTCGCCACTGAAGATTATCGTGTCCACTTCTGGGATGTTTTCGGGCCGCAGAAGCCGAGCCACAGAAGGTGTCAGGTCGAGAGTGTTGGCCTGCAACGACGATATGCTGCCCTCCAGGTTATTTATTCTGTCCTTCTCGCTTGGCACGCAAATGCAGCCTCCTGCAACCAGAACGGCCAGGATGCCGTTGATAGACACGTCAAAGTTGTATGACGCAAAGTCAAATAATCTTGAATCTGTCGCAAGTCCCAACAACTTGACCTGATAGTGTAGAGCTGAAGTAACATTTCTATACGAGATTAGGACCCCTTTCGGTGTACCTGTGCTGCCGGATGTGAAGATGATATAGAGGATTGACAAGGGATTAGGCTCAGGAACTCGTACTGCTGCGCTCTGGTCTTTTGGGGTTATGAAAAAGTCCGAATCAATTACAATCGTGTTTTGTACTAATTGATAGCCCAAATTTCGGTTAGAAAACGAAGATAAAAGTATATCACTTTTTACCTGTTTGATAATTGCCTGCAGTCGCTGTTCTGGAAGAGAAGGGTCGAGCAAGATGAAGCCGCCGCCTATCTTGACTATACCGAGTATAGCAACTACCGTCCACTGGGACTTGTCAAAACAAAGAGGCACTAGAACTCCTGGTTTAACGCCAAGCCCAACAAGCTCGGAAGCTAGAATCGTGACAAGGTGGTCCAGCCTCTCGAAGGTGAGCTGACCGTCCCAAGCACAGATGGCAGGCGCCTGGGGCCGGGTGCGCGCGTGCTGGGCAATCTGTTGATATATGCCCTGGTCATCTGGACACGGAACGCTTCCATTCCATTTCCAGATCTGCTCCAAGTCTTGGGGTGTGATGAGCTCCGTCTCTGCTATCGTCTGGTTGGGGTCTGCGACACTAATCTGTTGCAGCAGGAGTTCAAGGCGTTGCAGCAACCCCTGTGCTATCCACGGTTCAATCAACCTCGAGTCGAACATGGCCGAAGACTTGATCCCGTCTGCTCCGAGACATAGCTCAATTGTCAATGCATAGGTGCAAAAGAACTTTTGCTGAGAATAGGTACCCTGCCACACCCCCAGGAGATGCTGGCCAGCGATAGCCTCGTTCGGCTGGACGACAAGGTGAGTCTGAAACCTGCAAGCTTCTTTGCCGGCAGGACAGATTTTGGAAATTCTTTGGAGACCGGTCTGCTCGAAAGGGATCATCTCTGTCGCTTGCCGTTGCACTGTCTTCAGATACTCTGAGACAGTCTGGTCTTTGCCCGGCTGTAGGCGCACAGGAACCGTCGCAATTGTAGGAGCCGCCATCTTGTCGAGATGGGCAAGAGGCGCACTTCTGCCCGACACAGTCATGCCGAACACGACGTCTCTGGAGTTGGTCATCTGCCCGAGAACGATGGCCCACGCCGCGCGAATGAGAATAGCGGTAGTTACGTCTGTGTGCCGGTTTCGGGGCTGTTTGAATGCATGGTCGATGATTCTGTCTGCCACTGGCTGACTCAAGGATGATGGCAGCGCTGGAAATGGTGTATGCTCGTAGCCTGCAAGAGCGGTTGCCCAGAACCTTGATGTTTCCTCCTTGTGTTGAACCATGATGTATTTAATGAACGGCTGGAAGGGAACCGGAGGATCCACCGGCTCGCCACGATATGCTTGATCCACAGCATCTAATATTAGAGGCGTGGACCATCCATCGTAGATGGCATGGTGAATCGTCCAAACAAACCAAGTAGGAACTCCGTTGTCGTCGTTCACAAGTGCGTAGCGACTGAGCGGCTGACCCATCTCCATCGGCTCTTCTCGGTCAGACTTGAGATATCGATCTAATCCGGTTGGGTTAATCCAGCGAATCGGCTCGTTTAGAATAACCTGAATAAGGCCGGTGCCATGCTCCATCACCCGGGTACGCAAGATTGGCAAGGTGCTGGCCACTTGTTCCCACGCCCGGCAGAACTTCTCAATCTCGACATGAGAATCTAGTGTGAGCACATCCTGTGATATGTAATCGCCGGTTCTTTTCGATGTCAAAAATATCAGGCCTTCTTGAAGCGGAGTACACGGATACGCGTCGAGGATGGCGGCCGGGTCTAGATAGGGGCGAACAGGCATATCCTCCAAGAATGAAGCGGCATCAACCCCATCGCCGAGCAGAGAAAAGGGGGCTATCTCCTCTGGGGCATCCCGGCATTCCGAAACAGTCTGGTTGGCGAGATCATGCAGCACGGGGTAACGGAACATGTCCGCGACGGTGATTTTGATGCCATCCTGCCGAGCTGCGGCTGCTGCCTTCATTGCAGTAATCGAGTCGCCCCCTAGATGGAAGAAATTATCTTCTACATCGATCCTATCAGCATCCACGTGCAGAACTTGAGACCAAAGTCGCTGCATGTACTGATCTGCTTCTGAAATTGGCTTTCTCTTGCGCCCTTTACGTGCCGTCGAAACCTCGGCGAGCTGTCCAACCGAGAAGGAGGCCCCGATCTGCCGTAGTTGCTTGCGGTCAATCTTGCCTGTGCTGGTCATCGGCAGCTTTTGGACAGACAAAAACACGCTTGGCAACATATAGGCGGGCAAATGTTTGGACAGGTCCTTTTCAACCTCTTTCGGAACCAAGAGAAGCCGCACCATGGTGGGAGATTGCGCCTCTGCGTCCGTTGCTCCGTCTTTGGTGCGAACGAACGCTGCAAGGAACTGTCTGGCTCCCTGCCCCTGCGGTTCAATCATTTCGGCCACAACTTGGATGATGTCTGGCCAGCAACCGTGAATCCAGTGTTCCACTTCGCCTAACTCTACTCGTTGGCCCCGAATCTTGACTTGCGCATCCTTGCGGCCAACGAACGTCAGACTCCCATCTTGGTTGTACTTGACGAGGTCTCCGGTTTTATACAGCCGTCGCCGATGGCTTTCTGGTTGGCGAAACGCGCTTTGCTTTAGCCACCCTGGATACTCGATAAATGTGGCTGCCGTTTTCTCTGCATCGCCGAGGTAGCCACAACCAACCAGAGGACCTTCTAAGAGCAGCTCGCCGATGCAACCTGCCCCGAGCAGTTCATTGTGGTTCTCAGGGTGGACAATCCAAGTTACCATGCCCACTCCCTTTCCAATCTTGACGGCCTCTTGCGGACTATGCGCGTTGAAGTTGATGGTGCTCGTGGGCGTGCATTCAGTTGGTCCATATGCATTGATGACACGAGCCTTTCTCCACCAGCGCTGTACGTCCGTGATGCGTAGAGCTTCGCCGGCGAATATGATTAGGCGTATGCCGGGTAATCTCTCCGGGACGAGCAGCTGCGCAAGAGAGGGAGTAAGGTCGAGGACATTCACATTTAATGACAAGATACTTTCTTCTAGCTGGTTCCTTCGGTCGTCGTCGCTTGGTACGCACAGACAGCCGCCTGCTGCTAATATAGTTAAAGCATTATTAATTGATCCATCGAAGTTATACGATGCAAAGTCGTATAGTCTGGAGTCCGATGTAAGTCCTAATAACTTGACTTGGTAATGTAAAGCCGTAGCAATATTCCCATGAGAAACCAGGACCCCTTTTGGCATGCCGGTACTACCAGACGTAAAAATTGCATAGAGGATTGATGATGGATTAGATTCAGGAATTTGTGCGGCTGTCTGGTCTGTTAGGTTTTTAAAAAAATCCATGTTGACTATGATCATTCTTTCTAACAGTCCAGAGTCTAACAGTCGAGAGCCTAGTTTCTGGTTAGACGATGAAGATAGAAGTATGTTACCTTTGACCTGCTTAATGATAACCTGAAGTCGTTGCTCTGGGAGGGCTGGGTCAAGTAGGACAAAGCCACTACCTGCCCTTACTACAGCAAGGATAGCAATTGTCGTCCAAAGGGATTTCTCAAAGCAGAGCGGGACTAATACTCCTGGTCCAATACCAAGCCTTACAAGCTCAGAAGCTAGCATAGTAACAAGGGTATCTAGCCTTTCGTATGTGACTTTACCATCCCAGGCATAGATAGCAGGTGCCTTGGGCTGAATGCGTACGTATTGGGCTATTTGTTGATAAATCCCCCTGTGATGTGGAGGCGGGAGGCTTTTATTCCATGCCCAGATCTGCTCCAAATCTTGAGGCGTCGCCGTTATAAGGTCCGCTAGCATGCTATCAGAAGACACATTGTCTAATTGTCCGAGCATGTGGTCATGCCGGTGGAGAATTTTTTGAACCACCCAGGGTTCAATTGAGCTTGGATCGAAAGAAGCCGATGCAATGAGATTGTCAGGGGTAATATGAATGGAAAGCACCAAGTCATATTTGTCGGAGAATCTTGAACAACTGTCACCTAGGCCGCTGCATTGGTCTTCTCCTCCCTGTCTTTCGAGGACTAGGAGCATTTTAGCGTTTCCTGTCCATCTGGCGTCGTGCTGCACATTGTCCATGTGCTGCTCGAAAGCCTGCGAGCTAGCTGTCTTGTTGATTTCAATCTGTTGTACTGCTTTCAGATAGTCTGAAACCGTTTGGTTCTGTGAAAGGCCTCTAGTGAGTTGATACAACTAACTAGTCCCTATGCTGTTTACTATCAAGATAGAAAAGAAAGAAAGAAAGAAAGAGAATCTACTACATAAGAGCATAACGGCATTTTATAGCTTCGAGCCAATGGAAGGTTCTAGAAGCTAGGCGGCGCAGCCGCCGTTAAAGCAACTTGCCCGTTACATTACCTCCCTCCCGTCCAACGTTTCCTCTTCCTTGGGATCGTGGCAATCTGTGTCAAGATGACTTGAGAAGGTGACACTCTTTTATGTTTCTTCCATTGCTTCCATGCATCAGTGTGTCGAATAGTGGGAAGGGCTCCACGTAGGCTGCGAGTAATCATGCCATTTTACGAGCACCTTCTTATGCGTACCTTCCATTCTTTCATCCAGAATCCTTTCGACGAGGTACATTTCTTGGCCGTCCACCAGCACCGGTGGGGCACTCTCTTGATCGATTTTCTGCGAAGGCAATGGGTCTCCGGGTACTGGCCGGAGTAGATCGACGTGAAAGACTGGATGGATACGTCCAGGCACATCCAACCTATAGGCATGTGGGCTGACTTCGGTGAGCACTTGATATTTGGCATGTAACCAATCGAGCTTCTTGCAGGGTCGCGATGTTTTGACATTTCTCAAGTTGAGGTATACCCAATCCCCAGGCTTGTATCTCGGTGCGGCTGTCCTGTGCTTGTTGGCTTGCGCTTGCTGTATTTCCTGGGCCATAGCTATCGCTGCTTGCGCAAACTCCGTGGCATCCTGTAGTCTCTGAATAAAATCCTCCGCTGCAGCTTCTTCCTGTGTTGTGTCTTCCGTGCTTCGATGCTCAACTAACTGGATTGGCTCATTGTGGTAGCCGTGCATGAAGAAGAACGGACTCAGTCCGGTGGAGGTTGCTTCCGCTCGTTAATTGTCGCCATCGCGACTGGAAGCAAGTCCAACCAGTTCTCCTGCAGATAGTTTGTCCATATCCGAAGAATCCTCTCTACCTCTTGGTTCATTCGTTCTGTTGCACCGTCGGTTTGTGGATGGTACGCCGTTGACAACCGCTGCTCGATCCCTAGCAGCTGACAGAAGTGTTTCCACATACCACTGACAAACTGGGGACCCCGATCACTGGTAATAGCCGTTGGGATGCCATGGACAGGGTAGTGTCGTTCGAAGAGTCTTCTTGCAACCGCTTCTGAAGAAATATCGTGTAATCCTTCGAGTTCGACGCCTTTGGTGAGTCGGTCCGTGACCACCATGTAGTTCGTCGCGCCATCTTTCCCCGACGGTGGGAGGTCAGTAATAAAGTCAATGGTAATTTCGCTCCATATGCGTTGCGGAATAGGGAGCGGCTTTAGGAGTCCTTTCTTTGTATCCTCCAGATGGTGTTTCGTCCGCAAACCTCGCAGTTGCGCACAAACCGACGTACATCGCTAGCGGCACCCGGCCAGAAGAAGCGTCTCGACAGAGTCGAGTACGTGAGGTCCCTTCCAGGATGTCCGGTGATATGAGAGTCGTGAGTTTCCTGGATGATCTTCGTACGTAGCGGCTCCGAACCGGGTATCCAGACGCGTTCTCTAAAGCACAGCAGGCCCCTATTGTCTAACGAGCATTCTGAAATGCTGACAACCTTCTCCTTCTGTAATCCTGTTGGCAAACTCTTCGCTCCATCTGCTACCAGCTTCGTGAGTTCTTGATAGAGCTTGTCTTCTTGGCGTGCGGCGTGCCACAGCTGCTGTAACTCCTCATCTTCAAATATCCTGATCTCTTTCCGAAGTTGATTTCCTGGGCACCATCGGTGTTGGTAGACAATGTCGATATTGGGACCCTTCTAAGGTGGTCGTCTTGGAATAGCCTCATAATGCGTCCCTTTAGTCGTTCATCGGAGTAGTTTGCCGGCATATCCTGGTCCCGTCGAGAGAGCGCGTCAGGCAATCCGCCCTTGCGGCCCGGCCTCCATTCGAGCTTGAATTGGAACTTGGACAGGAACTCCGACCACCGCACTTGTCTCTCTGTCAACCTCCTTTCCGAGTAGAAGTATCTCAGGTTCTTGTGGTCCGTTAGGATCTTGAAGTGCTCTACTGCCCGTAGCTCTGGTTCCCACTGCTCCAAACATCTGAGAATGGCGAGTAGCTCCTTGTCATGGATAGCGTAGTTCGCTTCGGCTGCCGAATGTTTCTTCGAGAAGTATGCGACAGGTCGTACCAGTCCATCCTTATCATCTCTCTGCAGGAGCACGCCTCCCGACGCGAATCCTGAAGCGTCCGCTTCCACGCAGGGTGGTTTTCCATACATGGAAAGGCCTGCAATCGATAATCGGTATCGGCCCCACATTTATTGCAAGTATTGCAATACACCTTTCCATACTTGGTCCGTGCACGACGACAAAATGTCACTGAAGACACCTTCGACAAGATGGACAAATTCACACCATATGGTGAATTAAAAATACGAAGTAATTGATTGAGCTCAATGATAATGTCCAAAAAGAGAGGGTAGGCAAATCTTACGTGTTTTGTTCCAAGACGAGGAGGGAAATCAGACGGGAATTTGCACGAATTCTCACGCCACGGTCACGCCACCGCCCCTTCCCTCTTCAAGACATTGTTCTTCACCCAATGCTTCAACCAATTCTCCCTTTCAATTTGGTCCGCATCCAATTGTGCCCTTTCCCAGGAGATCGTACGACGAGCCTGAAAACACCGTTCCGGCTCGTCGCTCATCGCTGGCATTGATAGGATGTCTATTGCCATTCGTGATAACTTCGGCCGTCGGTTCCTATGTCGCTCTTGAAGCCACCATGATAAAGCAGTTGTTGGCGCAATCTCATATGGATCACCTGAGATGTAATCTTCATACTCGTCTTGACTTGTAGGTCGAGCACAATTCTGCAGATTTCTTGAAATACGATCAAATGCATCAAGGCCATTGTCTTCTTCTTCGTCCAGTACATGATACGAAATTGTACCGTCGTTTGTATTTCGGTAAGAGTAGCAAAGGTCTTTGACCCGTTTGAAAGCAGTTTTATGCCACTTCTTCTAATTTGAGTGGATGTACGTCGTGCGATAGCTTGGATGAAGGACCAAAGAAGCGGCGTAATAGGGCGAATTCTCTTTATTGATAATTTCTTGGTCAAGGTAGCCTTTGAAGACACGGCCCAGATCCCACGCTTGCCCGTAGAGTTGATCAAATCCTTCGATGATGGACGGTTGAAGAGGAGATAAATTCTCTGCGACGTTGATGACATACTTTCTTGCCCTCAGGGTGTTTTCGAAAGCTGGCTGTGACAGAAGTACTGTAGGGATCATTCTGGGGACAATAAAGATAATATATGAGGCGGTTCCTGCCTTTGAACTCCGCTTCCCTAACCCTTTACTACCGGTACATTACTGCCAGATGAGCATGTTTTCATGATCCAAAAGCAGGTTTTCTCTTGTCTTGGGAGATATAGACGCGAATGAATCCGAAGCAATGGATTCAGAATCGAAGAAACATAACTAACACAGGCTCAGAATCCATTGTCGCCAGGTGATAATGGTATGCTGTGGGTTGGTGGTGAGGCTGATTTTGTGGATGTGCGGATTTGTAGCGGGGGTTCCAGGCCCACAGCCCCTGTAGGTAGCCCCCTGTAGGAACCCTTGTTAGTGGCGTGGTTCAGCCAATAGTATGGAAATACATGGATCCATATCCATACCTATTCCATGCCATTCATGGAAAGGGTATTTCCATATTTAGATATGGAAAACCACCCTGCTTCCACGATAGTCTCCCTTTCTGGATGGAAGTGTGCAAGGATCGGGGCCGTGATCAACAGGTCCTTGAGCTTCTCGAAGGCTTCTTCGCACAATCCATCCCAACGGAATGGCACGTCCTTCTTCGTTAGCCGCGTTAGCGCTCCGCTATCACCGAGAAGTCTGGCATAAACACCCTGTAGAAGTTCGCGAATCCGATAAAACTCCTCACGGATTTAATATTCGTCGGGGTTGCCCATCCCTTCACAGCCTCAACCTTCTCTGGGTCGACTCGGATCCCACACTCCGCCTCGATGATGAACCCAAGGTATTTCACAGCCTTGACTTCGAATTCGCTCTTGTTGATGTCCAGTTGCAGCCCAGCGTCCATCAGTCGTTGGAGGACCTTGCCGACTTTGTCGCGGTGGTCTTGCAGGCTTCCAGAGGAGAAGATCAGGACATCGTCGATATACGCTGACACAAAATCATCGAGGTAATCCTGGAGCACGCTGTTAATATACCGCTGAAAGGCTGCTGGTGCGCCTGTCAGGCCGAATGGAACTACCAGCCATTCGAAGGATCCATAGCGCGTTCTGAAGGCTGTCTTTTCTTCGTCGCCAGGGGCGACCCTGATCTACTCACTAGAGGCCTTTCACATACTATCAAGATAGAAAAGAAAGAAAGAAAGAAAGAGAATCTACTACATAAGAGCATAACGGCATTTTATAGCTTCGAGCCAATGGAAGGTTCTAGAAGCTAGGCGGCGCAGCCGCCGTTAAAGCGGCTTGCCCGTTACAGGTTCCTCGACAAGCTGATGACGATTTGCCTCGGGCGTGCGGGACTGTCCACTTGGCCATCACCAACAGCAGTAGAAGCGTTAACCCTGACATCGGTTGAGCCTATCATCCAACCAGTAACAAGAAACCAAGCTGCGAGAATCTCTGCGGATGTTATGACGCCAGTGTTCCCGACGTAGAGACGCTCGTTTGGTGCTGCTTCATCTGCGATAGGCGAAGTGTCCTTCATCGTTCCACGGGGTCCCAGCGGGCGTCCTTCAACCGGAGAAAATGGAGAGTTTTCGCAGGCTACCGAAGCCTGCCGCCCAATTGAATCTTGCATCGTTCGATGATGCGGGATGCAAAGATAGGTTTTGGATACAACTCTGGGGCAAGAACCTAGAAGTTTTGCTAGATTCAAGTCCCCAATTGTCTTGGCAGATGGATCCACAGCTTTTTTTTTGCCGTCTTGATTAGAATTATCGAGCACAAACCGGATTTGCGGGACTGAGGCATATGCTCACGTTGCGAATACTCGTCACCACACAAATCAACTCCGACACCATTGTATTGCGCCATTTACAACGACGTGCCGTCAAAAAAGTTGGGACAATGTCTCGCGTGACTCTCGTTTCAAGTTGGTTAGCAAGCAATTTGGGGATTTCTTTTTGCTTAGAATGCGCTCGGCGGCGAATGCTGGCACAGTCTTGCTGCAAGATGGACTTTTGGGGGTTGAAGACGCAGTGCCGTGCTCCCAAACGGCCATACCTGTGCTTAATATGCAGCTCGGCGGGCCACTTGTTTGGTTTACGTACAGACCGAAAGCCAAGTTGGCGCTTTCATCACTGCGGCTTTCCCCGCAATGACCAACCAAGAGGAAGGGCTGGCGATCAGCTTTGATCGGCGAACCCTTTTTGCCACGTCAGTCTGCAGTCGGCAAATGCTTTGCAGAAAAAACACCAACACGCTTACACGTTCCTAGGGTGACACTATGCTGTCACTCATGCCAGCGTCATCGATGAACGCTGCAGAAGGAAGGATTGGCCACCACCATCGACTGGAACAGTGCCTTGTACCGGGCCACATGATTCTTACATACAGCGTGACAGGGTTGTAGTGTATGGTGGGTGACCTTGTGCATCTGCAGGAAGAAGCCGCAATGCAGCTGCGGCCGAGGCCTCCAATGTGTGTGGTCGCACGCATGCGGGAAACGGGATGCAGTGCCGATCGACAGAGCTGTGGCTAGGCCAGGCCGTAGGCTTGGGCGACGGCAGACGGCGAACGCCGAGGCCCAGTTTGGAGACAATCGTTCCAAGGACAGCACATGTCGCGTTTAATCCTTTCCATTGTGCTTTGGAGCGGTGCATTTGGACCAAAGCGGCTGCTGTCAATCTAGGTAGATGGCCTTGACAGCGAGAGAGGGTGATTTTACACGGGCACCAGACGATTGGCCATCTGTCGTCCTTGCTGGGAGCCAGGGCAGACAGCGGCAGTATGAAGGCGTCAAGAGCAACAATGTGGCTCGGTGTGGAAACAAGACGCCTCCCGTCAACGTTCACTCTAATACTACCTACGACAGCCTTCAGTCCAACCTGGTAGCATGCTGAATGCTGCAAGCTTGTCCCGCCAGAGCGATCGAGGCTGGAAACGAGTGCCAGGATATACACCAAGTATTATAGACGGCTAGCAGGGAAACCCCGGGGCCATATTGCACATAACTGATACCTAGTATTTCGTACCCAGTATGGAAAAAAGGAGTAATAGCATAGTACTAGTTGTTGCTGTAAGGGAGATTACGACGGCTACAACTAAGACATCTGTTATTTACCAAAAAGGCCAGGTTTACTTTTGTGGGCATGGCTTCGGACGATCTACCAACTAAGATATCTGTTATTTACCAAAAGGCCAGGTTTACTTTTGTGGGCATGGCTTCAAACTCGTTCATCCCTTTTGCCACTCCAATCTCAGATCATTCTTTCCACACAACTGCCTCCTCTCTGGCTCATTCCTCTGCTCCAACCCGCCGAGAAAATGGCATATGGCTTTAAACCATGCACGCCCAATTGGAGGGCCAGTCCGTCTTTTATCATAGCGACGGTAGCCGTTGGTCTCTTTACCGACCTGTTACTCTACGGCATCGTGATCCCGGTGCTGCCTTTCATGCTCCACGACCGCCTAGCTATTCCTGCTTCTCAGCTCCAGCCGTACACATCCAGGCTGCTCGCGGCATATGCAGGAGCCTCCACTATTTTTGCCCTCCCCGCCGGATGGGCCGCCGACAAGATCGGATCTCGCCAGCCTCCGTTTCTTGCTGGTGTGGTACTTCTCTTTGGTGCGACTACCTTGCTGGCATTCGGCCGCACAATCACCTTGTTTTACGTCGCGAGATTGCTTCAGGGCATGGCGGCTGCGATCGTGTGGACGACGGGTTGTGCCATGATCCAAGACACAGTTGGCCCACGACAACTAGGAGAAACCATTGGAACGGTAGGCAGCTCTCAAAACGCACATCGTCCGCTATAGTGGCTAATGAGCCAAGATATTCTGCTTCATATCCGCCGGTGACCTCATTGCGCCTCTGCTCGGCGGCGTCCTATACGACATGGGCGGCCTCGTTACCTTGTATGGTGTATCGTCTGCGCTATTGGCAGTTGACCTCGGCATGCGAATGCTCGTTGTTGACGCCAGAAAGGCCAAAACTTACAGCCAGTCTCAGTTCAACCAACGAGACAATGCGGATGACTCTTCAACGACAGCCGCGTCTGCTCCAGATGGAGCTCGCGAGAGCGATGCTCTACTGCCTCGAAAAGAAAGCGAAGCCTACAAAATCACCAGACAACCTGACGGTATTACGAAAATCTCTCCTATTCTTTACGTATTTCGTGACCCCCAGTTTCTCATGGGGCTTTTTCTGTCCTTTATGCAATCATTCATACTAAGTATTTTTGACTCAACTGTTGCTCTCTGTGAAAGGCTGGCCCGGAGTTTATTCAACAAGCAGGTGCCTAGATGTTGTCTATCTAGAGCTAAGGAGGAAAAGAAGCTGAACTCGAGGCGTAGCCTCGAGTGCGAGCTTATATTACCCTTCTCGGAATGTTCTCGCAGCTTCTGGGTCCGCGGGCGGGCCGGTGTTGCCACCGGAGCACGACCCACCGGACCCGGTACAACCGGGTCCACCAGCCGGGCACAGCCCGTGACATTACCCCCTTGTCCCCTCCGACCAGGTCGGCGTCTGCGGGTTCTTGCGTTCCTGCCAGCGTCTCGTACCTCTCCTAGGGCCATCATTGGTCTTGATTGGCCCGTACTTGTCCTCGAATGCCTTCATCGCAATTGTTCCTTGCAACCACTCAACTGGCTCCCAAGTCGGCTCTGCGTAGCCCGTCCATCGCACTAGTGCTTGCCTGAATTCCCCTCGTCCCCGCTTCTTCCATCTCGCGCAGAGAATCTCGTCGACATCCCACAGATTCGTGCCGGACTCATCTTGTACCGGTGGTGGCTGTGCGTCATCTACCTTTGGCCAGGAGCCGGATCTTGATGCGCCCGCCGCAAAGGTCAACATGAAATCGCGGGTAAATTGAGCCACGAACATCGAGCTCAACAACGTGCGAACTAATTACCTTCGTGACTGTGTACTTGTGATGCAGCCAGTCGAGCTTCTTGCACGGTCGTGGCGATCTGTAGTTTGCCATCGAGAGCCACACCTTGTCACCAACTTCAAATCGCTCCGCAGGCTGTCGCTTTGCGTTGGCAGCCTCTTCTTGTTGTTGCTGTGAGGAGGCCATCACTGCTTGCATGTACTCATTGACCTCCTGCAGGCGACTGAGTAGGCTATCAGCTCTGCTTTCCTCTCTATGCCTCGGTGGCTCTTCCGATTCCTCGACGCTGATGGGATCGACGTGGTAACCATGCTCAGCGAAAAAGGGGCTGATCTTGGTCGCTGCGGATTCACGATTGTTGAGTGCCAGCTGCGCGGCAGGGCAGTTCTCCCAGTCGTCCTGCACGTACGACACGTAGGCTCTCAGGTAGGCCTCGATCTCCTGGTTCATTCTCTCTGGCCCTCCGTCCGTCTGAGGATGATAGGCCGTGCTCAATTTCTGCGTGACACCTGCAAGACGGCAGAACCTCTTCCAGAACCTACTTAGCCAGTTGCTCCCGCGGTCGCTGACGATGGACCGTGGCATTCCGTGAAATCGGTAATGACACTGGAGAAAACGGTTTGCACACGGCTCAGCTTCCATGTTGTCCATCACCTCGAGGGTCACAGCCTTTGTCAGTCTGTCCACAATCACCCACAGGTACCTTGCCTTGCTCGGTCCAGTAGGCGGCAGATCTGTGATGAAGTCCATGGACAAATGGCTTCGGGGTCGATCTGGAATCGGCAGAGGCTTGAGAAATCCCCTTTTCGACTGGCGCCAGATGTGTGCTCTGCCGCAGGTGTCGCAATTGGCTACGTACCGGCGAACCAGCTGGGACTGCCCAGGCCAGTAGAATCGCCGAGCCACAATAGCCAGCGTACCTTCCTGCCGGGATGACCGGTCGCAACAGAGTCATGCGACTGCTGCACAATGCGGGTTCTCAACTGGTCTTTCTCAGCTTCCTCCTGGTTACCCTCCTCTCCGGATCCACCCGGCACCCAAATACGGTCTCTGAATGTCAGCCTTTTGCCTGCGTCGATCGCACATTCTGAAATCTGGATCTTCAGGCCCAGCGAGGGCGGGAAGGCACGCTCGCGATCGCGGACTGCCTTATAGGCTGCCCGGAATATCGAGTCCTTCGCCACCGTTTCGTCCCAGAGTTGCTGCAGGTCCGCTACCTCGAAGACCTTCATCTTCGGCAGGGTGGATGCCTCTGAACAGTCAGAACTCATCGCGTTGATACATGCTCTTGTCGATGATGGAATGGCACTATCCGGTATCAACTGTATCATTCTTCCTTGTTCCCGCTCGTCGTCAATGCCCTGTGGCTTGTCTTGTTCACGGCGGGACAACGCATCAGGCACGACAGCCTCGCTTCCCGGTCGATACTCGAGCTTGAAGTCGAACTGGGACAATTCGGCTGCCCAACGGCTCTGCCGTTCCGTGAGCTTCTGGCGTGTCGCGAAATACTCCAGGTTGCGGTGATCGGTAAGGATTGTAAATGGGCCGCAGCTCCTAAGTTCGGCGTTCCAGTTGTCGAGACATCTCATGATGGCAAGCATCTCCTTGTCGTGAATGGGATAGTTGTACTCCGCTGGCGAAAGTCGCTTCGAGAAGAAGGCGCATGCGTGTCGACGTCCATCTGGGCCTTCCTGCGACAGGACGCCTCCCAATGCGTAGCCTGAGCAATCCGTCTCCAAAAAGGTCGGGAGGCTCGGGTCCCACTGCTTGAGCACCGGTGACTCGCAAAATCGTCGCTTCAGCTCCTGAAACGCCTCGTTCTCCGCTCGTCCCCAATGAAAGGCAGTTCCTTTCTTAAGCAGGGCATCCAGAGACTGCGTGATCTTGGCATAGTCGGGGATGAAGATCCGGTAATAGTTGGCGAAGCCCAGAAAGCTTCTGACACCCTTCACCGTGGTCGGGGCCTCCCATTCGCGGATGGCGCGCTGCTTTTCGGGGTCGCAGGCGATTCCTTTCCCTGCGTTGACGATGAACCCAAGGTATTTGACCTCTTGTACCGAAAACTCGCACTTCGCTGGGTCTAGGTGCAGCCCAGCGTCGGCGAGTGCTTGGAGAACTCGTCGCACCTTAGCCTCATGATCCGCCTTCGAACCGCTCGAGTAGATCAGTACATCATCCAGGTACGCTGTGACAAAGTCGTCCAGCCATTCGCGCAATACACTGTTCATGTATCGTTGGAATGATGCCGGGCGCCGCTCAGGCCGAAAGGGCACACGAGCCACTCGTAGAGCCCAAACCTCGTGCGAAATGCAGTCTTTCCTCATGTCCCGGAGCCATGCGGATCTTATGGAAAGCGGCCACCACGTCCAACTTGGTGAACCACTTAGCCTTGGCCAGATTCTGCAGGGTCTCCGCGATGAGGGGCAGTGGGTATCGGTCGCGCTTGGTGATTGCATTCAGCGCTCGGTAGTCGCAACAAAATCGCAGCCCTCCATTCGGCTTCCGCACGAACAGCACCGGCGCGGCAGCCGCTGAGCTACTCGCTCGGATGAATCCTCTGTCCAGCAGGTCTTTCAGGGTCTTTCGCAAGACCAACAGCTCTTCTCGTGACATGTTGTAGAGTGGGCCCCACGGAAGGGGTGGCTCGTTGCCGTTCTTGTCAGGCTGCAGGTTGACTTCATGATCCACACCCGGTCGATGTGGCGGCAGCTTCATTGCCTCTCCTGGTGAGAATAGGTCGCGGAATTCTTTCAGCACTTCTGCCGGGACCTTCTCGCTCGGATCGACTGGCGGCTTCGGCTGAAGCGCCCTCTCTATATCCGACAAACTGATTGCATGAATCGAGATCGCGTTGCACTTCTTGCGTCTCTTTGCGCGTCGACACTCCGCCGTGAATACGGCTGCCGACACGAGTCTTGCGCTTCGAATCGCGCGTATCTTGGCGGGCTCTTCCTGCCCAATGAGGCGTATCGTCACACCTGCCCTCCCATGGTACATTCGCTGCTTGGCAGCATCGTACACGACGTGATTTCTCTCCATCCAAGGCCGGCCGAGGAACATGTCCTGGCCCAGGCTTGGGATCACGTATGCAAAGACACGTTCGTCAAATCCAGCTGTCTCGACCACAACAGCCACGACCCCTGGGGATATGACACTCTTCGCTGACTCTGAGAATCCCCCAATTTCTCGTGGTTTCGAGTCGACGAAGGGTATCCGCAGCTTCCGAACAAGGGCTTCGTCGATCACGGCATAGCAGTCACATCCACAGTCGACAAGGGCGCGTATTCGATAGCCTCGGTTTACCCGCGCGTTGACTAATACAGTCCGACTATTCATTCGTGGCTTGAACGCTTCCCAGTCCCGGATGTCTGCCTTTGCAGGCCCCGGCGCCCGCTTTCGCCCGGGGCTAGTCTTTTCCCGCCGACTCGTCCTCACTGGATGCTGCGGTTGATTCCGAATCATCTGCGGCATCGGGCTTCTTCATGCGCGCAGCTTTAGGTCGCTGTTGCTTCCTTCGCCAGGAAAGACCACCTGGGCTGGGCAGTCCACGATAAGATGATCCGTCCGACCACAGCGATAGCAGCGGCGCTCATCCTTCGGCTTCTTATCGACATGTCGACGACCCTTCGACTCGTGGCCAATACGGTTGATGTCCGTCATCTTAACATCTCCGTCGGGGTCCTCCGGTTCCTCCTTGGGTCGTTGCCTTGGTAGCTGTTGAGGCGTCCGCTCAGTCGACGTCGGCTGCCTACCGGGTTTCAGTCTCTCCAATCTGCCCGCAATTTCCTGAACTCTCGCAAGCCATCCCTGGTAGTCGTCGGTAGGACGGCTGTGACCAAACTCTCTTGGAGGCGTGCATTTATTGCGTTCTCTAGAAATACGATCTTTGCACTGTCCGGCCAGTCTGCTCCCCGGCTTCAGCTAATGCCTGTTCGAATCGGGAAGGAAGGACGCGAGAGGTTGGTCTTCGCGCTGCCGCATAGTTCTCAGCGTGGCAGCAGCGCGGGATTGGATGTTGCTGTCCTGGTAGGTTCGGTCGAGGTATCGCATGAACTCTTGGGGTCGTAGCTACCCCAGGGCCTCCGCGGCGTAAAGGTAGCGACCACTTGCTGTGGTCGCTCGTCCAAACATGAGTTGATGAGGTACCAAAGTTCGCGATTTCCACTGTAGTAGTGTGCATCAAGGTCCAGCTTGTCTCGCATCTGCCTGGCCCAGGAGGAGTAGCTCTTCCGTGAGCCGTCATACTTGGGTGGGTTGGGCAACGGTTTCCGCATTCCAGTACCGCAGGTTTTGGGAGGGCGTGCCCAAGCCAGGCGTGCTCGCCCAATCCTCGTGCCACTGGCGGCGATTGCAAGTCGGCGCTCTGCGGCTGCGCTCGCCCGAGTTGCTCCATCAGCAAGGAAAGTTGGTCCTGTAGAGGGCTGAGAGTCGCATTGACCGCTTCTTGAATGCGTTGGTCAATCCATTGCTGCTGGAGACTTGGGCTCTCACTCTGCTGGTCCATCCTGACGAGCAGTCTGCAGCTTGCGGTATTTAGAAGGAGCTCTAGATATGTGAAAGGCTGGCCCGGAGTTTATTCAACAAGCAGGTGCCTAGGTGTTGTCTATCTAGAGCTAAGGAGGAAAAAGCTGAACTCGAGGCGTAGCCTCGAGTGCGAGCTTATATTACCCTTCTCGGAATGTTCTCGCAGCTTCTGGGTCCGCGGAGCGGGGCCGGTGTTGCCACCGGAGCACGACCCACCGGACCCGGTACAACCGGGTCCACCAGCCGGGCACAGCCCGTGACACTCTCGAGGCATATTCTCTATTTGATTTCTCCTCATCAAAAGTCGGCTTGCTTCTTGCTGCTCTCTTTGTCCCCTTTTTGGCGCTGGGAAAGGCCGCTGGGTCGGCCGTTGACAGACATGGAACTAGAATCATGGCGACATCCGGTTTCGCCTTCTTCGTCCCGTGTCTTGCCCTCCTCGGCCTACCATCACAAAGAATCGTTACCGGAAATGGTAATATCGTCCTCTTCGTTGTTGTTCTGATGTTGAACGGCGTTGGCCTAGCATTAGTTGGCTCGCCAGGAATGGTGGAGTTGACCAACGTAACGCGGAGGTACGACGAGGCCAATCCTGGGTTTTTTGGGGAAAACGGGCCCTACGCCCGGCTTTATGGCCTGAGCTCTCTTTTCTCTTTTGCTGGGCTTTCTGTCGGTCCTCTAATCAGTGGTTGGTTGAAGGATACATATGGATACGGATTCATGGCTACTGTCTTTGCTGCGGTTGCAGGTGTGGTGGCCGTGCTCTCTTATTTCATCGTTGGCGGGGATAGGCGAAAACAGAAACCATAGCTGCTGATAGGGGCTGGGCCCGATTTATTGGGTTCGATTTTGCCCGGGCCGCTAAAGCTGAGAGCCCGACTCGCGGCGCGGGCTTCGGGCTCTCAGCTTCTGTTTCTTACCCTGAGCTTGAGACGGAACATACAAAAGCACCTGCTGTCACAGTTGGCAGAGAAGGCTGAGCTGGCCATAGACTTCCGACAAAGCCTGTTGAAAACTGAGAACAGACAGGAACTGGCTTGTTTGACAAAATCCTACCCAGCATCTGACAATATCGAGCCTTCAACCAGGCGCTCACCCAGACGCTATAGGTCTTTTTTGAAAGTTGCTCGCGGCCTTGGATTCCAGAACCAGCGGCATCAAGTGTCACGGGCTGTGCCCGGCTGGTGGACCCGGTTGTACCGGGTCCGGTGGGTCGTGCTCCGGTGGCAACACCGGCCCCGCTCCGCGGACCCAGAAGCTGCGAGAACATTCCGAGAAGGGTAATATAAGCTCGCACTCGAGGCTACGCCTCGAGTTCAGCTTCTTTTCCTCCTTAGCTCTAGATAGACAACACCTAGGCACCTGCTTGTTGAATAAACTCCGGGCCAGCCTTTCACATATCTAGAGCTCCTTCTAAATACCGCAAGCTGCAGACTGCTCGTCAGGATGGACCAGCAGAGTGAGCCCAAGTCTCCAGCAGCAATGGATTGACCAACGCATTCAAGAAGCGGTCAATGCGACTCTCAGCCCTCTACAGGACCAACTTTCCTTGCTGATGGAGCAACTCGGGCGAGCGCAGCCGCAGAGCGCCGACTTGCAATCGCCGCCAGTGGCACGAGGATTGGGCGAGCACGCCTGGCTTGGGCACGCCCTCCCAAAACCTGCGGTACTGGAATGCGGAAACCGTTGCCCAACCCACCCAAGTATGACGGCTCACGGAAGAGCTACTCCGCCTGGGCCAGGCAGATGCGAGACAAGCTGGACCTTGATGCACACTACTACAGTGGAAATCGCGAACTTTGGTACCTCATCAACTCATGTTTGGACGAGCGACCACAGCAAGTGGTCGCTACCTTTACGCCGCGGAGGCCCTGGGGTAGCTACGACCCCAAGAGTTCATGCGATACCTCGACCGAACCTACCAGGACAGCAACATCCAATCCCGCGCTGCTGCCACGCTGAGAACTATGCGGCAGCGCGAAGACCAACTCGCGTCCTTCCTTCCCCGATTCGAACAGGCATTAGCTGAAGCCGGGGGAGCAGACTGGCCGGACAGTGCAAAGATCGTATTTCTAGAGAACGCAATAAATGCACGCCTCCAAGAGAGTTTGGTCACAGCCGTCCTACCCGACGACTACCAGGGATGGCTTGCGAGAGTTCAGGAAATTGCGGGCAGATTGGAGAGACTGAAACCCGGTAGGCAGCCGACGTCGACTGAGCGGACGCCTCAACAGCTACCAAGGCAACGACCCAGGAGGAACCGGAGGACCCCGACGGAGATGTTAAGATGACGGACATCAACCGTATTGGCCACGAGTCGAAGGGTCGTCGACATGTCGATAAGAAGCCGAAGGATGAGCGCCGCTGCTATCGCTGTGGTCGGACGGATCATCTTATCGTGGACTGCCCAGCCCAGGTGGTCTTTCCTGGCGAAGGGAAGCAACAGCGACCTAAAGCTGCGCGCATGAAGAAGCCCGATGCCGCAGATGATTCGGAATCAACCGCAGCATCCAGTGAGGACGAGTCGGCGGGAAAAGACTAGCCCCGGGGCGAAAGCGGGCGCCGGGGCCTGCAAAGGCAGACATCCGGGACTGGGAAGCGTTCAAGCCACGAATGAATAGTCGGACTGTACCATGCCCCACCCCCCTTTCGGTAACACCCACCTTTCGGTAGCGCATTAGGAAATATCCCCACCAAAACCCATCAATTTCACTTACACCGATTCCAGCCAGCTTTGAAGATATTCACAAGCCGTCACTTGGAGTAGATAGAGGATTGATTGAATTCTACTTTTCGATGGTTGAATGTTTGTACAGGGTCTGTGGCCTGTGCGTACCTTGCACGCGAAATTACCATCCAACCCCCTAATCTCCTTCCGCCTCCTGACGATGATTCTTCTCGTTATTCCTCCACCACATGACCAAAATGACCTTAAAGCGGCCTCGGAGTATTTATACGGAGGATATTATGGCTAATGCGATAATTGATGTCACAAAAAACGGCTTGTCGCAGTACCGCGCCGCCCAAAAGTATGACATACCTCAGCAGTCTATTTCCGACAGACTCAAAGGCCAGGTAGCCCTGGCTGATCAGATCCAGCCTCGTCAACTCTTGAGTAAGTCTCAGGAAGCTCGCTTGGTTTCTTGGATCCTCCGCCAAGAGTCTCTCGGCTATGCTCCCTCCCACAGTCAGATCCGCGCATGTGTGGAGGCTCTTATGAAGCAACTGAACAACGAGCGGACAGTGGGGCGCAACTGGGTCTCTAAATTCATCAATCGCCATCCGGACATCAAGAACAAGCGTGGGAGACGTCAGGAAGCTAACCGATTTAATGCTTTTACGCCTCGTGCGGTTCACTGGTTCTTCGATATCAGGAAAAGGAGTATGGATGGATTAAACCAGAAAATACCGTGAATGTTGACGAAGGCGGTATTATGTCTGGCTTTGGTGAGTATTTGGCTTGTCTTTCATTACTTTTACTAACCAGACTCTTTTTGCCAGGTTTGGATAGTCTTGTGGTTGGGAGTGCAGACCCAAAACGGAAGGCCCTTCTGAAAGGGCCACAGTCCCGCAACTGGACCTCATTTATTGAAGCTATCACCGCGGACGGCCGTGTCCTTACCCCTGGCATTATCTTTAAGGGCAAAGAACTTCAGAAACAGTGGTTCTTGACGGAATTCGGCAAAATAGCCGACTGGCATTACATAACGTCGCCCAACGGATGGACGGACAACCATATCGCTATTGAGTGGCTTGAGAGGTCTATTTGCCCCAGACGCGACCAGCCGATGCCTCAGATGCTAGACTGATCATATTAGATGGACATGGAAGTCATGCAACGGTGCGTTTCTTTATCCACCTCTGTAGGAATTACCGTTAACCGGGACCAGGATGCATGGATGGCCACATGCTTTTTGAACAACGTTTATTGCTGTTACCTTCCTGCCCACTGCTCTCATGGCCTCCAGCCGTTAGATAACGGTGTATTCAATGCCTCCAAGGCAGCTTACCGGAAAGAACTTCAGAAATTGACCTGTTTGACCGATTCTGCGCCTGTTCATAAGGTCAATTTTATACGGGCATATGCTAAAGCGCGCGAGGTTGGAATGACGGCAAAGAATATATTGTCCGGCTGGAGGGTCACTGGGAATTGGCCGATCTCACGATCCAAGGCATTGCGGCATCCAGAAATTCACGCGGACATTGTAGAGACGTCTCCAAAGTCCGCGCCATTTTGGGTTCTGATGATACGCCAAGAAACAGCCGCCAGATTCGCGATTTCGGAAAGAACAAGACTCCTGGCACCCGGAGACGATACGCCGTGATAGCTAGAGGCTTTGAAGCCCAAGAACAGACGCTTGCCGAGCACAGCAACAGAATCGCGAAGCTAGAGGAAGAAGTGGCCCGGCTGCAGAGAGGCAAGAAGAGGAGAGCAATTCCGAACCCGAACAGACGGTTCATGACTCTCAGTGAAGCTTTGGTGGCTGAGGCCATTCCCAAATTAAAAGCCAAGAGATAGCCGTTGTGCTGAATTCTGACACAGAGGAGGAGGCGGTCTCAGAGGTGGAGACAGCTTCAGTGATCGAAGTCAAGGTGGCACCCGAAGCCCTTCCAGTCACCACCAGATCCGGGCGAATGGTAAAAAAGCGCCGGTACATATAAGAGCGTCCATTTCTCTACGGAATGATATAATTTTTGTGTTTATAATGTTAAGTTCTGATCATATTTCATGTAGTTCAAATGGTAGACTTTTGGTGGAGAATTTTTCAATTGCGCTACCGAAAGGTGGGTGTTACCGAAAGGGGGGTGGGGCATGGTATTAGTCAACGCGCGGGTAAACCGAGGCTATCGAATACGCGCCCTTGTCGACTGTGGATGTGACTGCTATGCCGTGATCGACGAAGCCCTTGTTCGGAAGCTGCGGATACCCTTCGTCGACTCGAAACCACGAGAAATTGGGGGATTCTCAGAGTCAGCGAAGAGTGTCATATCCCCAGGGTCGTGGCTGTTGTGGTCGAGACAGCTGGATTTGACGAACGTGTCTTTGCATACGTGATCCCAAGCCTGGGCCAGGACATGTTCCTCGGCCGGCCTTGGATGGAGAGAAATCACGTCGTGTACGATGCTGCCAAGCAGCGAATGTACCATGGGAGGGCAGGTGTGACGATACGCCTCATTGGGCAGGAAGAGCCCGCCAAGATACGCGCGATTCGAAGCGCAAGACTCGTGTCGGCAGCCGTATTCACGGCGGAGTGTCGACGCGCAAAGAGACGCAAGAAGTGCAACGCGATCTCGATTCATGCAATCAGTTTGTCGGATATAGAGAGGGCGCTTCAGCCGAAGCCGCCAGTCGATCCGAGCGAGAAGGTCCCGGCAGAAGTGCTGAAAGAATTCCGCGACCTATTCTCACCAGGAGAGGCAATGAAGCTGCCGCCACATCGACCGGGTGTGGATCATGAAGTCAACCTGCAGCCTGACAAGAACGGCAACGAGCCACCCCTTCCGTGGGGCCCACTCTACAACATGTCACGAGAAGAGCTGTTGGTCTTGCGAAAGACCCTGAAAGACCTGCTGGACAGAGGATTCATCCGAGCGAGTAGCTCAGCGGCTGCCGCGCCGGTGCTGTTCGTGCGGAAGCCGAATGGAGGGCTGCGATTTTGTTGCGACTACCGAGCGCTGAATGCAATCACCAAGCGCGACCGATACCCACTGCCCCTCATCGCGGAGACCCTGCAGAATCTGGCCAAGGCTAAGTGGTTCACCAAGTTGGACGTGGTGGCCGCTTTCCATAAGATCCGCATGGCTCCGGGACATGAGGAAAGACTGCATTTCGCACGAGGTTTGGGCTCTACGAGTGGCTCGTGTGCCCTTTCGGCCTGAGCGGCGCCCCGGCATCATTCCAACGATACATGAACAGTGTATTGCGCGAATGGCTGGACGACTTTGTCACAGCGTACCTGGATGATGTACTGATCTACTCGAGCGGTTCGAAGGCGGATCATGAGGCTAAGGTGCGACGAGTTCTCAAGCACTCGCCGACGCTGGGCTGCACCTAGACCCAGCGAAGTGCGAGTTTTCGGTACAAGAGGTCAAATACCTTGGGTTCATCGTCAACGCAGGGAAAGGAATCGCCTGCGACCCCGAAAAGCAGCGCGCCATCCGCGAATGGGAGGCCCCGACCACGGTGAAGGGTGTCAGAAGCTTTCTGGGCTTCGCCAACTATTACCGGATCTTCATCCCCGACTATGCCAAGATCACGCAGTCTCTGGATGCCCTGCTTAAGAAAGGAACTGCCTTTCATTGGGGACGAGCGGAGAACGAGGCGTTTCAGGAGCTGAAGCGACGATTTTGCGAGTCACCGGTGCTCAAGCAGTGGGACCCGAGCCTCCCGACCTTTTTGGAGACGGATTGCTCAGGCTACGCATTGGGAGGCGTCCTGTCGCAGGAAGGCCCAGATGGACGTCGACACGCATGCGCCTTCTTCTCGAAGCGACTTTCGCCAGCGGAGTACAACTATCCCATTCACGACAAGGAGATGCTTGCCATCATGAGATGTCTCGACAACTGGAACGCCGAACTTAGGAGCTGCGGCCCATTTACAATCCTTACCGATCACCGCAACCTGGAGTATTTCATGACACGCCAGAAGCTCACGGAACGGCAGAGCCGTTGGGCAGCCGAATTGTCCCAGTTCGACTTCAAGCTCGAGTATCGACCGGGAAGCGAGGCTGTCGTGCCTGATGCGTTGTCCCGCCGTGAACAAGACAAGCCACAGGGCATTGACGACGAGCGGGAACAAGGAAGAATGATACAGTTGATACCGGATAGTGCCATTCCATCATCGACAAGAGCATGTATCAACGCGATGAGTTCTGACTGTTCAGAGGCATCCACCCTGCCGAAGATGAAGGTCTTCGAGGTAGCGGACCTGCAGCAACTCTGGGACGAAACGGTGGCGAAGGACTCGATATTCCGGGCAGCCTATAAGGCAGTCCGCGATCGCGAGCGTGCCTTCCCGCCCTCGCTGGGCCTGAAGATCCAGATTTCAGAATGTGCGATCGACGCAGGCAAAAGGCTGACATTCAGAGACCGTATTTGGGTGCCGGGTGGATCCGGAGGAGGGTAACCAGGAGGAAGCTGAGAAAGACCAGTTGAGAACCCGCATTGTGCAGCAGTCGCATGACTCTGTTGCGACCGGTCATCCCGGCAGGAAGGTACGCTGGCTATTGTGGCTCGGCGATTCTACTGGCCTGGGCAGTCCCAGCTGGTTCGCCGGTACGTAGCCAATTGCGACACCTGCGGCAGAGCACGCATCTGGATTCCTCAAGCCTCTGCCGATTCCAGATCGACCCCGAAGCCATTTGTCCATGGACTTCATCACAGATCTGCCGCCTACTGGACCGAGCAAGGCAAGGTACCTGTGGGTGATTGTGGACAGACTGACAAAGGCTGTGACCCTCGAGGTGATGGACAACATGGAAGCTGAGCCGTGTGCAAACCGTTTTCTCCAGTGTCATTACCGATTTCACGGAATGCCACGGTCCATCGTCAGCGACCGCGGGAGCAACTGGCTAAGTAGGTTCTGGAAGAGGTTCTGCCGTCTTGCAGGTGTCACGCAGAAATTGAGCACGGCCTATCATCCTCAGACGGACGGAGGGCCAGAGAGAATGAACCAGGAGATCGAGGCCTACCTGAGAGCCTACGTGTCGTACGTGCAGGACGACTGGGAGAACTGCTCCCTGCCGCGCAGCTGGCACTCAACAATCGTGAATCCGCAGCGACCAAGATCAGCCCCTTTTCGCTGAGCATGGTTACCACGTCGATCCCATCAGCGTCGAGGAATCGGAAGAGCCACCGAGGCATAGAGAGGAAAGCAGAGCTGATAGCCTACTCAGTCGCCTGCAGGAGGTCAATGAGTACATGCAAGCAGTGATGGCCTCCTCACAGCAACAACAAGAAGAGGCTGCCAACGCAAAGCGACAGCCTGCGGAGCGATTTGAAGTTGGTGACAAGGTGTGGCTCTCGATGGCAAACTACAGATCGCCACGACCGTGCAAGAAGCTCGACTGGCTGCATCACAAGTACACAGTCACGAAGGTAATTAGTTCGCACGTTGTTGAGCTCGATGTTCGTGGCTCAATTTACCCGCGATTTCATGTTGACCTTTGCGGCGGGCGCATCAAGATCCGGCTCCTGGCCAAAGGTAGATGACGCACAGCCACCACCGGTACAAGATGAGTCCGGCACGAATCTGTGGGATGTCGACGAGATTCTCTGCGCGAGATGGAAGAAGCGGGGACGAGGGGAATTCAGGCAAGCACTAGTGCGATGGACGGGCTACGCAGAGCCGACTTGGGAGCCAGTTGAGTGGTTGCAAGGAACAATTGCGATGAAGGCATTCGAGGACAAGTACGGGCCAATCAAGACCAATGATGGCCCTAGGGAGAGGTACGAGACGCTGGCAGGAACGCAAGAACCCCGCAGACGCCGACCTGGTCGGAGGGGACAAGGGGGGTAATGTCACGGGCTGTGCCCGGCTGGTGGACCCGTTGTACCGGGTCCGGTGGGTCGTGCTCCGGTGGCAACACCGGCCGCTCCGCGGACCCAGAAGCTGCGAGAACATTCCGAGAAGGGTAATATAAGCTCGCACTCGAGGCTACGCCTCGAGTTCAGCTTCTTTTCCTCCTTAGCTCTAGATAGACAACACCTAGGCACCTGCTTGTTGAATAAACTCCGGGCCAGCCTTTCACATCAAGTCGGAATACCACCTTTGCCCTACTTCAGTGAAGCACCTCAGACTAGCAGCGAAACGCTTATCCCCGACGCTGTGGTCGAATAGCCCAGAAGATACCTCGGCCGCATCCGAGATGACTTTTTCTCCCTCCACTAAACTCGCAACGTGTGATGGAACTGCTACTGTCAGGTCGGCCGGCTTGAGGTGCGTGTCCACGTCTTGGAAGTAGGCAATTGAAAATCGAGGACCAAGTGACAGGCCGTTCGAATCAACAAAGTTTTCTGGCCTCAGAGTCACGCGATGAGTTGTCGCCGTGCAAACGCCTTGGGTCAGTAATTCGAGCGTATGGCCAACATTAACGACTAAAGTCCCTGGGATCGGGGGAGCCTGAATCCAAGTGCCAGACTTATTTTGGATTTCTAGACATTGGTGCTTATCCAGCTGAAGCAGAAAAGTCATGAAACCCTGGTCCTTATGAGCACCCATGCCCTGACAAATCTCTGAGCCAGTCTGTTGTAACGGACTCGGATATTTTCGTAGACACAGCTGATTACAGGGAGATTGGCCGAGAAGTGTGGTGAGCGACGACGGTTCAATGTCCAATGCTTCTGCGATCAAAATTGCGAACTCGGCGGATAAATTTTGCACTACTGTACGATAGTTTTCAAGTATCTGCCGGAACCCCGGTAGCGTACTTTCGTCTGGCCACTGAGAGGATCACCGTTGTCAGCCCTTATATTTGATGGACAAACCGCCAGGACAAATATTCATGGCGTAAATACCTGGCTAGGTCCTGCCAGATTGTAATAGATTGGTTGATTTAGACCTGGGGCCGGAAGATCCGGACCGATCTAAACAATCGATTTGTCAGTTTGTGGGTGGTCCAAATTGTTCTCAGCCAGGAGATATACCGTAAACGCCTCGCTGAAATCTGCTGTCCCGCCAGTAAACTCCGTGCTCATGGAGCTATACCCTAAGAAGTGCTTGCTATGCAGCGTTTCGACCTTTAACTTCTGTTCAACAGGCAGGTTGAAAAATGCCTCGGATTGTAGACGTGTCTCTCGCTGCAGTTCGTCTGAGATGGAATGGCCTTTTATGTAAAAGAATCCTACATGTACTAGACAGAACTGCAATTCCGACAAGAGTTGGGGCTTCGTTAAAGAGGAAGCAGCAAGAGAAAGGTCGAGGATGGGGATTTCCGTGAAATCACTCATATTGACGACAGGAAAGATCGAAGTAGTGACTTTTGCCGTAGCCCGACACGCCAGACAAGCTCAGGCTATATGATTCTTGGTCTCAAAAAGTGGAGTATTGTATATAAAGTGGAGTTCCCAGAGAGATTACAAGCCAGTCCAAGTTTAGCTGAGACGAACGGCGCCTTCGCGGGACATTTTCACAAGTCCGTTATCTGCGAGAACTTTGGGCGATCATGTCGATCATTGATACCCGAAAAGGCTTCATGTACAGTGGCCAACCGACCGGTGGATGCTGCATGCATTGTAAAAATGTGACACAAACTCGTCACGAAATGTACATTCGCGCAGGGTGCAGCGAGTTGTATTGACCGGCTGACCAACTGACCGGTTGACCAACTGGTCGGCTGACCAACTGACCGGCTGTCGACGATGTAGGCCCAGGGTGGGATGGCCCGGGGCGGGATGGCCCGGATCTGCAAGACACAGGCCTAAGAGCAGATCTACGTATCAATTAGGCTCAGCTTGGAACCTTACCACGGTTGGCCTTCTGCAAGGCTACGCAGCGGACCATACTTTTATCAACACCATAGCATCTAGAACTACAAGAAGGCCTCCATGATGATTGGTTCCGCTTTTGTGCGTCTGTTTGTATTTTGTGAGAGGGGAGCAGGAGGAGGAGGGTGGGGGCAGGGTCCGATTTAAACCCCAAAGCAATCAACTAGAATCGGAGCCACTGACCACTTCCTGACCCATCTCGCGGCGATCCAGGCGGTCTTGATAATTGCACGCTGCATTTCCATGCTACCGTACACTCGAAGCAGGCCGAGTTAGTCGTGGTCAGATTGTTTCCAGTTCCAGGATCGGAACTGACGACTGCGAGCATCTTAACGCCTTATGTCATACTGCCATTTGAATTAAATAGGAATCTGAAATCGAGTTGGTCTCCGAATTCGTCCTTGAAATCGTTGTAGTTCCTCGCTTTGGACACAGCTAATGGTGAATCACAGCTTCGCCCATTAGAAAAACACTCAAACCTCATGTCCATCAGCTTGCTTCTATCGGCTTACGCCCTCAATCTCACGACCTTTGCTGCAATTCTTGCGCTCGGATTCAGATTCATCATCTATCCCATCTTTTTCTCTCCTCTGTCCAAAGTCCCCGTGGCTCATCCGCTCTCCCATGTGACCTCTCTGTGGATTCAATGGCACAGATGGCAAGGGACAGAGTTTGATCGCATCTCCAAGGCATTTGCCCACAAGGGGCCATACATTCGGATTGGACCCAGCGAAATTGTTGTCAACACTGTCGAGGCTGTCCAGAGTGTCTACGGCGTTGGTGCTAACAATTTTGACAAGCACCCATCTTACGACTACTTTATTACGCAAGGGTTTGTAAAAAGTCTTACATACAGGTTGGAGTGAATTGACTTGACTAATGTGTTTCTCAATCAAATTCAAGATCTCGCAATATGTTTACCTCTCTTGGAAACGATCATCGGTCTCGCAGACGGAGAATCTCATCTATTTACTCACGGTCTTTCATACAATCTTCTCCGCATGTCCGAGCCATCATGCACACTCTTCTAGTAGAGAGAATGTTGCCAGTGCTTACTCGTGTGTCTTCCTCGAATGAGGGGAGTGTCAATGTTTTGCCACTTCTTCAATCCTTTGCTTTAGACTTCATGTCTGCCTTCGCATTCGGGATACCAAGGGGTTTCAATTTCATCCTCGAAGAGGCTGCTAGATGGCAATGGATTAACCTATTTGAACAGAGTTATCCACCAGAAAGTGTGTTTTGGATGAAAGAATATCCAAAGTTGGTCAAATTCCTCCCATTTTTGGGGGTTCATCTAGTTCCGGAAGGTCAGTTAGAGGCGAGGAAGGCATGCGAGAATTGGGCTATCAAAAAAACTCAAGAATGTGAGGCCGTTATACAAAAAGCGGGTGGGGACTTGGAGAGTCTGGTCTCGCTACCAGCCGGTGAGCTTCCAATACTATACGCCTACGTGAGAGCCGGGCTTGCACGACTTTCTGGCGTTGAGAGGGATTTTTCCCCCCAGCATGGTGAGAGACTAGAGCTGGCAAGCGAATGCTTCGATCACATATGTAAGTATTGTGCTTATGCTGCCGGAAGAAGCCTAACTTGACTGATGAGAGAAAAGCGGCGACAGGAGACACTTTCGGTAAGTAGCGCGATAAAGGCAGTGGTTTCTTGCTCACATTTTCAATCAGGCACGATGGTGACGTATATGATATATGAGATCTCGCGCCACAAGGGCATTCAAGAGCAACTCCGTAAGGAATTATTACTCGCTACGAACACCCCCAAGCTGTCTTCGCAGCCTTTATCGTCGATTCCGCCTTCAAATAGGCTCGAGCGCCTGGTGTTGCTGAATTGCGTCATTATGGAAAGCCTCCGACTGCGCAATAATGCGCCGAACCTGGACCCACGACTTGCTCCAGCGCATGGACGGTCGGAGGTAGGTGCACTTAGTAACGTCCCTCCTGGAGTCCGAATTGGCACGTATGGCTGGTTGCTCAACCGCAATCCCGAGGTATTCCCTGAGCCAGAGCAATGGCAGCCAAACCGCTGGAAGAGTGGAGGGCCAAAGGCGGCTGCACTTCGGAACCAGTGGCTCTTTGCATTCGGCGGTGGCAGCCGCGGATGTGTTGGGCAACAAGTTGCCATGGAATGTGAGTATGGAATCATGTTTTGGGTTGAACTCGTCTAACGAAGATCGGAACAGTGATGAGGTTGCTAGTCTATGCAATTTATTCCAACTTTACGACTACAGTTGCCGATGAGGCTGGGTACCCTGGTGCGAATAAGTTTGTGGGGAGTAACTGCAGAGAGAGACTTTTCATCAAGTTTGAGAAGCTAGCTCGTTCAGTTGGCGACGTGTAAATACGCCTGTGAATTACCGCAGGCAAAGTTTTCCTTGACAACTTTTATGCGTCCTTGTGGCGTTGCCGGCGCTGGCGACCATGGCCCAGCTGCCGAGCGATATTCTTGGTATTTGCAAAGGTGATGCACTCACTAAACATTAGGGAAAAAATATAAAAAATCAGGGATGACTAGCGCCCTTCCCGGGTGCTTATGTTTTGTATTTAGGATTAGTTGCTGCGAAGGGATGCGACGGGTGCAAGGTAGCGATTTGTACAGTCCTAGGCTGCCGGGACTTCTACCATGTGCAGTTTGCTAGTAGATCAATGTATCCTGAATATTTAGGGGTCTTGATTAATAGCTGATATACCTATCCGGGACCTCGGACCGGCGTGATGACAGCCAAAGGGATGGAAGGCTTGACCACGTCCTTCCTTTTTCAGTCTCAGCAGATACTCATTACGGGGTAGTTGCATCCGCATCTATTTATGCACCCGCCCGTACTACTGACGTGTCTACGTACCCAACAGCGCGTTGGACTTCTGCAGGTGCGCCTGACACACTTAAGTAGGTGCGCCTGACTGCTACTTGGGCAGGACGCGGCAGCTAACGCAGACCCACCACGGCAAGCCACAGCAGAAGGATGCAGGTGACATGGCAGCACAAAACGCGGCTATCACGAGGGTCTTGCATGGATTTTACGCAAAAGAAACACTCGACAGTACTATTTACTTGAGCATTTGACGCATCTCTGAACCGGAGCATTTGACGCATCCCAGAAAATTAACCCATTTACCACGGAAAATGTCAGAGCTACTCGGCCAACTTTCTTACTGGCGCTGCCGGCCAAATTTCGTCATAGCAACTGTGGCAATGAGCCTCTTCACAGATCTGTTCCTCTACGATATCATGCTTCCCATACTTCCATCCGTGTTGCGGGACCGCGTTTCTATCCCTAGAGCTCATGTTCAGGCATATACGTCTGGATTATTGGCCACCTATGCGGCCGCATCAGTGCTGCTGTCCGTCCCAGTAGGATGTCTCGCTCATAAAGCCGGTTCTCGCCACTCGAAATATATTTATGGGGCTGTCCTTCTCTATGCCTCCGTCGTTTTGACTGCTTTTGGTCAGAGTATTCCTATTCTGGTGCTTGCAAGATTACTTCAGGGAGCATCTGCTGCCATCGTCTGGACCGTGGGCTTTGCCATGGTCCACGATGTTATTGGTCCTGAAATGACCGGCCAGGTCATTGGAACAGTTTGTATTCCCAAATGTCAACATCTTCGCGGTCCGGGCTAACGCCGGATGCATCAAGATCTTCTCTGTAATAGCCTTTGGTGATATAGTCGCACCGATTATGGGCGGCCTTCTTTATCACAAAGGTGGCATTTGGGCCGTGTTTTCCGCGGCAACCATCGTTGTCGTCATTGATGCCGCCTTGCGAATTTTAGTTGTTGACAAAAAGACGGCACACGTCGAGAGTGGCTCTTTCACTCATGACTGCATAAGCGATAGGCTTCTGCCGGAACCAAGCGAGGAAACACTGGGTTCAAGTCAACCACGGCTTCCAAGCCTCAAACTCGCACGCTATAACATCACTCAAGACTGGGGCCGTCTCGGGCGGGCCTTCCCTATTCTATATTGTTGTCGTGAGCCCAGGCTTTTCTTGGCTCTGCTTCTGATTTCGTTTCAGGCTTTCTTAGTAGGCATTTTGAATGCCACCGTCCCGACAGAGGCAGAATTCTCGTTTGGCTTTTCCCCTTCCGAGGTCGGCCTGTTATTTGTTGCATTCTTCTTCCCAAACCTGGCACTGGGCCGTGCCGCAGGAAAGGCGATTGATAGGTATGGGACCAAGTCAGTGGCAACCGTCGGTTATGCCCTGTTGGTCCCATGTCTCATGCTGTTGGGTCTGCCTTCATTGAAGCTCATTTCTGGGCTTAGCAACACCGTCCTGTTTGGCATTGCCCTCTTTTTGAACGGTTCGTGCTTGGCCATGGTCGGCTCCACGAGTTTTGTCGAAGCAAGTGACATCATTCGGGTTTACGCGGCGGCCAATCCGACAATATTTGGAGCTGATGTGCCTTACGCTCAGCTATACAGCCTGAACTCACTGTTTTCCTTTGCTGGGCTAACAGCTGGTCCCGTTCTTGGTGGTATCTTGAGGATAAATTATGGATATTGCGCCATGAACTTTATATTGGGTGCCTTGTCGAGTGTGGCTTCTATTGCCGCATTTTTCGTCATGGGCAAGCGGAACCCATGAGTCCGGTGGCAGTACATGAGGGATCAGGCTTGTCAACAGATGGCAAGATTTGTTCAGATTTGGTGAAATCCAAATTAGTGGCTTTGGAGCCATGGGCTCCTCTGAACAGATAAATGACGGATTCGGCTTACTAGAAGTCAACTTTGCATACACCCTCAAACTTTACGAACAGAAATCTATCATCTGATATAATCAATGGACTCGCTCATTCCAATTAATAACCCATATCCACACTTTTATGCAATTCGATTGGATTAATGCCCGGCGAGAAGCTCGTGTGTACCTGCCTTGGTGTTTTTTTTTGGCGCAGCCAGAATGCTTTCAGATGAGCTGTGCTCTCAGGCTGTCCTGAGACCTGTGGATAACAAAGTAGCCATCATAGGCCGTGTATGCCGTAAAAATGCTTCCACTTTACGCCGCGGTACATCTTACTCTTCTCGTTATCCAATCATCATGGGAAATCCTCGACGTGGCGACAACAACAACAACAACAACAACAACATTGAGTACGTTTCAGCCATGTCGTCAACAACTCCATCGTCGCTACTTTCTTCGATTACGTCTACCTCAACACCAGCTCTCCCGTCACCGACAAGGCTTTGACGTTCTCAACGAGCGGCTAGAGAGCTACGAACCGCACCTGTAACTTCTTGTCCGCTGAATGGGCAAAATTCTCATGATGAATGTCCATGTCGCTATCATCTTCAACTGAAGTTTTGTACTTGATGTATATGTTCGCGACTGTGAATTTGATTGCTGCTCCCAAGTAAATCAGTAGCGACCCTTTCTTACTTCTTTTTCTTCTTTTTTTTAAAAAAAAGGTGAGCGTACCTTGTAAGACGAAATTCGACGCTACGCACATCCTCCCTCCATTGCCAAAGGCCCAGAACTGTTGATTCATCCGCCTGAGATGGTCATCGTCGGTTACGTGGCTCAGCCACCGTGTGTGATCCCAATGATCAGCGTTTGGGAAAACGCTTTCATCGCGATGAAGTACATACGCGGATGCTGCAACATGCACTCCACCTGGAATTTCATACTTGCCAATTTTACATGATGGATATGCTGTTTCCCGCAGCTGGGGTCCCGGATTAGGCGCGTCCACCCGCAAGGTCTCCATGACGACGGAATGCAATATCGGCAAAGAATCCAGTGCTTTCGCAGTGCCGAGAGTGTTGTCACATTTATCGCCGACTTTCATTGCCAGCAACTCTTCTCTTAATTGATCCTGGACTTTGGGAAATTGTGTCAAGCGCCAGACCAGATGCGTAAACGCAAATGCCATGGATTCGTGGCCACCTAGAATTGTGTCTAAAACTTCGCAGGCCAGGATTGATTTCTGCCCGCTCAGAGGTAACCCATAAAGGGCCGAGCCTTCCTTTGTCGCTTCTCTTTGGAGGCCAGTGCGAAAGGCGTTGAAGAGAACGGATTCATTTGCAGGTTGACAGAACTCATGGGAGGATGATGGTATCGTGGTGTAAGCCTTTTCGCAAAGCTTTTTGTTCCAGCTGCGGATCTCACTCTGCGCTTTGTCTGCCAGCAACGGGTACAATCTAATACCGAATTTGGAGCAAAAGGAGTTGAGATTAGGAAGCTCCTGAATCCAGAAGAAGCGCTCATTCATTGATCGACAAAGGTTGATCCAAGTTTTGCGACATCTCTCCTGTGAAACGAGGTTTGTACCATGTTCGATTCCGAAAATATATGCCGAGATGATATCAGCTGCTGTAGCCATAAAGAGGGAATGCACCTCTATTCCTCTAGGGGAGGTATTGGCAGCCTCTTTGTCAAGTAAGGGAAGAAGTCGTTCAAAGATTACCACATCAAGTTGCTCCTGAAATGCTCTCGAAGACTGAATGTAGCTCTTAGAATAGACATTTGAAATCAGACGTCTCCTGCTTGCATGTTCTTCGAAGCCAAGAGCCGAAGTGAGACAAGGGAAACGGTAGGACTATTAGCGCATACGATCTCCTATCCCTTGGTCTCCCCAAGCTTACCCATAGTTATCAAAAGCACTGTGCCATGATGTTTTGTCAAGTCCATAAGTATAAACCGCGCGAACAGTATTAATGTCGCTGATGCTGAGTGTATTTGGGCCAATCCTGATGACATCTCCCAGTTGAGCATGGGCGAGATGGAGCTTCTTTGTCTCATTGCCCGACTTTCTAGCCCAGATTGTCCACGCGTTCGATATTGAGCATGACCAGTGAGGAGCGGGGATTCGTGCTAATGCACAGACGAACATTGGTTTGAAAATATACACATACAACAAGTAGGCTAGGACAAGTGTCGCTAGGAAAAGTTGACCTTCGGATGACATGCTGTAGCTTTTTTTTTCCTGTTAGAATTGCTAAGAAGATAACAAGGCCGAAGACTCTGGACAAGACGTAGATATCAAGGGCTGTCCTGAATGCCTGTCGGAAGAAATGTCACCGCTACTCGCATGTCTGATCGACGTGCAGGTGGGGGCGGCGACCACTCGGAAGCTGCCACGCTACGGACGCAACCGTCCATGCGATGGAATGGTACCGAGTAGCGATCGAGACGGCTCCTGATATCTACCTCAGTACTTTCAGCTGGTCAGAGACACGTCGGCGTTGCATCGAATCTCGGGTCTGTCACGAGGATTAACAGGGGTCAAGCGGGGTTAATGGCGTGCTTCCTGCAGTGACGAAAGCAATAAATCTGTATCCGCGATTCATAAACATGCAATTTGGAGGAACGGCACGCTGTACACGTCCGCTCGTCTTCAGCACTTGCCGCACGCATATTATCTTGGAATATCGCGTGGGGAAATCGTCAGACAAGTCGACTCTTTTGCCTGCAAGCTGCTCAGAATTTTGCTTCTAGTTACTACACTGCCGTGCCATTGCTGCTACCTGGTGTTTCCTACAGCATGCATACTTACGACGCCATAAATCTTGTCATTTCGGTTCTCATCGCGTGGAGGATCACGGTAATCGTCTACAGACTTTTTTTTCATCCCCTTTCCGGGTTTCCTGGTCCCAAGTTAGCTGCCATTTCGACCTTATACCGGGCGTACCATCAGTGTTGGAAAGATGGAAAATTGCTGCACTGGAGCATTACTCTACACCAAAAATTCGGTGAGGACCTTGGTACGAAGTAGTGTTTTAGTTAAAAACAGCTAATGAATGCCAAGGCCCGGTGATTCGTATTTCACCGAATGAAGTATCTATTTACCATTGTCCCGAACATGAAAGCCGCTGTGCGCTATCTGATCAACGCTGACGTTTCACAGCTTATCGGTGGTGCCCGCAATTGCGTCGTAATTCACTTAGGCCACGTGACCACTTATCGCCCGCAAAACGCCGCCCGTGAAATCGTGTGCAGGACGCCTGATAAGTGCATTTGATAAGTTCCCACCCAACTTATCGGGTTTCCGGCCAACACCAGCCCAGACATTCGCCCCGTAGGAACGTTGCCCGATCGACCGAGATGGCCGCGGACGACTCGTACACGGCAGCTGACGAGCGCGCCCGTGCCGCCCGGAGGGCGGGCATCCAGGCGAAGAAGGACGAACAGCCGGCGAACACGGCGCGGAGTTACGCGGCGAAGCAGCGGGAGTGGAAGGCGCGTCCCCCGGCCGGTCCTCCACTTCGATCCCTGTCACGTACGGCCCCCCTAGGCGGCTAACAGACAAATACGTATAGGCCTGGTGCCATACGCCTCGGGCTGCAGCAGACGGCTCGCTCTATAGCTGGCCCGACGGCGAGCTCGTAACGCCGGACAAGCTGGCGGCGTGGCTCAAAGAGGATATCCTGTTACGACGCGTTGTGCCGCCGCAGAAGAAGAAGCCGCGCGCGCGGGGTAAGGTTAGGGGCGACGGCAACGGCGAGGCCGTACAGGTACGGCAACAGCGCGAACAGGAGCAGCTCGAGGCCGCGGCCATGGCAGAGGCCGAAAGCCTGGCCGAAGCTTTGGAGGTCCCCCTGGCCGAGGCCGCTGAGCTGCTCGCTGACGACCGCGAGGGTTACGTGCCACCCACAGGCCTCGCGACGGCTGCAGTAGACCTTACCGAAGGGTCTTTGCTTACGAGGGGCACTATCGACGCCTATATCGCGGCCGTTATCGAGCTATGGAGGCTCCAGGTGGCTCACGGCAACTCGAATACGGAGAATCCCGGGGCGCGCCGTACGAGGATTCCTTGAGCAACGGGCCGGCAGCGGGGAAGCACGACCGAGCCTCCTTTAAAGACCGCGGGAGCGACGGGATCCAGGCCGGCTACCTCCCCGATGAATGGCTTCGGATCCAGGATCTCCTTCTCACTGGCGCCGCGTATACGCCGCAAAACCTCCGTACGCGAGTCGACCTCCTCTTCGGCCACTACTACCTCTTACGGGGGGAGAACCGCCGCAAGATGGAGCTTGCAGACCTGTCCCTACTCGACTATCCGCCTTCGGAAGGGCCGACCCCCTGTGGTTGCCTGGTAAGCCTTTTACGGGACGGCAAGCTAAATAAGACGGCGAGGAAGGAGTTTATGGGCGCGCTCCGGCACAAGGACCCCTTATTCTGTACGCAAGGGGCCCTAGCACAGCTCTTCTTTTGGCGCTGGCACGTCGCCGGCGAACCGCCCCCGTCCTTCCGGCGCCGTCAGGACTGGTATCGGATCAAGGTCCTCGTCGGGCGGGACCGCGAGCAGGAGCTCTCGTACCCGACGCAGCTACAAGAGACCTGGCGTATCTTCGGCGCTGCCGGCCTTATCGCGTCGAAGAAGACGCACCTCCCGCGCAGGGTGGGCGCCCAGGACGCGGAGACCCATGGCACGTCGCTCGCCCAGATCTCGCAGGCCGGCCGCTGGAACCAGAGCGTGCTCTGCCAGGCATATCTTACGCACCTACCGCGGCAGTTCATGCGTATCGTCGCCGGCTTCTCGGCCTCCCGGGGACTACTTCCTCGCGCGTGCGGCTCACGAACCCCGTACGTCTTACAAAAGCAGCTGTGGCCGTGGATCGAGGTGGGAACCCCGCTTTGAGGCGCGGGCGCGCCGGCAATGCTGGGCAGAAGGCGGTCTCGACGACGACGACTTAGCCGCCGACGGCTTCCTTAAGCTTATGCGGCGCCTGCGTATAGTACTTCTGCAGGACCTGGCCGTCCTACAGCTCCGCTACCCGTCGCTACCGTTCTTCGCCTACGCCCCTTTTAGCGGGCCCGAGTGGGACGAGTTCGCCGTCGCCGTGCGGTCCACCGCGGTAGGGGCTATGGAGACGGTAAGCCTGCTCGTACGACGCGCGCTGCCGGAACTAAGCGGCGTCATAGAGAGCACGCGGGAGGCCCTGTTACAGAATAGTCAGCGGCTCGCCATCCGGCTTGAGGCCCGGCTGGACGGGATTCAGGGCGGCCTCGATGCCCTCCTCCAAGGCAAGGTCCCTATCACCTTTACCGGTTACTTCGGAGCCGGGTCAGCAGAGGCGCTGGCGCCGGCGCCGGCCCGGCGCCGTCAACAGTACCTACCTTGAATCTCAATACAGCTCCGGCCCCGGCCCCCGACCCAGAGCCTCTGGTACCAGGCATGCCTATCGTCACAGCCCTGGCAAGGGTCTTTACGGTGGGGGACGTCTGGAAGGAGTGGGAGGAAGGGTTTGCAGGTCAGAAGGCCGTACGGGAGCTGGAAGAGACGTGGGGAAGCCGCTGGCGCCCGGGGAACGGGGTCAGAGTGCAGTTCTGTCGCCGGAAGGTGATCTGGGACGAGCTGTTGGCCCGTATGGCGTCCGGCAAATGCAAGGAGGCGGCCGTTGCAGAGCTAGAGCTGTTACGCGCCGGCCGAAGCTTGAACCGACTCGTCGACGAACTCAAACAGCGCCGACGGCGGGGCCAGGATCGGGGCCAGGGCCAGGGCCAGATACGGGTACAGGTAGGGACCCCGTGCCCGATGACCCAGGTCCAGGCCGGGACCAGGTCCAACTCGAGGTCAGGGCCGTCGGGGCGGAGGACCCGGCTGGGAAAGCGGACCGCCCTCGTCGACGTAAGCCAGCCGCCTCGTAGAGTCTTTACACATATTTATATCCATGTAACTAGACATATTTTTGAGGATCAAAGGGCCGTAGGATCAGTGCATTACTATCTCACAGTTCCTGTGGCCGAGCCTAGCCCCCCATTACCCATTCGCGGCGCTGCAACGCAAATATCTCGACGGGCAGTAGCCTATACGGAGTGCTCCTCGACCAAACGCGCCGCCGGGTGTAGTAGTCCCCCAGGCCCCGGAATGGCCTGGATTGGGCTGCTGGCCGTGGAGATATTCGCGTGCGCGCCGCCGGGCACTTATCAGATGGTAGATGTGTAATCGCATACGATTTCCCGAAATTACTCCGCAAATCGACCCCACGATAAGTCCTGCTTACCCGTTGATCTTGGTGTGGGGCCACAGCAGCCCAACTAAGTGTCTTCGCCACTTAGTTGGCCCAAAAAATCCGGCACAGCCCAAAAAATCCGGCACAGCAGGGTCCTCAATTTGGGGTGCAAAATCAGGGAAATTCTACGCTTCGCTTCATGGTGCCGTCAATGCGACTTCAAATAGCTAAAATATACATGTGATCAATAGCTGCGGATCACCTAAAGACGAAAGTAACAACGAAAAGTGAAAAAATCACGTCTTTGGGCCTATTTAGGAGCTGCCGCCTTCCAGTCGAAGAGATAGGAAGACCGCGTTTGTGAGTCCAAATAGACGTATTATGTAGTAATTTCGCCTGTTGTGCGTCTCTGAGAGCTATTTTATCCATACCTGTGTTCCTGGAGCGTCTGCTGTATCTTGTTGGACGATCGGGTGCGCGGTCGAGGGCATGGTGTATCGACTACCGCTTCAACCGCTGCTAACGGCGGCGATGAGGGTATATTCTCTTGCGTGTCGAGTAAATTGTCCTCGTCTTCATCGTCGGCGCCATCCTCACTATGTTTGTCAAGATCGAGGCCTGTGAAATAGACGGTATCGTCACTGCCGGGCAACGACGACATATCTGTAAGTGGGCGAGGTCGGGTCGCTGCGCGCGCCCTGACATCTCTGGCGGAGTTATTTCTCTTCGTGGTATCATAGAAAAAGGATTCCTTGGATGGCTCTTTGAGCTCCCGCATGAGGGTATCGCAACTTTGCTCCAGAGTGTAGAACTCAACGTCTCGTCCCGTAAACTCTAGCCAGGGCTTAAAGTTCAATGTCTTGACTCTGCCATTGACTAACTGCTTCTTCCCGACTTTATAGTCTTCTCGGATCTTCTGCATCTCTCCACGAACTCGTTTAAGATGCATCCTTATCTCCTGGCGCGTTTGAAGCCGGGTTTGCTTTGCCTGGAGCTCCTCATACTCCCGGGTGATGTCGGCCATGCTGGAGCTCGTGATAAACTCTCCGCGCGGCCTGACAATCTTGCCTCTCTTCATTCGATTCGCATACGCCTGGGTTCGGCTATTCTTATCGCTGACTATGCCCTGGGAATGTGACGCCATCGCGATAGACTCGGTGTTCACTTTCGCAAGAACCCGCAAGTTTTCTCGTGATGGCGAGCTCATGAGGGGCCCATACCGTTGCCGGATATCATTGAGGGCATCCGCGGCGACTTGGAAACGCGTCTCCGAGGGTAGGAGCGAGGCGTATGCAGGATTGATCGGCTGCTGTTGTCGTAGCTGCTCGTGGAGGATCTTGGTGATCACCGGCGCTGGGTCGACAGGAAAGAGGCCTGTTTTTCAAATGCCGCCATAATGTTATGCCGCGTGAAGCCAGCCTCATATACGTCCTGAAAAGCTGTGAGGAAGTTGACCCGCGAAAATGATATGTTGCCTTCTGCGAGCGACTTCAGCGCTTTCTGATGTGCTGACTTTAGTGGCTGGAATACCCCAACATCAAGCGGCTGCATGAGGTGGGTGGAATGTGGAGGAAAATAGCAATGATGATATCAAACTTGATACAATACTCAGCAAAGTCAAGGTGGTATGCCCTGTAAAGCCATCCACAACAAGCAATCGGTAGATCTTCTCGTCGTCAGGCCGTTGGTTTGGCGGCGCCTCCACGCGACTCATCCCCATGTTGGGGCGCCGAAGATGCTCGTCACAGCCGAACCACTCTTCCAGCGAATTTCCTGACTGTTTTGCTTGCGCTGACGATGCCCAAGACCAGCAGTTGAAATGCCTTGCCCACTCAAGGTGTATCTCTGCGTTGGAAAAGCCAGTTGGCGACTGGGCAAACCGTACGCCTGTCATGATGTCGATGCCGGCCCAGTTGGTGGTAGGGTAATGTTGGAAAACAAGCCAGGGTGGAAGAGAGTCCCCCACTGCGTTAACTGAGGCAATTACCGTGCAGGATTCTCGGTTTGCTGGGTCTAAAACTCGGGGCCGGGTGCTCTTGACTCTAGTGGTGCGCGTGATGAGAACTTGGATGCGTTCTCGCAGGCACCCAATGCGTATTCCGGCCTCGTCTTCATTCCAGATCTCTGAACTGCCAATACGGTAGCTGGTGATGATTTCTCGAAGCTTTGAGTAGAAAAATTCGACTTCTTCTACCTGTGGGCTTCAAAGGACTTCCGGGCTCGTTCAACTGCTTTGAGATACGTCTTCGCGATCGCAGGATGACTTCCACGCCAATTGTCAAGCCAACTTGACGAGACCGGGCGGGCATTGGGATCTCGACGCATTCTTATTGCATTTGCAACAGCTTCAAGTTGCTCTCTCGTGGCGGGCATGCCGGTGCGTTCCATCCACTGTACATACGCAACCAGGGCGTCGTCTTCGTCCTCCGTCAGCGCCAATGGACGCCCTGGAGCACGGGAAAAGGGTTTCTTATGAAATTAATGGCTCTCTGTACGGATGAGCTCTTCACATTGTAACGGATGGCCGCATCTCGCACGGAAAGAGGCGTTCTTTTGGTGTTGTTGAGCGACGAACATCGGCTCTGGGGTCGCGACGAGACGCCAGAACGGCTTTTGCTGCCTCCAGGGTAGCCATGTTATCTGTCATAATGTATTCCGGCAAAAAGATACGTAAATAAAGTCAAGTTGCGCGAGAAAACGCGGTTGAGATGCATAGGGTTGACGTTTTGGAGGTGGGCTGCTGTGCCGGATTTTTTGGGCTGTGCCGGATTTTTTGGGCCAACTAAGTGGCGAAGACACTTAGTTGGGCTGCTGTGGCCCCACACCAAGATCAACGGGTATCTTCTGCCGTCCGGCCGCATACCATGACATCTTCTCCAATAGCTTTAATGGCCTGAAGGATCCGGACTACTACGTTAATCTAGGCAATCAGTCTGACAATTTCTTCACCAAGGGCGATCCAGTTGAATACAGGGCGCGCTTTCAGCCAGTCGCCTCTCTATTCGCCAAAAGACATTACGATCAATGCGAACCGAATGTTCAAGAAAATGTAAGCAAGCTACTATGAGAGTTCAATTGTTTACTTTTAATTAAGACCGAACTAGGTGGAGCGTTTCAGCAAATTTCTCAGCTCCTATGCTCAGCATCAGAAGCCTGTAAATTTGGCTATGGGGTATCGCTCACTGTTCTTGAAAATTATCAACGACTTCATCTTTAGTAGCATCCCTGAAACCATGAGATCTCTAGCAAACCAGGACTTTGACGATCCACTTTGCCTTGCTACTTTTGCGGCAATAAACTGGACAGAATGGTTTTCCACGAATTTCCCGAGGTTGAATATGCTCGCCTTGCAACTACCGCGACGACTAGTGAGCCTTGTCACGACGGGTTATGATCCAACATTTCAGGTATATGACGTAAGTTCGTACGAATAACAACTCCAATTTGGCGTTTGGGTGAGTCTGAAGTACCGCAACAGATTGTCCGGGAGCTCGTACAACACGAAAAACACTCAAAAACTGCTAAAAACACAAACTGCTTGATGCAACGCTTTATTAATGCACACCTGGAGAGCAAATCGCAGAATACGGTACCCCTTTCCGAAGTTGTCTTGGAAGACGAAACTATTCTCACCATGTACGGTGGCATTGTTGATTTGGCAAATATTGTGCCTTTTGGCACTTTCATGGTATCAGAAGATTCACGGCTTCAACAAAGACTTTACGAGGAGCTCAAGTCTGTTTGGCCGGACCGTAGCGCATCGGTCCCTTCATACGAAGTTTTACGACACCTTCCACTTCTCGTGCGTGCCTAACCTCTAGAATAATTGTGGAACTGGAGCTCACATTTAGAGCGTCAAAGAATGGAATCATTCAAGAGAGCATGCGCCTTACGCATGGCGCCGTTACTGGGCCTCCGCGCCTGGTCGGTCCGGGCGGCGCCCGAGTGGACGGCTGCTACGTCCCTGCTAAGGCACAAAGCCATGGACCCCATGCGATGGCCAAGTGCTTGACTAATTTTATTTCGTAGGCTGTGGTATCTGCTCCATCCTATTTCGTACATATGGACCCAGTGGCATATCCTGACCCAAAACGTTTCGATCCTGAAAGATGGATAAAAAACGACCACCCTGGCCCAATTGTGGCCTTCTCAAAAGGGCGCAGAATGTGCCCTGCTGTCCAGTAAGTTCTCCTTGCCTATTTTACGGATAATTTCCGTGATAACGAATTAGTCTTGCAAACATCGAGATGTTCGCCACGTTCGCAACTGTTTTCCGTCGATACATCGTTGTTTCATATGAAACCTCGTGAGCTATCTGACCTTTTAGGTTCGTGCTGCAACTGACACTTTTTATAGCATCGAAGATTTCGAATGGAGCCAGTATTTTTCCATTCACTTCACTGGCAGACAGCTGCGAGCCCTTCTCAAAGAGAGGGACCTCTGAAATAGGCTTAAATTCTTCAGGAGCCATTTAAGTTAAAGAAGAATTAATTTCACCAATGTTGCTAGCGTATGCTGAAAAATGATTGCCCTTCGTACTGTCCACGTTTTACCTCGAAAACAAAGCTCCACCGGCCTCGGAGATCATGACCGGCCACAACTCCATTCGTCCGGTTCTACCGCTCAAATCTTGCGGAAGGAGCTATGAAATTGAATTTTGCCTGTCCGAAAAGCCTATTGAATCTTTCACATTTCAGCTTGTCGCACAAATTTAGGGTGTTCTGGCCCGGCAGTGCCTTGTTGATTCCCCTGAAGTACTCTCCAATAACTCAATTCAGCTGTCAGACTCAGTCACTATGACCTCCTGTGACCGATTATCAAAATATCATCAGATCATGAATTTCTCTACCTGCTAGTGCGAATTATAGCTATTTGTTGTTAACAAGTCTTACCAGATCGACTGTGGCGCAATGAAACGAGCCGCCGATGCTATGGACATGTTTGAAAGGACACATGATTGGCATCATGCCAAATTCCTTCTTAACCCAGGACGCAAATTCTGTGTCATTCGCTTCTATGATGATGCGACGCTCGTCGAGGACGAGACAGTTGAGTACCAACCACGGAGAGCAGATATACGAGGGCGGGCCGGCGGGTCCTCGTGGCTGGGGGTTAAACGGATAAGGATGTATCTCCCACCCCTGAAAGACAGCGTGCCGCCTCAACTCCATCTCTACGGGCGACTGTAGGCCAGACTGTCTCAAAACGCATTTTGGGCTGTGGGCACCCCGGGGTTAGATTACCCGATCGGGTCTAAGTGCAACTGGGTAACTTGTATATACCGATACTCTTCTATTAGCATAGGGCATTGAAAGAAATGAAAGTAAGCGTTCGCTCTGCGCATTGGTACACATTTTCAGTGCTTTTCTCCCTTCTACGATATCATTGAGCCCGAATAGCGCTTTACTCAGTTAAACAAATATGCCTCGACCACAAATTGATCTTTCCACAGTTCAGGAGGAAATCACCGGCTTGCATCGAGATGGATCCTCTATTAATACAATCCGTACGCATCTTCTCGAGCATCATCAGCTTCAAGTAAGCCGCGCCAGTCTCTATCGATCGATCAAAGACTGGGGACTTCTTCGTCAAGCACGTACGATCACTTCAGATACCTTACGGGACCGAATTAGGTCGCTATTCTTTGATGAATGTCTTAAGGATGATTTCATGCTTAAACGACTTAGAGACGAGGGTTTACGATCTCAAAGTTCCGTCTTGAAAGAATTCGGCTTGAAGAGGGCTCTACCGCCGCCAATCCTGAAGCGCTCCAAGTCGCAAGGAACGCGCCCGGTCCTTTTTAACAGCCAGGCACAGATCTCTACAACGCTACAAGGACATGGCCGGAACTATCTCTATACGTATATGCGCCAGCAACATCATATTATTAGTCGTGATGCCCTATACGCAGAGTATCGAGACTTCACGCCTGAGAACGTTAGGGAACGATGGGGACGAACACGTTACACACGACGTGACTTCTCTATCCATGGCCCAGACTGGGTCTGGTCTATTGATGGCTACGACAAACTTAAGAATTGGGGTTTTGAGATCTATGCTGGTATTGACGCGTACTCACGGTATATTACGTGGTTTTACTGTGGGTTTTCGTCCAGTACGAGCTGGAACGTTGCAAAACAGTACCTCCACGTACTAAACCAGCGGCACGCTATGCCTCGTATCTTGCGATCGGACCATGGTAATGAGACATCCTCTTATGCGGGATACATTATTACCTATCCGGCATGCGAACGAAGGAACAGGGCTCTGATCTCGTCCCAATTGCATTTGGAGACTGCTGGTACTTTGGCCGAAGCATTCATAACACCCGGATTGAGAGCTGGTGGCATCGGTTAGGCAGTAATCGTGCTGGGTTCTGGCGAGTAAGTATAATTTTATCCATCATCTACCCTAGTTATACTAACTCTCCATTAGCAATACTTTCAATGGCTCACCGAACATGGCTTATTTGACAGTAGCTCAAGGGCGGATCGAGTGGCAATTCTCTATATCTATATGGATACTATCCGTCAAGAGCTAGTCCAATTCGTTCATATGTGGAACAGTCATACTATTCGACATCAGCCAAATCGTCCACACGTTCGAAGCGGGCAACCTACGGTCTTATATCATCAGCTTGATTCTGCTGGTGAACAGAATTATGCCGAGGAGATCCCACCGGATCGGCTTCGCATATGCACCGAGCTTTTCGATGAGGATACCACGAACCTAGACGACTACCTACCGCTTAAAACTAAAGAGATATGCGATTATTTGGTTCAATTAAGCATTGGAACTATATCTTCAAGTCCTCCGAACCCGGAATATCCATGGCTTGACGAGTACAACTCGCTCCGGACACATCTGCATCAGTATATTACTGATCAGAAGCAACCGGAAGTCACGTTACTTAGTCGCCCAGAAAATGGTCGGGACCGACTACAACAAGTCTTATCACAGTCTAATATTAGCCTAGACGATCTTGAACAGTTGAGTTTTAGGAGTGACGATGGTAATTAAAGAAAAAAGCAAGTGAACGGTTAAGATTGCGATTTTACATGAGCTTGACGACGTGTAACCATTTGCTCCCCTATAGTCCCGTCCGCGTTAGAGATACCATCTTCTTGAGTCTCGCCTTCCTTGATATCCTCTAAGACCTGACCTGGGCTCCCTAAATCTGACTTAAAGTCCTGTGAAAAGTCAAAATCCGCCTCAGATGCTACTTGTATCGTAGATTTATTCTCGGCCTCCTCCTTGATAGCCTCTACCTTAAACTTCTTGCTTGTATTCTTCGGCGTCGGTTTAGTCTTAGGGAGTTGCTTGCGTTTCTTCGGAGACGCACTCTCTTTTTTAACTAAAGGTTCGTTCTTGGCGCTAAGAATATGTGCGGGTTCGAAGAGGTCGTCTGGGTTGTTGTCGCTCTCGTAAGAGAACAAAAAGATTAAAGAGTACTTAAAAGGTGATGCAATCGCCTTGTTTGGGGATATCGCACGGAGGATGAGCAAGTGGGCATAAAGATCAGGGACTGGAAGACTCTTGATTCTGCTATCTAAGGTGGGAAAGAGGCGAGATCTTTATAGACTGCCTGAATATGAGAATGGAAGGGAATGGTAGTGAATGGAAGCATCTGATCGGATCATCTGGAAGCCACTGATGCGTTGATGATGCCTCCTAGAAGTTTCTGTGGGGAAATGTGGAAACGGACTGTGCGAATAGGGGGTCAGACTGTTGGAGGCTGATATCCTATGTGTGACATACCCCAGGTTGTGCTGGCTAGTGGGCAGTGCAAACTGAAGAAAGAAACTAGATCCCTAGCAACGTAGAGATATCGACGAGACCGAGTTGTTTGACGAAAGTAGCAAATTTCTGGCCTGGCAGAGCTTTGGTGAGCGGGCTGAGCGCCGTGGCTGAGTCACTCGGACCGGGGTCCGGTGTCGGATATGGGTGCTGAATGTCATGAAACTCATCCTGATCATCCGAGTCCTCATGATCAGATGGTTCGGGTTGTACCACAATCGTGGTGGCGTCTCCTTGGTCTGAGGTTGAGGGAGATTGCTCAACGGGGTCAGGTTCAGGTTCATCGATTTGAGTGGGGATTTCCTCGTAATCCGACTCGTCCTCGATGTGGGCTGGAAGCTGTACTTCCACGCGCTGTGGGATAGGTTCTGGTGGCTGATCATTTCCGTCATAGAAGATGCTTTCATTGAAGGTCACATCTCGGACCCTTCGGACTTCTGATGTGGACGGAATCCAGATCCTGAAAATGTTCGTGGAATCATATCCAACGAGATAACCGATTTCTGTGTGAGGGTCGGTCTTTAGGTCCTTCTTCTGTCTGTTCTGAAGGGCCTGGGGTGTCAAGGATAGGCTCTGCAGCCGTATGCCTTGAGAAACGTGATGTCAGGCTGGTCTTGCTGGTAGCCTATGTCTCTGTTGTTGTCTCGCAGCCACTGATGAAGCAGCTGGAAAGGCGTTCGGAAGCTGTGGTTCTGCATGGGCGATCTGTTGTGCAAAAACACTGCTGCTTTCCAAGTCTCTGGCCAAAGATCAGATGGTAAATTGGCATCAATTCCCATTGTTCTGGCCTGGGCAGATATTACCCCCCCAGATCGCTCTGCAGAACCGTTTTGAGCGGGAGTGTAAGGGGCAGAAGGTTCATCTTGAATCCCCTTTTCCTCGATCCAGCTCTCATACGCACTCTGAAGAGAACGATCGTTATCACGGTGGATAATGCAAATGTTGAGATTCCATTGGCGTTGAACCATTGCCTCGTGGTTTCTCAAAGCAGTCATAACGGACCCTTGTGTCGCGTCATTCAGAAGGTAGATGAAGATCATGCTTGTAAATTCATCTTTGATAAGAAGAACAGCTTCCTTGCCGTTGAATGAGGTGTTCATACTGAAGATATCAACGTAGATTCTCCAGAATGGTCTGGGGGCTCGGTTTTGAGGGGTTCGGCGAGAGACGACCTTCTTTCCCTTCCCAAGGGAACACGCGGTGCAATCGATGGTAACTGGGCCTTTGATCTTCGAACCCGTCGTGTTCTCAACAAGATGCTCTAGGGCTTGAGCGTTCAAGTGACCTAGGCGCTTATGCCAAAGCGTAGCATCTGCTGTTTTCACTGTGCGAGGTGCAGATGAAGATGTGAAATTGGAGGCGTGAGAGTCCTCCTTAATCGGGTTGAACTCGATGACCGGTTGACGAAAGCGGCGTTTCGTATGAAATATAATCTGATCGTCTTTAGAGACGCGTCCAGATAGTGGATTCCAGTTGTATCCCTTCGCAAGAAAGCGGTCGAGGGATGCGATGTTGGTGTGGAATTTTGGCACGAAGGCAACTTCGTTGAGCTGAAAAAGTCCTCCTTCTTCAAGCTTCATACGGACTGTGCCGTAGCCAAGGATCTGAAGTTGACTATCGCCTGCAAAGAGCTCTTTTGGCTCTGCAAGGGCGGTGTAGTCAAGAAAACGGGATCGGTTGTTGCAAATGTGTGTGTCTGATCCGGAATCAAGGATAAAGGAGTCATACAGCGGGTAGACTGCCTTTCCCGTCGAGAAACTGGTTGATGGAGGTGTTGAGGAGGCGGTGTGTTGTCAGGAGCTGGTAGAAGACCGGCAAACGCTGTGCCTTTAACGGAGGAGTCGGACGATTTCTCCATTTCCTTCTTCTTGAAGTCTTGTGCTTTCTCCGTCATCTTCTTTGCCCATGGATTGAGTCGAGGATTTCCTTGATCTTCTTCTCAACCTTCTGATCAGGAGTCCAGCCATCAGGCCGAGCTGATTTGATGAGATAGAAGCAATCTACGAAGCGGTGATATTCTCCGCAGACACACATAGGAACACCATCAGCGTTCTTGCTTGAAGACCACTTAGGCTTGTCCTCTTTCCTCTCCGATTTCTCTCCTTGCCTTGGAAGGCAGCTCCGAATGATCCTTTGCTGTTGTTGGCGGCCTTGATTCGGTGAGCTCGTTCAAAGATCTCACTGATCTTAATGCCGTCCGGGAAGTCCGTCTTCCAATCAGGCTTGCCGAATACGGCCTCGTCTTCCATTTTGTTGACCCAATAGTCTGTGAATGGGGCGTTGATGGACGAAACAGCCTGTAGGAAATCTTGGGTAGGGCGAAGGTCCTGGACATCAGGAAGCCCTAATTGCTTTGCCTCAGTGAGGACTTTCTGCCATTGGGTGACCCAAGCTTCGATCTTGGTCCTGTTTGGCGACTGAAGGGTGGAACGATAACGCTGAACAACTTCCTCTCGAGTGCCCAGTCGGTTGGGGCCACACGAGCCTGAAGCAAGGCAAGTTGCTTTGCAACGTCGTGTTCCTCGGCAATGGTGCTGTAGTAGTTGCCGATGGTCTTGACGATGTGTTGTTGAAGGCTGGCGAGTGCCTTCACTTGATCCCTATACCCTTGAAGCTTCGAGCGGTATTGGGTGTGGAGGAATTCGAGACGGCGAAATTCCTCCGAGGTCAGATCCACGAGATCAGATGCTTCGTGGTTGATTTGTCGGAATGTTGGTTCAACTGGCTGCTGAAGAACCGGCTTACCCTCCTTGACGGCAGGGTCCAGAAAGTCCCAAAGACTGTGGGACGTGGCGAATTTCTTGATGATAGAAATCCATTGTTTCCAGTCGCAAGGGCCGTTGAGCACGGTGCCCTTGGAAGAGCCATCAAGATCTAGAGCTGAGCTCATTGTGGAAGCTATTCTGCGCAGCGGAGTGAACAAGAATAAGATACCCAGTCAGTGGCAGACCGGGCTCATAACTATCGCACGGAGGATGAGCAAGTGGGCATAAAGATCAGGGACTGGAAGACTCTTGATTCTGCTATCTAAGGTGGGAAAGAGGCGAGATCTTTATAGACTGCCTGAATATGAGAATGGAAGGGAATGGTAGTGAATGGAAGCATCTGATCGGATCATCTGGAAGCCACTGATGCGTTGATGATGCCTCCTAGAAGTTTCTGTGGGGAAATGTGGAAACGGACTGTGCGAATAGGGGGTCAGACTGTTGGAGGCTGATATCCTATGTGTGACAGGGAAATCGAGCGAAAAGGTCAAGCAGGGATGTCGTCTCGTATGCTTGTGATGGATAATACGAGATCGAGCCTGGATTGTTTGCTAAGCAAGCTGATAGGAGCTTCCAGTCGCGATCGATTAAAGTCTCGTCGTTAATGGCTCTGCGAATAATCTGTTGAATCATGTCGGAATGTGACGGGAATTGCTTGGCTGGTTCGGAAAAGAAACAGTGTGTAACCTTCCGTACAAGACTAGGATATCCTACGTGATACTTCTTTACAGGCAATCCTTTATTATCGATGATTCTAAAGGACGCACAATAAAAGTTCACCGTTAGATCGAAGGGCTGGAGCATTGATCGCTTTCTTGTTGCCTGCGCACTCTCAGAGCGATGGGTGTTGCCCTCGTTCGTGGCCGTAACGAGTTGACGTAATCCATTTGTAGACTTTATAGCTGGGACTGTCATCGCAGGAGCTATCTGTCGTTCTGTTTGACTATCGTCGGAAGTGAGATCGATCGTCTGCGCGTCATGGTCGTTGGATCTCGAGCTTTGTATATTCGTCCGGACGGGAACTTGTCGAGACTGTCGGGTAAGGAGATTTCCGCAATAAAGACAGACTGTCCATAATGGTTGACTAAGGATACTGCCCGATGGGAGTATCCCGTCGCCGTCTAAGTATCATCAGCCATTGCCTCTTAATAAGTTAATGACGAAGAGGTGGTAGATGTGCGAAGTAAACGAATTTTCTTCGTAATCTTAATGGAATACTTTTAGTTTCAAAGTGTGTAGAGCATAAATGCAGATAAGGAGTGGAGTTTATTTAGTCATCATTATATGAGTTGTGTACCATTATCTCAACCCATTCCTGGAATTTTCTCCCAATTATCTGCCACTGCCGAGGAGTAATTGACTGTAGGTCCTCGCTTTCTTGGGAATAGCTATAGTTCTCCTCTGTTTGATGATGACCTAAGACGATTATTAGTTGAATCTTTTCCCTTTTCTTTTTATAGGTAGAACTAGAGTGTTACAGTGTAGTTTGCATAGCGACCCACGAGATGAGTACGTGCAATTCGCGCATGCACCTGACCCTAGCATTTCCAGAGTGTAACAGCCTTGAAACACCCCATTCCCTTTTATACACTGGACACAGGGAGCTTTCGGCTGATCACCGAATATAAATATCAAGGCGGCATCGAGATGTTGGCTTCGTGTAAGCAAGTCGATGCGAATGTGATATACCTTGCCTCGCCTTCGTATTGAGACATATAAAGCGTTTAGGGGCTGTAGATGCTAGCAATCTCTCGACCTTGGACGAACGGACTTGATACACCTTAGACAACGCCCATGATGTAAGTTCAATGCTAGTTATTGGTTGTTGTGCAGTAGGAGGAATTGATGGGAGGAGAATACTGTCAATCGTGATAGCTTGCATTTTTAATATTCGTCCACGCAAAATAAAGTAGGGGGAAGAAAGAAACGTGACTGTAAAGATCTGCTATAACTTCGTCGTATATGCAATTAACCCTGCTTCTGCTAAGCCGAATATTTAAAATGGGCCATAACCTCTATGGTCACAGTAGGGTATACGTAATGACAAATTTTCTTCCCAAATGCGTTTTGAGACAGTCTGGCCTACAGTCGCCCGTAATCTCCGTCACGCGTTCTGGGTTATACACTAAAAGCCCCTTACGAAGTGGCAGGATAGTAGCATCAATGTGCATCGCGTGCTCGTCGGTCGTGGCAAGAATTTCCACGCAGTAGCTGTTGGAGACCAGAGCTTGCAGATACTGCACACCTTTAAGATTGGTGACATGGCTTAATTGTCCAATAATTGTTTTCCCAAAGCGCATAAAATCTGCTGCATCAAACGCCGGCCGCGAATTGTTGATGGCCCATTGCTTGTTCTTGGTACCGCCATTGCTAGTAGCTGTTGAGTCGACAACATGGTCGTAGAGAGTGTCCTCCCCTACGATCAAAGGCGCGCGACAGACTCTGAATGAGCCACTGCTGATCAGCTCGTCTAGGATGTCTGCATACGCAAGTTGAATTTCGTGGCGGCGGCACTTCCATGCGAAAGGTGCTTCGATAATGGTGTGGCCGACCGTCATCAGCCCATCCCGTGGCATGGCTCCCGTATAACCACCGACCTTTAGCCAGTTGATCTCCTTGGGACGGTAGACACGGATGCCGAGTGCCTGCAGTATTGCGGCTAAGTGGTCGAGCTCTTCCTGGGCTTTGGCAATGATATCTGCAGGAAACGGATTGGACTGCCTGAAATTGGCCAGATGTTCCACCGGCATTGTCGCCTTCATCATCCGGGAAGGCTCGGACGGAAATGCAGACCCCTCTGCGCGACCAACAATGACGGCTTTGAGCGGTGACCACTCATCTTCGGCCGACAGCAGAGGCATTTCACCAGCCGTGAAAGATGCGTCCATGACCATAAAACAACAAGAACTGCCGAACAACTAGATGTTCGACCAGAGGCGGGAGAATAGGCGACGAGCGGTTTAGTTTCAGCTGTCGAGTGGCGAAGAGGGACCTGATTACACACAAGCACCGCATCCTTATGGTTGAGCATTACCGTTTATTAGTAGGTGTCACGATATTTATCTAGGTATGTATGTGGGTCGTACAAAACAGTGCCGTCGCACCACGGGGACAGCTAAGAAGCTTTATCCTCATCTTGCCCCCCGCATCATTTTCGTTCCGCTACTGCATATCGGCGAACCAAGGGTGCACCTCATCCTTCCGTTCTAGGCTCCATTATGGGGCCGAGTTACCGTGGTATCGCACAGCGGGGCAAAAAGAGCGGTCAAGTCCCCCGCTGTTGCGCTGTGCCGTCTCGATACAAAGGGTCTCCTGTGAAGGAAGGGGTCAGCCCGGACCTGAGATAGGTACCGGCCTAGACGAAAACATCTAATTATCTGTCATACAAATCTAGTAGGCTAGCGTTTGCCAGATCCGTCTGGTGACTTCTACCGCGTCTTACCCCTTATGTCCACCATCTTCTACGTCTGTGGCCGCACCCCTTGGTGCGCGAGGCCGCCGCCCTCGTCAGCGCACCCCTTTTGCGTCCTTGGCGCGTGATACACCCCTTCAGGCGACACGGTTACGAGTTGCCTGGGTTCGTGAGGTTGAGATGACGGTTATATGCGGCATTGAGTAGTGATGTTATGACGGCTTTAAGTCCGGTTGAAATGAGTAAAAATAGGTAATCTACTATATAAAGCCCGCGTCGAACTAATCAGTGCCCGGTTCGAATCAATATTAGTGACGGTAGCGTCGCTAAATATAATTCCGAAAGTTGCGATAGCTTTAATTATTCTTCTTATAGAGACTAGGTTACGTAGGCGCAGGCGCCTTAAAGTTAGTAATGCCCTTATATATAATAATACTATTGAGTATTACTATTCGGCCAAGTGGAAATCTCTATTCGGCCAACAGGGCCCGTGCGGGCCCTGCCTCCCCGCAGCCACACCCGCACACCTAAATTAGCTGCGCGCGCATAGCATATAGCAGTGTAATTCCCTACGCATTCTCTTTAATTATATAACGCGCATATAGCTTAATTCGACCAAAAAACGCATCTTCGCGATAATCGCGAGATATGCATATAACACGGCCCGGCTATTAATCCGGCCTAGGCTGCGTGGCCGGGATTACCTCCTCCACCGACGAGGCTGGCGGAGCCTTTCTACCCCTCGCCCGTCTCCCTCGAGATCCCCTTATCCTAGTTATTCCGCGCCCTCGCGATCTTTCTGCTGACGCCCGGGCAGAGCCCTGACTATCCCCATCTATCTCTGCCTATATACGTGTGCGGCGCATACTTGCGTTGAGCCGGCGAGTGCTCGCCTAACTCGACCGCGGTAGCCGCCTTTGCGTGCCTCTTGGTTATGATGCCGGCTGCGAGGTAAGCTGCGAGTCGGGCTCGAGGGCATCGTTAACTTGGTCCTAGCTAGGCTATAGGTCTTAAGGCATAGGCAGGCGAGTGTTCTTAGCTACGCGAGGCCGGCCACGGAGGTTTTAAATAACGTTAGGATCTCGGATTCGAAGAAGTAGCTCGTCGAGGTCCTATAGGTAAGGATTAGTATAATTTATATAGAAAATAGGGTAGGTCTCTACTAGAGGCTTCTTAAGCTACTACCGAGGGTAAATATTATACTTCGTAAGCGGAACGTTAGCTTAAAGGCGTTAGAAGATCGTATACGTATAAGGAAGCCCGTGCTACTATATAAATCGACTTATATAAGGAGGCAGCGGCTATAGCTCCCGCTCCTGCCCTTACTCTTATCCTTACCCCGGCTTTAAGGGCATCGCGGCTAAGGTAAGTTAGTGTTGCTTAGTAAGGATATTAACCGCCTAGTAGGTAACTTTAACGTTTAGCCTACCTAGCTATTTTTAGCTAAGATAAAGAAGCCGCTACTATACCTTCTAGCGAGCTGCCTCTTAAATATAGTAGCGTTCTTTATTTATAAGTATTTATTTAAGGGCGTTATAAATATAGAGAGGCTTTAGTACTAAAGTAATAAATAGTTTTATTATTATATAATACCTTTAAAGTATATAATCTTTTATTTAAAGTTATATTTACTTTTAATTTAAAATAATAAAGATTATTTAGATTAATTATTTTTAATAAGAAGATTAAAATTATAATATATCCTTTTTAAAAGAACTATTACTTAAAGAGCTTTAAAGTAAGCTACTATTATAACTTTAAGTATAAAAGTAAAGCTATAAGCTCTTTTAAAAGGTTTAAAGGAAGCTATTTTCCTTAGCTAGCTACTAATATTACTATACCTATAAATTTTAACCTAATTATTTAAAAAATATAATAATATATAGACTATACGAATTCTAATAAAAAATATAAAGCTATTAACCTAGCTATAGTATATTAATATCTATTAGTATTAGTTATACTAAGAAGTCTAAAAGGGACTTATTTCCGTTTATTAGGTTTTAATAGTATCGATAAAAGTAAACGGTCTTATAAAGCCCTTACTAAAGTAAAAGCTAGCTATCTTTTTATAGTAAATTAGGCTAGAAAACGTTTATAAGAAGCTATCTTTAAAAGCCCGCCTTAAGAGTCTATAAGAGGAGCTAATAGCCTATATAAGAAGGTAACGTCTATAGCTAAAGAAGAGAAAGAGGTTTTCCTTTTAAAGGGCCCCCTATTTTAATTAGGTTTCTCCCTTTTAAAAAAGCCCCCCTTTTTTATAGGACTTTCCCCTCTTTAAGCCCCTATTCCTTAAGTAGGTCTAAAAAAGCCTAGGGACCTAAAAGGGCCCTTACTTTCCTTAAGTAAAAGGATAATTATAGAGCTTATAACGACCGGTATTATTCTTAAGGGATAAACCTATTAAGGGGTTTATATTAATAGATATAATAGGGCGTAGTCTAAGTAATAATAAGTATATTACGTTAGTAATAAGTTAGAGGTTATAGACTATAGACTATAACTAGGTAATTAAGTAATCGGAATTAAAGATAAGATCGTAATAGAGATTATAATAATTATAATATTAAAAGCTATCGAGCTATCTATTTAAAGGAGTATTCCGTTCCTTCCTTATATATCTTAAGAGCTTCCCTAGATCGCCGAGAGCGCTAGGTAATCCCGTTATCTAGGAGCGCTAGAGCGCTAGAGCGATCCTATAATCTTAGCCGTAGAGCGTTAGAGCGCTAAAGTAACCTATCGCTCTAAACTTAATTAGCCCGTTAGTCTATTTAATATTCCTTACTCCCTACGTTACGTAACCTCGTAATATATATTAGTCCCCGCGGTTCCCTAGACCGTAGTCGTAATATAATGTCTCCCTTTCTTTTAGTCTTATCCCTAAGACCTGCTACTTTAGCCGCTATATATAAATATACCCTTATTATATTATACGTAAGTATATTATTCTTTATTCTTTTATCCTTTTAAGATATACTATTAATAGTATATCTAGTTATATTTAAAAATCCTATTCTTATAATTCTAATAAATCGCGTTAACGATCGGAGTAGGTATCCTAGACTAAGATCTATAGTATTAAAATTATACCTTACTCCTATTATTTTCGGTTAAGCCTAACTTATAAAGTTAGCGAGCGTTTTAATCGGTGTTCTAAATATACCTTTATAGGCCGTTCTTATAATAGTTATAATATAGCGTCCGCCTATTTATTTTATCCCTTTCCTTCCCTATTATTCTTTTTACTAATATTCCTTCTTTTCTAGTTTATTATATTATAAATTAATAGTAAAAGATTAATTCAGACGAACGGAAAGTAAAAGAAGCGTTAGAGGAAGTAATAGCTCGCCTAGCTTAAATTAGGAAATAAAAGCGTTTCCTAAAAGACCGAGGTAGTAAGTTATTTTAGCGGGGTATATAAGCTATTAATAAAGAAGATAGTATAACGCGTTCTTTTTAAGACGAATCGGTTCGTTTATTAAATAAGGAAACTATTACTATTAGCGAGGTTTAATTATTTAGTGCCTTAAACGCATTAAACTAAGATACTATTCTTAGTAACCTTATATTTCCGATTAAGGGTTCGCTTAGTAGAACTATTAGAGTAGAGAGCCGTAGTAAGTTAAGTGCTTAAGTAGTTCCTAGGTATTTTCCTCTAGCCTATATCCCTTCTACTTAATAAGGTATTCCTATTATTAACCTTATTTTCTTATATTTAGTATTTATTCGGCTTTATATTCCTAATTATTATCGACTTCGATTTTATCCTATAGTTTAGCGTTTCGTAGTACTAGTTCTAATAATAAGATATAAAATATCGGGTATATCTATATTATTATTAGTAGCGAAAGTTTATAGTTAACTTTTAAAATAGCTTTCTTAACCTTAAACGGTCTAAGTTTCTTAAAATCTAATTTATTACTTAGTTATTTTATTTTAATATTTTATCGTATAAGGTAAACTATATCTCCCTCTTAAAAGATTAGTCCCTATAATCTTTTCTAATTATAGTAAGTAGATATTCGTTCTCTAATAAATTAAAGTTCTTATTATATTTCTTTATATAATTTTTATAGCTAATCTACTTATAGTATCGCTCGTTCTACTTATAGTCCTTATTAAGTAACCTTAAATACTTCTAGGTTATATCTATAATTAGTATATACTAGTAAGAGCTTAGTTATTTCTATAACTAAGCTATTATAAGCTAGTTACGCTATTAGTAGCTATTTAACTTAATCGTTTTATTTATAGCTAATATAGTATCGTAAATATTATTTAAGCGTTTAGTTAAGTCGTTCTATTTATCTATTTATTTATAGGTAATAAGCTATATTAAGCTTATATTTCGTCCTTAATTATACTATAAGAGCTTACTAAAACTTAGCTATAAATATACTTCCTGTCGGGAGGTCTGTACTGCAGTAACGCAATGGGTTGTATTCAAGA